TCCGTTCCCTCTACACCCGTACCGCTGCCTGCGTCTTCCTCACCATCGTCATCAGCTGCAGGTACGACACCACCTGTCGTACAGCCAAGCCCATCCGCTGCTACATCCGCCTCACTACCTCCAACTGGCGACGGCGATGCCAGCAGCAGCAAACCCTGCGACAAAGCTGCTGCTGCGGCTGCGGCTGCAAAGAGCTATGCATCGAAGCTGCTGCTTCCAGCTTCAACGGGGTCCGCGAACAACAGAGGGGCTGCTGCTGGCAGCAGCAGCAGTAACCACAGCAACAAGCTCAGTGATGACAGTGGCGGCAGGAGCAGCAGCACCGGAGCGCTTGGGAGCAGCGGAGGCGGGGGCGATGGCGTGAGCAGCAGCAGTGGCATGATGACGATGATGAGCGGGGCACTGGGGTCTGCTCCTCTGCCTGAGCTGCAACTGAATCGGTTAGGGTACGAGCTGGAGGCCGCGATACGGCAGCAGGTAGGGCGCAACAGAGAATCCACTGTATACGTAGTTTGAGTCTCAAAACTCTGATTTCTGCACGATGCAATACCGGTAAAAAGCAGAGATTGCTGGACTGTGCGTGGTTAGGGTACTATTGCTGCGTTTTCAATTTACTTCAGCCGAATGCCTAGAAAACCCGTCTATGATGCTCCATCAGCAGCATGTCCGAAACCCTTCAGGAAGCCTTCCCTGCATGCCTGCTGTTCGAACCCACAGGTATTCTGCGAGGACGCGTTTCCGCTGCTGGAAATAGATGCCGTACGAACGTTCGACAGCTTGACTGGCGGCGGCGGCACGGGCTATAGCGGCAGCGGCGGCGTCGCGGCTCGGGAGTTGTCCCCCGGGGTGACGATCTACGTGTACGGCGGAGATGATGCGGTGGGTTTCGTTGTGCCGTACGTTGCCTGCTGTCGTACCGTTTCCCTTGCTTGCCGTACATTGTCAGCCTAGCGACGTGCATCCACTGGCTACGATTCCTCAATTTTATCGCTATCCGAGTTGGTCCACTGCACTTGGTTGTTGTGTAGGTGTCCCGAAGCATTCGCGAGGGCTCCGGTTGGGAGTCGGATTTGCTGTCGGAGGTTGAGTGGGCTCTGAAGGAGCCGCTACCAGACCACGTCATCAACCGCCACAACGGTATTGTTAACGGTAGTCATATCAGTACCGATACCGGCGGCAACGACGACGCTGCTGGCAGGAGCATTGCTACCAGCAGCAGCGGTAGCGGTGGCGGTAGCAGCAGCGGCAGTAGCAGTAGCGGCAGTAGCGGCGGCAGCCAATCGGGTTCGACCTCACCCATGGCGTCACCTTCGCCCAACTACTCCCTTACTCCGCCTTCCACTTCATCATCATCACCTTCTTCGTCACTGCCGCCATTGTTCGTGGATGTGGGAGCGAACGTGGGCTGGTTCTCCATTAACATGGCCGCAAAGGTAAACAAGTGCCGTACGCCTTCCTGGCTTCATGTCGCCCAAGTACCCTCCAGGTTTATGCCCAGGTTTATGGTCTTCTAATCAACTGCCCTGACGCTTCCCTCTTCCCGTACCAAGCCAAGCCAACCCAACTCGACCTAGCCAACCTAACCAACCAACCGCCCCCCCAACCAACCTCACGTACGGCAAACGGCCCATGCTGACGATGCGGTCATCGTGCAGGGCTACCGAGTGGCGGCCTTTGAGGGCATGGCCTCCAACATCGGGCTGCTGCGCGCCTCTACATGCGGCAGTCCGGGGCTGGGCGGGCGGCTGAGGCTGTTTGCATTCGGGCTGGGCGCAGCGGAGAGCACCTGCTACCTGTTCAGCGACGTGCACAACCGGGTGGGAGAAGCAAGGGATAGGAAGCCTTGGCGCCGACTGGATGCCCGGAAACCGCCGGGTTGGGCTGCTTTGTTTTGTTACCGATAGTAGTTCACACACTGCTTCGACGGTATGTGTTGTAGCACCCATTCCCCCGTGTCACGTACCTGCACGTATGCCCGGACCTTATTGTTTCGTTCTCTTCCGCTCAACCCCGCCCGTTCTTTGCCTGCCACACCTGCCTCTCAAACCCCGCCTGCTGTCTCCTTTCCCCAACCCAACCTGCCCCCCCCCTGCTTCCCAGGGAGATGGCATCACCATGTGCGATGTGGAGTCGCAGGCAGCCGCCGCCGCAAAGGTCCCCCGCGGGTACGCGCTGCGGGGTCGGTTGCCCATCCGGCGCCTAGATACCGTACTGGGGCCCAGGGGGGAGGAGGTCAAGGTGAGCACAGCGCGAGTAGCGCGAGGAATGGGCTACACTCGCCTCGTCCATCCTCATCCCGAACTGTTGTGCAATGGCGCTTCCGTATAGTGCATGGGGCTTCTTTATTATTACTAACCGCACGCTCATGTGCGTGGTACGTGTGTGCGGACATACTGGTATGAACCCATCTCGTCTGACCCATGGGTCGCTCGCCGCAGGTGCTCAAGGTGGATGTGGAGGGCTACGAGCCACACGTGCTAGCGGGCGTTGGTGACGTACGAGTCTGGTGAGTTTGGTGAAACGGCGACGACCCATAAAGGTTGCTGCCTGTACCGTTACAAAGCTGTTGCATGCATGCCGTGAATGCGCTCGTGTGTATCTAATGCTTGGGTCAGGGTCGTACCGGGAACCTCGTCGCACGCCCTGCCGAGAACGACCCAAGCACCCAACCCTGACACGTACAGCGGTACCATTTACGTTAGCGAACGCCTTCCTCGCCACTAACAACCACTAACAACTCCCTGCTCGTCACCTGCCCCTGCCCCTCTGCCCCTGTATGTCCCTGCCCCTGCCCCTACCAGGTACATCGCTATCGAGTTCAGCCCCGCTGCTCTAGCAGGAGTCACACCCGGCTACCAGCCCATCCAGGTATCCCTCAGTCAGTTAGTTGTTTCCTCTTTACCCCATCCAGGTAGCGATTCTCCGAAACGGATGTGACCTTCTCGCTCTCTAGGCCCCTGTCCTGCTTCTCCGTCCTCCCCTCATGCATACCCAACCCCGCTCCCTCCTTTCCTCTCCATCCCTCTCCAATCATTTCCACCCAGTTACTCGAGCAGCTGCTGTCCCGGGGCTACCGACTGAGCAGCAAGAGCTTCCGGGGTCCCTGGATGACGGAGGAGGAGGTTCGCAGGTGGGGATCATACCGAACCATAGCTAGGAAGCCAGAAGCTGGGGCAAAGCAATGGGGGTAGCAGGCGGCAGGTGGGGGGGGGATTATATAACAAATGCAAAGAACTAAAGTCCAGGTGTGGGGGGAGGGAAGGGCGGGGTAGGAGTGCGGATTGGGGATGCGAAGGCGAGAAATACCGTAATTGGGGACTGGCTTTCCTTGCCCTTGTTATGATAATAACACGGTGCCTTTCGTTACCGGTACCTCCCCGCCACACACACATTCCCAAACCGACAGGTTGCCCTCAGAGGTCAAGATTGAGTCGCCCATCAACATCTACGCGGCCCACCGAGACCTCTTCGCACCCGCGCCGCCCACTGCTGCTGCCAAGGGGGCTGCACATGCGGGCGAGGCCATAGCGGTAACGGCTGCAGCAGAGCCGCGGAAGCAGCAGCAGGGGCAGCGGAACCTGCTCCGGGATAGAGCAACAATGTCATCATGATGAACACAGCCCTGGGTACCGTGAACGATCGGGTTTTCCCGAAGGCATCGCATGAGAGACGTTGAAAGGGGGTGGCTTACTTCTTAATCTTGGTTGAGTGGAGGGTGAGTTGTTGGTGGCGGTTGGTGCTGCGGTTGTACAAGTTGGAGTTGTTGGTTGAATGAATGACCGTTACAATGGTGCCCTAAAAGGGAACACGGGTGTTGGTTGTCCATCCTGCTGCTCGCGAGGGATGCCGTTGAAGCGGAACATGCATACATGCAAGGCATGGTTGGCGATTGCTGAGGTGGCGTGCACCTAGCTATTTGCAGTTGCCCATGATGAGGCTGAGCGCTAGGCGTTGCTCCAAGCTGGTTGGATGACCCATGGGTCATTTCTTCCATGAATGTCGCCTGGGGCCACAACTTCGTTGGTGTGGCCCAAGCCTTTGCAGTTTCGACAGCCATACGTGGTAGGTTACATCGCTTACCCGGGACGCGTGCCGTCTATTCTCCTCCGACATTGTCCTAGTAACAGTGTTACTTCGATGTAGTTGACTGACAGTGCTGTGCTGACGTGTGGTGTGACTCCCGAGGCGGTGTGGGGCCCCGCTCTGACCCTCACCTTTTGGGTTATGCCCTGTAATAACGCACGCCTCATGCAAAGTAGCACATGGCAGCAATGCTAGAAACAATGGCAAGCGCTGCTCACGGCCAGGCTACACTAGCACGGGCGCAATAAGGTCGGTAAGCTTTCTGCGGGCAGTGCATGTTTCTTGCAGCCTTCCTCCTATGCATATTACGACAATCCGGTCGTACGTGCCGGGCCAAAGCGTGATGGACCTTCGGGATGCTGATGTTGAAGCAGATTTGTTCGTGATGCCAAGCCACGCATACGTCCCGCCCTGCCCTTTCAAATGGAAGAAAACCGCTGTTGAAAGGCACTACCCACACAAAGCGTCAGCACTTCACCTGGATGCCTATACACGTCTGTTGACCCCCCCATTGTCGACGAAATCCTGTCAGCGACAGCTACAGTACCACATCCTCCATCCCCCAAAGCTCCAGGGAGCAAGCCCCAGGGAGGAAGCTACACTACACGGTCACACCACTCGCTCAGTATGTAGGGAAGCGCTCGCACCTATGCTAGGTATACCCACCACGCACGCACGCAATGCCCAGAAGTTACCGGTACTCCTCCATCCTCTTTACGGTCCAACCACCATTTGTGACATCATGTCGCATGAAACCTAATAGACCCTAGCCGACAGCCCTAAGAAAGCTTAGCAGCAGCAGGCACCCTCTGATGACAATACCGTGTCATCTTCAAAACCTGACCCATCGCAGACCAGCAACACCCCTCCCCCTACCCACTCCCCGCCCAACACACCCCTAGCTCACCCCACGAATCGCCTTCTCGACCCGCGGAAAACCAAAAACCCGCATAACGACGCTCTCCTCAACCCGCCTCAACGCAGAAGTGACTCAGCCTGCGCCCGAATGGCATCCAGTCGGCTCGCCAGCTCCTCACACTCCGCCCCACCCAGACGCCGCGCCTCCAGCGCCAGTCGGTCTGCTCCATCCGCCAGCGCACCCGCCTCCCGCGCCCGCCCCACACCGCCGGCTGCGGCCGCGGAGGCAGGTCCGGAAGCTGAAGGAGGTGGCGAGAAGAAGCCGCCTGGAGTGGCGGATTGCGCCTCCGAGAGGGCGGCGTAGCACACAGCCGTTGCAGATCTGAGCGGGGGAGAGAAAGGAGAGGGGAATAGCGGGGGTTAGGAGGAAAAGCCCAAACCAAGAGGGAGAGGGGCGAAATGATGTCTCATCCATCCCCACATCCATCGCAGTTCCCAGTTGTTTTCCGTGTTTTTTCTTCATGGCTTGTTCTTCGTTTCGCTGTGCCCCCAGCTAAACCCTAATTAACAGCAACACTACCACCAGCCACCCCCTGCCCCCGTGTGCGCCTACCGCAGCAGCTGCGTCTTGACCCGCACGCTGCTGAGCTGCGCCTCCATGGCGCTCCCGCCCACCAGCAGGGCGCCCCCGCCACGACCCCGCGACAGCAGGGCCTCGTACACTCGCCGTACGGCAGCCGCGTTGCCACCCGTGGCGGTCTGAAGGGGGATGGGGATGGGAAGGGAGGAGAGGGTTAGGCAGGAGTTGTGAGACGAGGGGAAGAGCAAGGGAGATGGCAGCGGGGCGGGAGGACATCGGGGGCGTTTGATTGGATGGCGTCATGGTTTACGGGTGGGCTACGTACACCAGCGCAACCATGTAAACCGTAAACCAAGAAGGAACCCATCTCGCCCCCAATCTCCCTTCCGCTGCCATGAACCATGCATGCACCACCCGCACCCCAACCACGCCCGTGCCCGTGTCTCATCGCGGCTCATTTGGTTAGTCCACAACAACGGGTCGCCATCAACAACGGGTCTTCCTTTGCTAACTGTCGGTGTTTCCTTGCGGCTCCGTTTACCTAATGCCCCCCAACCGCATCATGGCACCACCCACCATCAGCGCCGCAACAATTGCATCGCTGGCCCGCTCCATGCCCACCGCCGCATGCCCCTCCGCCGCAGCCCCTCCCGCCGGCCACAGCCCTGCTGCCATGCTCTCCAGCCGCCATGTGATGTGCAGCAGCGGCAGGGTGAGGTCATCCGGATAGAGCGAGGGACCCAGGGTGGATACTGCGTCGCATGCGTCGGACAGCCGACCCGTGGGTCCGACGTCACGACGCTGATCATAAGCCTGGCGACCGAGCGGAGGAGGAATATGCGTGCGAGGAAAGACGGGAGTGAGGGGTCAGGTGAAAAGCACTTGGGTAATAGAACCGTGCTATGCAACAGCCGTTGGTATAGCCTGTAACGCTCATGAAAGTGCACAGGATAGACACAAACAGAGGGACAACAACGTCTGGAGCTATCGGCCTAATTTCGTAACCTCCACGCACAGCTGCCTAACCGTCCTCCGCAGCAGCCCTCCTCCGCTGCTCACCCGCAAGAGCTCGTGGTCCCAAAGGGTGCGGACCACCGCGGAGGGATCCGCCGCACCGCCTCCACCGCCGCCTCCACCTGCAAAGCGAATCATCTGCAGGCAAATATCCCACAAACCGTAAGGCTGGGCGTAGCTGTTGTACAGCGTCGATAGCTCCAGGGGGGCTCCCGACAGCTCTGAAAGCGCCCGGTCGAGGTCGGCAAGCTGGGAGGCAGGGTTGGAGGTACCGGCAGCGGCGGCGCCAGTGACCCCTGGGTCGGCGGCGCCTCTCCCGATGCCTCCTGCTGAGGAAGCGACCGCGGCGCGTCGAGCCTGGTGTAGCAGGCGATGGAAGGAGGGCGATGCGCAGGTAGGGAGAAGTTAGATGCAAGAACGTCAGACTGGCTCGTAATATGAGTGTAAAGACCCAGACTTGCGCACAGCTAATCATTCCTCGCTTCGGGACAGCAAGAGGCCCATGCACCACCCCCGCACCCAACCCCTCACCGCACCCATCCCCCCACCCAGCCCCGCACCTGCAGCCTCTCCGCAATGGCCGCCTGGAAGCCCACCACTCGGGCATCGCTGTCCAGTCGGGCCACCAGGGCGGAGTCACCCGCGGACCGGGCATGCAGCACCGCGGACTACATGGGGGGGGGGGAGAGGGGACGGAGAGGCACATGAGGGGTAAGGGGTGGATGCGGGTTAGGGGTAGGCGGATGCGGCTGGCAGGTACGGTTGGGGGCATGAAACACACAGCTGGGGGAGCATGTCTAGGCGGGAGGTCTTTCCCCCTTTCCCACCTGCAGCGCCGCCACTCGCGCCCTGAGCGGCACCCCTAGGTCGGCTCCGGAACCCGCGCGCCGGCAGCCCAGGGCGCCGTACACCAGGGCGGCATCCAGGAACCTGGGAGGGGGGGGCAGGGAGGGTTACGGGAAGCGATTAGGGAAAGGGGGGTCAAAGGTATGAAAGAACCACAGGTTAGGGCAAAGCAAGGGGTGGTACTGAAACGACCATTACCGCGTGTAAATATAAACGTACGGCGGCTAAAGCACTCCTGGCCCGCGGAGACCACGGGAAGCAAGCATTCACCTCATCATTTGGGTGCCCCTCCACCCACCTTCCTTTCCCGACCAGCATGCGGCACAGCAGCTCCAGCAGCGCCACCTGCGCCCCCGTCAGCGGACCCACGGGACTGCCGCCACTCAGTGCGGCGGCGGCGGCAGCGGCGGTCGGCACCACTGGGCCGCCGACGGCCGAGCCAGTGGCGGCGGCGGAGGGGCCCGCGCCGAACGCGGCGGAGGAGGCTGAGGTGGAGGAGGCGACGGCTGGGAGCAGACCGCCCTCCCTGTCGTTACAATTGTTTGTTGTTGGGGGAGCACGTGTTAGGTTAGGAGTGGCAAAGTACGGTCCTCGCCCACCGTTACCTCGCACCGCCTCCAGACCCGCCCTCTCCCTACCAGACCAACCCCCATCTCATCCCACCCTCTCGCCCCCCGCCCCCCCACCCCGCCAAGCCCCTACCTGACCAGGTACTCCTCCAGCCCGGGCGCCTCCCGCGACAGCAGCTCCTCCGCGGCTCCGAAACCAATCAGGAAGCCGTACAGCTCGTCCATGAAGAAGCGGTCGCTGGAGGCCAGTGCGGCCTGCGGGTGGTCAGACGGAACGATAAGCGATAAGCGATGGGACGGGGGATGAAGTAAATGGAGGGTTGAATCAAGGGACTGGGGGCAGGCAGGCAAGGGCGGGAGAAGGAGAGCACGTCCTATCCAGCGCCCCTAGTACGGACCTTCAACAAAGCCGACTTGAACGCCGTACGTTCCGCCGTCGTTAGCGCCGCCGCGCTGCCGCCGGCACCTCCTTCGCCGCCACCTCCAAGTACGGCACGGAGCGCCGCAAAGATGTGTCCGTACGCCTCCCGCCGCCGCTGCCGCGCCATTTCGCATGCAGGGCCCATCTCGGGCCGTAGCGCTAGGCCCTCGGGGTCCCGCGCCGCTGCCGCCGCTAGGGGCACAGTCACGATACCCTGTGGGGGGGGACAAGTTAAGGAGACAGGGTAGGCGTACGACACAGACGCGTAAGAGCGCAGGAAGCTGCGTCCTCCTGTACCAGCAAGTCTAGCTCCTGTCCTCATGAAAAGACAGCAACATTAGCAACATATGCATGCACAACAACACAGGCATCCTTGCAAGGCCACACAATCGATACACCCCATGTGCGTGTTAACAAAACAGGCCGCGGCTATGCCCGTAGCACACCTCGTAGTGCTTCAGGTTGGCCAGCTGGCTGGTGAGCGACTCCAGGTGCACCACCAGCGGCACCCGCAGCAGCATGGAAACAGCCTGGGGAGGAGGAAAGTGGGAAGACGTAGGGAGGCGACATGAACGTCAAGGGCTAAGAGAAAAGTGATAAGAGGAAAGTGAAGGGTGGGGCTGCAGCATGGAAACTGCATGGGGACCAGAGGCACCAGAGGCACCGGCAATAGACGAGAAGTTTCCTCATTACCCCTCGAACCATTCCAACCGTCAACCGTCACACAACCCACCTGCCGTACAGTCGCCTCTCGCTCCGATCCCGCCGGCGCCGCCTCCGCCGCCTTCAGCAGCGCACTCGCCTGGTAGTACGTCCGGTCCTCCTGCCTAAAGTACGACGGAGCAGCCGCCTGCAGGGCCGCTGCCACCGCCTCCGCCCCCGCCGCACCCCCTGCCGCCAGGCCCATGCCCGACGCCGCTACCAGCCCTGCACCCCCTCCTGCTGCTGCTGCTGCTCCGCCCACGCCTGCCATGCCCATGTCTAGCTGCTCGTTTACGAGGCCGCTGATGAGCTTGGCAGCCAGGGTCTCACCATCTACCTCCTGGACTAGCCCACGGAGGGTCTGTTGCAGGGGAATAAGGCAGGCAATGGAAGGACAATCAAGTAGGAAAGTAGGAAAAGGATTAGATACGAGTCGCACATGGGCGGTATGTTCATGAGAAGGAGAAGGATGACGAGGGGAATCGCTAACATAACAAGCAGGTACAAGAGTAATAAGAGCAGGTACGGCATCAAGGGAATTAAAAGCGGCATGTCGACAAGCGGTTACCAGGTCCGCTTACCAGGTTCGCTAGCTTGGCCACATCCACCGCCCCGCTGCCCAGCTGCCGTAGCGCCAGGCGACCCAGGTTGTGAGCTGACAGCAGCCGCAACAGCGAACACGCCTCGGCCACACGCAGCACCAGCGCCCTGACATTTGCATGCAGTAGAAGAGGGGCGGGGGGTAAGAAAGATGAGCGCAAGGAAGAGGAGAGGTAAAAACAAGGTAAACAGGAGAAGGCAAGAGGCGGAGGACTGTAGGGGAACCTTCGCCACGCCTCCCACCATGCGCATCCCCACATCACCCGCGCCGCCTCCCACACGGGCATCCTGTCCTGTCGCACCCCTTCACGTAGCCATGCCCCCCCATCCCCGCCCTGCCAACTCCTACCCGCATTGCTTTGCCCTAACTTGTGGTCTCCTATGATTTGGTATGGTCGTTGACCCCCCACCTGACTCGCTGAGCCATCTCATCCTCCTGCTGTGCCGCATGCTCCAACCGCCGCCGCTTGTGCACCACCGCAATCGGGTCCTCCGCTGCCGCTGCCCCCACACCGCCACCTCCCACACCCACTCCAAAACTATAGCCAAAAGGACCCGCTGCGCCGCCGCCAAAGGGGCCGTACGGCTGCCCTTGCAGGCCGCCAGCACCGCCGCCATAAGGCCCCGCTGCGCCTCCGGCGCCGGCGGCGCCGCTGCCGCCGGCGGTGGCTGAAGTACGAGTTGCGTAGCCCTTTTGTTGCCGGCGGGCGATGGAGACGTCTAGGAAGGCTGCCAGTGCGTGAAGACGGTCCTCCAGGGCCTTATGTTGGGGTAATGGAGCAGCGGAGTAACATGGGAGTACCTTTAGGTTTAGCTTGTCGAGCTACATATGTCGAGGTTCAGCACGCTGACATGCAAACACTACAATGTAGAGCAACGTGCAGTTGTGTGAAGGTTCGACAAGCAAACTGCCAGTCTCCGGTCGCGCCAAACCAAGGGCAGGTGCAACATGTCCCTTCCCACCCACCTCGAGCGTTCTTGTGCTGAAGCGACACGTCAGCACCTTCCCGCCACCGCCAACCGCCACCGCAACCCTCTTGTCGTACACGGGTGCCAGCAACCGACTGACGTACAGACACAAACCCCGGTGTCCGGCACTCCAGGAGGGCCCCGGGTTGGGGTCCACTGCTCGTCCCATGTACATTCCGTTGCCGCCTCCGCCCATGCCGCCCGCACCGCCCATCATAGCCATGCCGCCCCCCGCACCGCCCATGTAGGGAGCTCCCGTGCTGCCACTGGGAAGCGGGTAGCCTGGGGGATATATACACGTATGGACAGGAGGATTGGGTAAGAAGTGGCGGGGACGGGGACGTAGGGATGGCAAGAAATGGTGGCGGCTGGGAAGTCAGAAAGTAATGTACGGCCCCTCATCACGGCTCTGGTGACTTGGGTACTGCTCGTCCCAGACCATGTTGTCAACACAGCGTGACGCTCGGCCAGCACAGAAGAAACAATTTACCGCAGCAAACATGGTATATCCCTTATCAACATACCTCCCCGCCCCATCCCATCCCTTCTGCACGGCCTAGGGCCCTCTCACCCTCCGATGTCGTCACATCCTCCGGCATCCTCGCCTCCCCAACCAGCAACGGATTCTCCAGCGCCGCTGCCGCAGCCCTGGCAGCCACCGCACTCACACCGCCACCTCCCAGCGAGCAGGAGGCGACGGAGGGCCAGTACGACGAGCCCCCGGCGAGGCCGCCGTACGAGGCGGAGCCGGAGGAGGGCCCCAGCGGGCCGCCAAGGGTGGCGGAGGAGGAGCCGGCGGGGCCCAGGGAGGAGGAGGAGGTGAGGGTGCCGGGAGGGGCGGAGGTGGCGATGAGGTAGCACATGGCGGCGGATTCCACGGCGCCGTACGCCTGTATGGAAAGGTAGCGGAAAGGTGGTTAGGTGGATTTAGTGGATAGGTGGATAATAGACGGGGAGGTAGTTTAGCGATAGTGTGTAGTAGCCCAAGGAGGCCAAACAATTGAAGCCGTCGGCTGTTTTCTATGAGGCTATGATTGCATGACAACTGCCGATAAAACAGATGCTGGCTGGCAAGCGTACAAAACCCATGTTACACTTCGCGGTATGTCGTGCAGTGCAGTCGCATCCAGTAGACCACCGCGTGCAAAAGTGCAACTGGGCTGTGCTGTATCCGGCAACCAACCAACCAACTACCAACTGCCAACTGCCAGCCCACCTGGAAAAAAGAGCGCAGCTGTTCCTGAGAGTTGCGCTCCAAGATGTGCTGTGAGGAGGGAGTTGGAAGGGAAGCGGCGTTGGGAAGGGCAGGAAGCGGGATCAGGAGGAAGTCATGTCACCAAGGAAGTGGGGTAAAGGCTGACGACATCGCTACCTTTCTTTCGGCCTGACTCGTGTTACTCTCACATACCGCCTTCCCATTCCACAGCCTTACCACGTCTATTTAGAACCCCCGTCCCCCGTCCCCCCGCGGATTCTGTTTCCAAAGTAACCCCCCGTCCCCCGCCTCCCCCCCCAAACGCACCATGAGCAGCTCCACGGGACGCCTCTTCTCCAGCTCCACCACCCCCGCGGTGCCGATCAACGCGAACCGCGGTGGCGGCCACCACACGGCTGCCCCCAGCTCGTCGCTGCTGGGGCCGGCACGCGGCGGCAGCGCATCTGCACCCAACACGGAGCGGCAGGGAGCCGCCTCCACGGCGCAGGTCTCGCCTGGGAGGAGGAGGAGGAGGAGGAGGGAAGGAGGGCGGGGAGGTGGTGAGGGAGGCAGTTGTTGACTAGAGGAGTCGTTTGGAGTGCGCAGTAGGAATTGTGCGGAGGGCCGTATCATGAAACACATCCTCCCTCTCATGAGACACATGTAGCTCTGACTATAAGCAAAAAAAAGGCGCGCCCCGCTTACCTGGTACGAAGTTATCGAGCTCCGTAACGCTCTCCCGCAGGCCGCCAACCACATAACCACCATAACCGCCATAACCATAACCGCCGTAACCGCTGCTACCGGTATGCGTGTTCAACGTTGCCGGCGGTATCGTCGTATTCCGCGACGCCGCCAGCAGCTTCGTTGCACCTCCGCCGCCGCCACCCCCGCCACCGGCGGCACCTCCCTGGCTGGCTCCGCCGCCGCTAGCCGACTCCGACAGCAGCAGGCAGCCCGCCGAGTAGTGAGCGGCCACAATCTCGAGGGCCGCGGACCTGCGGATATACAGTAGTTCAGTATAGAGTTTTTCATCCCGTGTAAGGAGCGGATAAGGACATGCCGGGCACAAAACATGCACCGGCGTAGTCGTTGCGTAGCCAATCGTAGTAGATCTGTATATGCGTCGGCCCACACACACAACCAGGGAAGGAACCTTGCACAGCCCCTTCTCCGTTCTCCCTCCTCCCCATACAACTTGCCCGAACTTGCACCCCTCATCCGATGATGTCATTCTTTGGTTCCCCCCTCACCTGGAAAGATCCGCGCCAGGTCCCCTCGCCACACCCGAGTGAGGCAATGCTGCCCGCGCAAACACCGCTACCAGCGTTTCAGGCCTGCGAGGGAATGGCGGCTCCGCACCCGCACCGCCAGCCCCCGCCGCACCCCCAGCAGCCGCCTCCGCCGCTCGCTCCGCGCTAGCAGTACCCGCACCGCCTCCGCCGCCGGCGGATCCAACACCCCCGCCGCTGCCGTACATGTTGCCGTACGTGCCGTACGAGGATTGATGGTGGGTGGTGAAGTAGATGCGGCGTCCATCGGCGGTAACAGCCAGGAGGTGCAGCTTGGAGGACTCGCTGGTGGCTGCATGGGGAGTTGGGGGTAGTTGTACGACGCAGGAGGGAGGAGCGGAGGAGGAGCTGTCAAGCCTTATGTTACATGGACAGTCCATAGCAGAGCAGGAACTAGCGGTGCAGGCAGGATTCTGCTAGGAAGCTGCTTCTATGGTAAGCCCCACAACCCTAAAGAGCCAAAATCCGAAACCAACGCATGGGACCGCCCATGGGACCGCACCGATGGGCGCAATGTACTTGACGGCAGCGCCCTTGCGGTCCGCTGATGCCCCTCGGAAGAGCTCCCGGCCCCCAGCCGCGCCCGCAGCCGCCGCATACAAATTCGACATCTCCGCCACACGACGAGCCGTGTCGTTGCCGTACGTGCCCAGGTCAAACACCTGCGTTTTGAAGTTCGCAAGCCAAGTTCTGCATCTTAGGCATCGATGTTTGACGGCATCGATATTTGACAAGCAAAGGTGTGCATAGTCGTCGGAGGTGCTCTTTGGCACGATACACAGCAACAGCAGTCGGCATGTTGTGACTCCACGAAGTACACGTCGTCGTCTTATCAACATGAGTAATGCGTCCACGTTCTTTACGTGTCCGCGTCCTACCTGGATGCCCGAGGCCGCATTCAGGGCGTACAGGATGTGCCGCTCCCGGTCCACCACGAGTTGTACGACGGGCGGAGGAGCGCCCATGCCCAGCATGGAAGGAACGAAGGAGGGGAGGTATTGCTGGATGCTGCTGGTCAAACGGACCTGCGCGGGGGGAGGGAGGTAAAGAGGAAAGGCGTAAGAGAGGCAAGCAGCTGGGAGGGTAAAATTTGTAAAGGGGGGCATGGACAGCATGGTACATGGGGGAGACCCACATGGAGGAAGGGCACATGTTCATGGGGATGAGGGCGAAGAAGGTTAACTGCAACGGCTAGTGACTAGTTACGCCAACCCAAACCCACCGAGCCCAACCCTAATCTGTGAGGTCATGTATGGGGTTTAGGGACCCGGTAGCAGGGCCAGATACGCTGAAGTCCGGGTTAACCATGTACAAGTCTTAGGCTACCAGGCAAAGTCGTCCTCGCCGCAGAAGTCCAAACCCAGATCAAAAAGGACAATCCCCTACCTTTGAGATGCGCTTGTGAAGCCAGGTCTCCGCTGCATGGTACGTCAGTTCGTACACGTGTCCATCCGTACCGCCCAAGAAGATCCGTCCACCGGGGCCCGATGCAAAGCACGTGAACACGACATTGTCCGCAGGAATGCAGTACAAAGGCAACGGCTGCAGGAGGATATCCTCCGGAACCGCCTCCCCGCCCTCCTCCTCGCCGGCCCCGCCGCTCCCCACCCCATTGCTGCTGCCAGCGGTCTCCAGACCGCTACTGCCGCCTCGGCGACTTGGGCAGACTCCGAGCAGTACAATCTCAGCAGCCGTACAAAGCACGATGATGTAGCGGATGGCAGGCAGGAAGACGCCCGGTCGCGGCACTGCTAGGCCCACGCAGTTGATGACGTGGTCCTCGCCGCAGTACTCCAGCGGGACATCCGAGCTGCATGCATCCGAAGCAACAGAGGGAGAGGAGCCGGCGGGTGGTGTTGGCGATAGAGGAGTCCCTGATACCGGGAGAGGACAGCTGGCTATGATGCTTTCATCCCAACCCTTCTCCCGTTGTTCTTGCAGTGCTTCCTCAGTAAGCCCCTTCTCCCACCAGGGTTCTGGTTTGCAGAGATAGGCCTGGGGCACCCACCTCCTGTCGTACCGCCACAGGAAAAGCGAGTTGTCAACAGACGCCCAGGCACGGCGAATCTGTGGAAACAGGCCCTGGAAGCACATGGCCTGGCATGCGCGGTACTTGTCCTGGACCATGGTGGGAAGCTCCAGCACAGCTGGTGATAGCGGACGGAGCAGCGACGGCCACTGCGGGGATAGGCATGTAATGGCCAGGTTGCAACTGCCGTCGGGCGACTTGTGTAGAGCAGCGAGGATACTCTAAGCCATAGCATGGTACTTCGACTAACCCAAATGCCCAACGCATCATACATGTCCACTTAGGCGTCGTTCGCGCCATCTACACGCCCTCAACTAGTGGAATTTCGGCTAGGGTGAAGACGTTAATCGCTATATTAAAAACGTATCCAATCCTTACCCCTTGGAAATGCTGCTGGTAAGTATCCTCTTTGCTGGTTGACGCGAGCAGATCATGCAATTCAGCATCGCGCCTGAACTCCTTGGAGACATCCGCGACGTGGCCAAACGTTTTTGATAGTTGCTCAACGTCCTGAAACTTTCTGGCGGGGATGTTAAGCGTCTCCGGCTGAGCAGCGCCGCCGCGGGTCCCCTCCGCCGGTATGTCCCGCTGCCAAGCAGGTGCAGCAGCCATTATATAATTATGAAAAACTAGAGACAGCGATTAAGTATGATCCTATGCGTCGGCCAAGGCTTGCCCCGTAACTCCCCACTTTCAAAGGCGGGAGACAATGCTCGACCACCGCTGGGTGATCAGACTACATACGAAGTGTTTGTGTGTGTCATATTTAACAATCGCTAATTGCGCACCAACCAGAATGTAAAGTCCCCGCTTTGCTAGGTCCTGGCGTCAAAAATTCTCTGCCGTAATTAACATGCGCGGCCAGTTAGCAGGTCTATGAAGGTCAATCAAATAATGCCCGTTGCTATGGATTCCATAAAGGAGATTGTAGCTGTGCATGATTGATAAGGGCGAGCAACATCCAAGGTGTACAGCATCCGTCTTTCTTTATTATCTCGCAAATGCATACGCTTACAATGGTGTATATAAAAGTTCAGCGTACCATGCCTGAGGTTGCGGCTGCAAGTCCTCTTTAAGGAAACATGGCTTTGCTGCTTATCGACGTTCGGACTTGCGGCTTGACATTGTTAAATAGCATTTCATGACATACATATGCGTCTCTATTAAATACCCTTCAACGCGCCGCTGAGACAAATGTTGTGACCCAGGGGACGTCCAAAGCTCGAGCGCGGCGCAATCCAGCCATTTTACCCCACGGCACGGTCATTGCTGGTCTCCCCGGCATATGTATGAGCGCAAAACAAGCTTTCAATATCCTCAAAGCTGTATTTGTGCCCAAAGAGTTTGCGCCCTTCTACATTATTTTAAATCGCGGGTAGTATTAAAGCCCCAACATGCGGGCAAGCGGGAATAAAATTGACTTGTGACGGTAAGTGTGTTGATAAGTCAATCTTTGCGCCATCTTTACCCCCAGGGGCCTCCTGCCCACATCGGTGCGAGAACGCTGACGTCAGCTATCCACGTGCTCGAGGCCATCTGACGCCGTTCCAAGTGCTATTGTTGGGCTGCCCGGCAGCCCCCTCCCCTTCCGGCTCGGACTCCGGCTCCTCCTCCCGCCCCCGGCCCCGCCTCCTTCCCCATGGATGATCTGGGTCGGGCGCCAATCCGCTCACGTGGACAGCTCACGGTCCGCGCTCGACCAAAACCCTAAGGAGCTGCGTAACGCCAGACTGGAGCCCATGGCCTGGCTCAAGGGAACTTGAAAGAGAGCCGGAGACGCTGAGGTTCCTGGGAATACTGGCCCCAAAACGTGTCGCTTGTGGTTTGGTAACTCGAGCTATATATAGAGACTGATAGGGGGGTTTCTAGGGTTGGTCCTCCTGCACCAGGTGATTGTGTTGCACCAAATGGGATTCGCTGTAGATACGGAGGGATACGGCACGTGCAGTCCATGACATGTGCAGTCCTTGATACATGCGAGCAGCAGAGACAGAGGCAAGCTTTCCCTGTAGGCCTTGGAACGTTTAGCCGAGTTGTGTTTTGTCATTTAGGGGCCTAGGGCGCCGTCGCGGCCGAGCCTATTCCTGTGCAAAGCATGCGTCTTCACATGCGCATGGCTTCCATGCTTACAGCTAACATCTCCTCCTGTTCTCCGGAATATATACCTTGAAAGAGTCTTACGTTGTTACGAGCATTGAGATATTGCGTCGCAGTACTTGTAGTACGCTTTTATAAGCAAATCGTCTCCTATCACGCTGTCAGCGATAAAACGACATACGTCTTAACGCGTTCCCTTTGCATATTGGTTTGTAAGTTGAGCTCGTGGATTGCCGCTGAAGCGTATCCCTTTCGGTCCTTTAGCCGACAACCCAAACCGCTGAAACCAGGCTTGGGAGGCCCCTCACAATAGGTGGCCTCCCGATTTATTACATAGTTAAAAGTTAGGTGAATAAGAGCAGTCTTTTCACGCGAATGGGCAACTCCTCAAGCGCCCTTTGTGGGTGCTATCGTCCTTACGCGGACATATACAAGCAGCCTGTGCATGATGTGACTCCAGAATGCAGGGTGGGTCACGTTTTGGTGCTTGCCCAGACCCTCTATGAGTGCAGGGCAATGGGTCTGCAACCCTGGGAAGACATGTGGCATATTTGCCGGCCCCGTTGAATTGTCCTTTTCCTTAGCGTCGCGCCGCCCGGTTTGTGTCGTCATATGGCAAGTTCACCAACGTCATGCCACTTATGGAATGATACTCGCAGCCGCTGGACATTGTGGCCGGAAAGGTTCCAGTGAAGGACAATAAACCAGCGATTGACAGCAGGGCTATCGACTCCTCCTTAATCCTCAACGTCCTGGACCATGAGAACGGACCAGCCAAAGGTCTTCCCTACCAGGTGAGCACGAACGCGAGAGTTGCGCGCATGTTGTGGAAACTAGGATAGCGCGGCAAGCTGCGCTCTGTGGACACAAAAGCACGTCGTCTTCCTCTCATCGGCGCGACAACTGGTCATAATCGCTCTCGCTCTCGCAACCATACAAGCTGGATCTACACCTCCTCGTTCAGCCCAGCGATACACCACAGCTAGTACATTGTCTTTCAGGGAATGCGTGGTTTAGGCACCGCGTATTTGCAGCGTGGAGACCCTACACGGTTCCCGGCCAGTCTCTCCCATTCTCCTCACCTTTCACTCGCTGCAACCCCGCCTGCTACCGCACCTTCTCCTTGGGACGCCGCGCCCGTTCCACTGCCTCATACGGCATGCTTGGCACGGCGTGCATCCGCAATTGCATGCTACCTTCGTCTTAACCCTACCATTCGGCCCCCCAACTCCATCTCGCTCAGGTGCACTACCTGGGTCCCCCCGTCCCGCCGTGCGAGGATGCCCGCTTAGCTACCATTCGTGCGCTGGACAAGATTGCGGATAAGCAGCCCGAGGTCAGTGTATACACAGCTGTTATGTTTGCCACTTTGTTGTACTAACACGATTATTTCCCTCTTTACTGCCGCCTACAGAGCGACCCCGAGATCGCCTCCATCCTGCGTCTCTGCACCTCCATGTTCCAGGTAGGGGTGAACTGGGGCTCTGGAACTCTGGGGCTCTTAACCCAAAATTGGGAGGGGAACAGGGATTAAAGACCCCGATTGGTTCGTAGACGGAACGATTAGGGCAAAGACAAGGGAGAGGAAGGGCGGTGGTCCGACACAAGACTTGTAGGATTGGTGTGAGGGGTTGGACCAGCGGCCGGGATCAAGGAGAAAGGGGGTTGGCCAGGGAAGAGGCTGGACACCGTAGAGAGACCCAAATCGGTAGAGACGCTAACCGCTACATAGGGTTAACAAACCGTAATTTGTTAGGGCGTACGGTGCATAGCTTTGCCGAAACTGGGCTGCTTTGTTCCTAACTTTCCCCCATGCATGGCCTTCCCGCTTCCTCTCTCCGCACCCCTCCCAACCTCGTGCCGTCCACCCTCCCCACTAGGCCCCGGTGGCGCTGGTGGCGCTGTTCGACTCGAAGCGAGTCTACATCAGCGGCAGCGAGGGTAGGTTTGGGTCCGAGCGGAAAGAGGAAAGATTAGGCCCGGCGGGAACATACATACTGCCGTGTAAGCTTTCGTGACCCTAGGCAGGTCATTAGGGACATCCAGTCATCCCTCCCCCCGTCGCTGCTTTCCATCCGGCCATCACACAGTCGGTTACCGCTTTTTACCGCGCGCGCTGTAATTTTCACGACAACTCAAATGTTTTTACAAAACCGGCGATATTTTTTCTGACACAATTTTACCGACCCAAATAAATATTCATTTTGTAAAACATTCGCGTTACTACGGTAGTTGTTACCTTGTTTCCTCCTCACCCCTCCTGCCAGGCGGCGTCATTCCCTGCGGTGACTTCCCTTGGAGGTGGACCCTGTGCGCCTGGTCGCTGGCGTACAACCACGCGCAGATCCTGGTCATCCCCGACACGCACCAGGTGGGGGAGGGATGGTGCTGTGTTTTAGGGGGGAATTACAGCAACTGGTCGGGCTGGGAAAATTAGTAGTATTGGAAAGATCAGGTTAAGAGGGCGTTGGTTGGGTCCTCTGATTAGGAACATGGTTTGTTTACAGGCGTTCTGTTCGCGCAGGTGGGTTGATAAGGAGGTTGTGAACGTAAGAAGGCGTTGAAGTGGGTCGCCCACAATCCAAAACACCTCATCTAAGGTCTTAACGTAACCTTCTCCCAAACCTCACACCTCCCCCATCCTCCCCCTCCAGGACGCCCGGTTCCGCGAGAACGCCAAGGTGACTGGCTCCCCCGGAGTGCGCTTCTACTGCGGAGCGCCCCTCATCGCCTCCAACGGACACCGCCTGGGCACCATGTGAGTGCTGGGGATGACTGGGGGGAAGAGGATAAAATTAATAATTAGTGCAGCAACTGGAGTCCCAAGCCCATATCCCGACTCTTGCAGTGGCAGGGGATGAGGGGACGCATGCGGGAAAACACGGGGCAGATCGGGGGAAGCAAACGGCATCGTGCATCGTAACACTGTTGCGTGCCGTACACTAGCAGCCCCCTACTTGCGGTATACCGCAGCCTTTTGGGTGCCCGATTTACCCATTAACTTCCGTTTTTACACCCACCCAAAAGCCTTATCAGTCGGTTAGATAGTTGTTTCCTCGTTACCCACCCTCCCCCTCCCGTCCTCACCTCCCCCCGCAGCTGCTTTGCGGACGTGTCGCCCCGCCCCGGCTTCGACGCGGCCTCCTGCAGCGTCATGAACAACCTGAGTGAGCTGGTCGTACGGCACCTGGAGAAGGACATAGCGTTGAAGCTCAAGACGCGGGACAACGATGTGCTCAAGGTGGGCTGCTAGTGGGGCTGTTGTTGCTGCTGCTAGTGGTGGTGTGTGGTGTGTTGGGAAAACTGGCCGCGAGTCGGAACGTACTGTGATCGCCGGAAGGCGTGGTGGCGGGTGGATGCTTGGTTAGCGTGCTCGCTTATGCAAAACCTAGCGACAGGAGGAACAACGAACCTGAACCTTGGGCCCGCGACCTGAACCCCTCGCTTCATTTCTCCCTCCCCCCTTTGCTCTCTCTCCTGCAGGCCACTTACGGGCAGCTTCAGCGCACGCTGGACTGCTTCGACCACTGCCTGGTGCTCATCGACACCAGCGTGCCGGGCTGGAGGCTCATGCATGCAAACGCGGCTTGGGCCAAGCTGACGGGTAAGAGGCTGGCGGTTGGGGCTTGGGTGCGGATGTGGGTGTTGGGATTTGTGTGTGTTACGAAAGCTGGTGTGTGTGTGTTAAGAAAACTGGCCGCGAGTAGGGACGTTCTGGATTGTCGGAAGATGTGTGTGTTAAGAAAACTGGCCGATGTGTATGTGTGTGTGCGCGCGTGTCGAGAGGTCCGTTCCACCTCCGTCCAACAATCTCGCCCCCAATTGTATGCGATCATCTTTTCCCCCTGCTGAAATCCCCCTGCTGGACCCCCCCTCGCCCCCCAGGTGTGGAGCGCAGCGATGTGGTCGGCAAGGAGCTGAGTGAGGTGTTCGAGGGCGCGGAGGGGCTGGTGGTTCCCACTCCGGAGCTGGAGAAGGCGGCAGCAAGGTGCTACGACTTCCAGGTGGGAGGGGGGGAGAAGTGGGAGGGGAGGGAGGAGTGGGAGGGGGGGAGGAGTGGGAGGGGGGGAGGAGTGGGAGGGGGGGAGGAGTGGGAGCGGGGAACAATTTATGAATGAGTAAAGCAATGGAGGGAAGTGGGGGCGTCGGATAAATATTAAGCCACAAGAGGGCAAGGCGGCAGGGTGCCACACGATAAGGGATTGTTAGTGGGGAGGGGCTATGCGGGTCGGGTTATTGGGGCGAGGGGTCTATATACTGTGGAAGGCACCGGTGGGGAACGCCAATGATCGTCACTTGACCCAAACCAAACTAACAACACCTGATGAACACTGGCTACCCCCCACTTCACAGGTGACGTCTGCCAAGCTGCGGCTGCCCTCCCCGCTGGGCAACCCCAAGGGCGGCTTCGTGCTCACCTTCCGACCGGCGGCGCGGGAGGGCATGGACGAGAGCGTGGTACCCATCGGCATTCCCGCCTTCCTAAAGTGAGTTTTGAGGAGTGAGGTGTGCTCGTCTGTGTTGTTTGCCTTTGCCGGGGGATCACGCCCACACAAGTTGCCACAGACTACGAGGATTAGATTGTCGTATATGTGTTTGGAAGACTGGCCGCAACTCTTGAACGCGGTGTGGTCCTCATGTGTATGTTTGCAGGCCCGAGCCCGATGCCGCGGGTGGTGAGGACGACGGTCCGCCTTCCTCGGCGCGACGCTTCTACTTCATGTCGGTGGACCTGGCGGGCAAGGCGCTGTCGTCGCGCGCCAGGTGAGTGTGCTTTGAGAGGAGGAGGCGGGTCAACAGGATTGCATGGGTGATGCAGGCTACCCCATGACCTTGCTGGTAACTTTCCGCTAGTGCGTAGCTTAGCGCTAGTGTACCGTATAACCATGGGAACAAGAGAGCGCATGCTACCTGACCAGGTGACCATTCTAACATCTTGCTTCTCTCTCCTTCCTCCCCCTCCCCCTTCCGTACCTGCTCCTGTACGACAGCTCGGTCATCTCGGGCGTCACCTCTACCTGGACCGCCGGGGGCTCCGACATCGTGGAGGTGAGGGCGCTGGGAGGGCGGTGTAGTTCGCAAGCAATGGTACTAACCGGCTGAATGCCACGTGCTGTTCTATCCATCCAAAAGCTTTCCCTCCCCGATGGGTTATGGTTTCCCTCCCCGATGAGTTATGGTTTCCCTCCCCGATGAGTTGTGGAAAACCAGGCTTATGCTGCCAGTACTCTTATACCAAGTCCTCCTGTCCTAAGCCCACACCTGCCATCTCACCCCCTTTTCCCCTTTCTCCTCCTTTCCAACACCCTACCAGGGCCTGGAGCTGGGTTACCTGCTGGGCAAGGGCTCCTTCGGCTCCGTCTACTACGGCACATGGCTGGGGACCCCGGTGGCGGTCAAGGTGCTGGACACGGATGTGCGCAGCGCACTGACCCGCGGGTCGGGCGGCGCGGCGATGGAGGCAGTACTGGGCCAGCAGCTGCGACATCCCAACATCGTGGCGACCCTCAAGTGGGCGGCGAGGAAGGTGAGCGGTCGGGGCGGTCAGGGGTGCGGCTGTGCGGGATGAGCAGTTGCGTGATGACGGGGCTTGGAGATGAGGCGCAGTGTTTGTTGGGTTTGTATTGTGCTGGTGTTATTTCCACCTTACCTCTGCTCATCTCAACCCCATCTCAACCCTCCCCCGCCTCTCTCGCGCCTCTCTTGCAGCTGGACCGGCCCAACGCCAACACCTCCATCATGACCAGCATGGACACCGACGGAGCGGGACACAGCAAGGTAGGTGGGTGGGTGGGATACGGTATATGTTCAACTGGCCGCGAACCCGACTCTAATCTTGGGTGTACGTGTGAACTGGGAAGGGAGACTGTGTGAGAGGGTCGAGGGAGTGGTACAAGAGGGTAGGGGCCCATGCGTATTGCGAACTGTCTTGACTGGGCTGTTTCTCCATACCCACCTTCCCTTCCCCCCTCCTCCTCGCTCCCCCAGTGCGCCAAGGGTGCGCTCCCCTCCACCGACACCAACGCCAAGACCCCGCGGGGACCCCTCTCCCAGCGTGCCAGTCTGGAGTTCGCGCCTCTGGGCCCCGAATCCTCCTCCGTCATCCCCAACACCACCAGCAGCAGCACGGTCCCTCCCCCTGCTCCTGCTCCTGCTCCTGCTCCCGCTCCTGCTGCTGCTGCAGACGGCACCAACAGCACGGACGCGGGTGCGGGTACGGTGCACCTGGTGTCACCTGCTGCGGTGTCGAACGTGGCGGCACAGAACGCATGGCCGGTGATCAACTTTGACGGCCAGCTGCATCAGCTGGAGGAGGCGGGCGGCACTGCGGGTAAGGTGGAGGCTGGTTGGGGAGATTGCAGCGGTTGGTTTGGACGCTTTTTTGAGGGTGCCTTGCTGTTTTTTATCCCCTCTGTGGCTGTTGTGTCTGTCGTCTCGCCAAGGCACGTGTTTTATCCCTTTATGTTGTGTGCATTCATTATCGTGACCCTTGCTACGACCTAGTATGATACTGAAAAGGAGTGCTCCCCTTCCCCTCGTTCCTTCATCCTTCTGTGCAGCTTCCAACGCGCAGTCCAACGACTGGCCCTCACTGCAGCCCAATGCAAAGGTAGGAGGCGGACGAGAGAAGATAGCGGAGCGAAAAGAGCTCAACTGTACGGCACAATCTAGCCATTACATAGCGGGCTGTCATTTCGAGCTCCATACTCGCTTTGTTATCGTACGTTTGGGTTTAGAAAGAAAGAAAGAATTTGGGTTCCCCCTCTCGCCCCTCCTCCTGCTCACCCCTACCTACCCGTCTGCCTACCTATCTCCCTCCCCTCCTCCTCTCTCTCCCTCTCTCAGGGTCGCGGCACGGGTGGAGTGGCCCGTGGGTCGGAGCCGCACAACAGCCTCAGCCACGATTGCGTGAGCTCCGGATCCAACAGCATGCAGACCTGGATCCTGATGGAGTTCTGCGACAAGGGCTGCCTGCAGGTGAGGGTGGGGTGGGAAAAATTATATAAGTGAAACAACGAGTCCCAATCCCATATCCCGACTCATGCAGTGAGCGGTGGGGTGGGGTGGGGAGTCATGAAGTAGGCCGAACAATACGAAACCGCAAATCAGGATGAAGGAAGGCAGCAGCATTGGGGTGCGGGGGTGGGTGGGTGGCTGCCTCTGCCGTCGCATGCACAAAAGTCAATCCCTGTGGGAGGTATTTCCTCTTCCTCCTTTACCTCACTTAACCTCCACTTGCTCCATCACCCCCCCCCCCCCCCCGTTTCAACTCTCACAGGAGGCTATTGACCGCGGCTGGCTTCGTACGGAGCGCTCGGCCCTCAGCGGCGGCCCCAACCTGGCTGCCGTACTCGCCACTGCGCGGGAGGTGGCGGCGGCGCTGGCCTACCTGCATGCGGCCAATGTCGTACACGGCGACCTCAGCGGCTGGAACGTGATGCTGTGCTCGGCGGGGGCGGCGGCGGCGGAGGGCGGCAGGGGCTTCGTGGCCAAGGTGGGAGAGGGGCTGTGGGAGGAGGGTGCTGGGGGTGGGAAAGGGCGTTGCGGGGTGGGAGAGGGGCTGGCGTTATCGTTGTCGTATTTGTAAGGGATGAATGCCGGATGACTGCCGATGACCCGTGGGTCCGTGTGCATGTATGCGTTTTTAAGTGTCCCTGATGTGTTGGCTGTGTGTCCCTGTACTCTCTGCGTCCGTGCAGGTGGCTGACTTTGGTTTGAGCCGCACGCTGGAGATTCGCTCCAAGATGCAGACCGCAAACTACGGCACGGTGAGTGGCAAATAGGGGGGGGTTGGGGGTTAGGTGAACGGAAGTACTGACCGTGACCGTAGAGCCTAGTAAGTAGAGCATAGTACGGAGGGAGGGAAGAGGGATGGATCCTCCTCCCCCACGCAGCCCTCCGCATCGGCTCCGATCACCACCAGGCTAATATCACCTAGTGTTGCCACTACCAACCAACTCATGGTTCTACTTCTCTTCTCCTCTCCCCTTCCCCCCCCCACACGCAGCTCTCCCACATGCCTCCCGAGCTGGTGCTTCACGGCACTGTGAGTCGCGCGGTGGACGTCTACTCGTTCGGCGTGCTGCTGTGGCAGATGTACACCGGGTCGCGACCCTGGTCGGGACTCACACACAGCCAGATCATCATGCTCATCGGATCAGGGGTGAGTGCACCGTACCGTGCCGCACTGTAACTACCGTGCTCTTACCGAGAAAGGGGTGGCCACTGTGGAGGAGGAGAGGACAGGGATCGGCGAGGATTCTGCTTGGACGTACCGGTACGGCACCCCTTGCCTTCCCTTCTGCTGCCTTCCCTCACCTCACCTCCCCTGCCGCCGGCCCCCCCCATTGTCACACCACACATTGGAATTTCTCCCCCCCCCAGGAGGCCCGCCTCGTGTTCCCTCCCGGCACCCCCTCCACCTACGAATCCCTCATGCGCGCCTGCACGGACCGCGACCCCGACCGCCGCCCCGCCTTCACGGAGATCCTGAAGCAGCTGGAGGAGATGGCGGAGGAGCTGAGGCTGCGCGGCATGCTGGACTGAAGCAGGGGGAGGGAGGAGGAGGAGGAGCTGCACGGCGGGCTGGATTGAAGGGTCGCCAGCAGCAGCAGCAGTGCGTGCAGCACCGGCGAGAGAAGCAGGGTAAGGCGTCAGGAGCAGCACCAGCAATGTAAGCAGGAAGAGGAGGAACAGGTGTATGCGGAGCGGCTATGCCCCTGCGACGCATGCTGGGACCAAGGAGAGGCTGGGGTGCTGGGCTGGGTCAGGAAACAGCGTGTGGCTTCCATGCCTGATCACCCCGATGGTCTGTATGAAAGTGCATGTACACATTGATTAATGGGTTGCTTGTGTGTGCGTTTGTGGGTGTGGGCATGATTGATGTGTGCGTGGGCGCAGCAGGCTGTGTGTGGCTTCCCTCGAGATGTTGCAGTTGTTGGGGAGCGGGGGAGCGTGTTTTGCCTGATGCGGGTTAGGGGATCTTTTGTTGCTGCAAGGGTCTTGTTGGCACTATCCCGATGGAGTTGTTGGCTATTAATAAATTGAGGACCTGTCCGGTGAAGTAGAGCGTTTGGTATGGTTGGGTGTTCGGTTGAGGGGCGCATGGAGGCCACCGGGCTCTGGGGATAACGTTAACAGGTTGGAATCCCAAGCCTGTAATTGGGGTATCCTGTCTTGCCGCAGTCCACGTAAGCAGTATACGTAGTGTTGGCGGCACATTGTTGTTTGGCATTGACGATGCGGAGAGAAGCTGGGAACTTGCAAGCATGCAACGGCCGTAGGCTGCTACGGGGTTATGCTGCTGTCGATGCGTGTGGTATGTAAGTTTCAGGTAGGGTTTAGGGACAGCGCTGTGTGTTATGGTGGTTTCGGTGCTGGGAGGTTTTAGGGAAGGATCAAACCCAATTCAAGGCTTAAAACCGTAATCTACGAGCGTGAGAGGAAGGTGCGTGCGAAGTCGTAACCGCCTGGGGGGGTAGCCTCGTACGGGGGCTCCCGCGGGATGTGTTTTTGCGGTGCGTTGCGAGGGGGCACGTGACGCCGCCGTTACATCTGTTGTGGCGGTTGTTCTGTTGCGTCGGCGCGGGTATTGGTGGTGGCCGTGAAATGGAGTCGCGGCTATGATCATGAGGCATGCCGTGGCGATGCTGGCTGAATGAAAGGGTGGGAGGACGAGAGGGATGCCGTTTAACAAGTATTGAAGGCGGGCGGGATGCCGGGCATATCCATGATTCTGAAAATGCAACAGGGCTGTAAAGAGCCTGTCCTGAACTTCAATTATCGAGTGGATAGCTTGCGGATAGTAGTGGCGGCAGCCGGCAGGCGTAGGGACGGGGTCTTATTGGGAGGGAGCCCTAAGGGATGGGGCGGGGAGTGTTACGGCGAGGGTGGTGGTCCGAGTCTGTGGCGGTTGCTAAATGGTGAGTGTGATTTGAGGGAAAGCGAGGGTAAAGTGTTAATTAAGCTGGCCGCGAGTAAGAAAGAGACCGAGACGCATGTGCGCGTTTGGTCTTGGAACGTCTGTCAGTATGACAAAACGGCCAAAATACCGCTCTTGACCCCTGCTGCTGATGATGACCTGTGGATACTTAACTGGATGGTGAAGGTAGGTGGTGGAGAGGTCAACCAAAGATGGCTCGCTGAGACGACGTGTTTTTAGTTCCGCACACCTGCAAGGAGCAGATGTTTTATGTGTGTAGTGTGTTAAGAAAACTGGCTGCGAGTGGGAACGTACTGGGACGTACTGTGTCTTAGCGCAGTCGCTCGGCTAACAGCCGCAGCTAGCTGCCAACTGTCAAGTCCATCCGTGGTACTAGAGGGTAGTGGGCATCGAGTTTTTGCGCTTTGCCTTTTGCGGACAATAATTCCTGTCTTTGCGCACCACGGTTTTTGTTAGTTTGCGTCTGGGAAGGATTAATCTGGATGTTTTCAGGGATGAATTGGAGGGATGAATTGGAGGGATGAATTGGTTCTGGTTGGCTTATGGCATGCTGTTTATGTGTTACTTTGTCAGTTTGGCGACGAAGGGTGGGAAGGAGCGATGGGAAGGAGTGGTTATGAGGTGTGACACGCGCTGTGAAGCGCTGGCACACCTTTCCTCGCCTTTCCAGTGCACCAGTGTTTTGTTTGGTTGAATGCCCTCTGTCTTGTCTCTGTTAGGTGCGGGGCGATACACACGCCTAATAGTCCATGATTGCTTGTTACATGATTTACATGGCTGGATGTCGAAATAATGCCAATTCCTCTTTTGCTTTCGGATGTCTGCAATTCGGTGTATGTGATGGACATTGTAGCCTGGCTGGAAGCAGACAGGGAATCTGCTACTGAAAGGTGGGGTTTTTTTCAGGAGAGTATTGCCACATGGTCGCATGATAGCCGCAGAGGAGCCGTGCCATGTCTGTTAACAATAACACACGTTTGGACTGGCGAAGGGAGACAACGCTTCACAACTTTTGGTCTTTGCTCGTCTCCTGTGCAACGATGTCGTGCATGCAAGCGCATACGTGTACGATATGATGCATTCTGGTACGGCGTGCGCTTTTCAACTGTACGGCAAAGTACGGAAAAGATTGGGGGAGGATAAGAGCGCTGGACTTGCTGGTTTATGGTTTTTTGATCCGTCGTCTGCACGCACGCGTTGCATTGGACTGCTAAGAGCAAGCTGTGCAAATGGCAGCATAGAGGCATCTGTGTTGCTGTCTGGCTGCCTTTCGGATGTCCGACGATTTGGGACACAAAACCCTTATCCGCCCACGTTTGCGCGTGTCCTGCTATCCTAAGCACTTTTCACCCATCTTCAAATGTTGGCACTTTGCTGGAGGTGAACTCTGTTTAACCAGGCGGGCGAAAGCTGCCGTCATTTACCTGTTTGTTGCTTAATTTGTTCATCATGTGATGCCGAGAGCACGTTAATAGGACGTAGTGTGGTGGCTGGATACCTGGGGACTGTGCACGTCTGCATGTAACCTTGCATACTTCCATCTTCATGCTTTCAACACGCACGCCTCACACCGACGATTCCCCAACTCAAGCCCTTCAGCTGTCCTAACATGGCGCAAGGTATTTTCCAAGGCCTATCCATTGGTGACTCCCCTGGCGAATGACGATTTCCAAACAGTGGTTTACCATGTACAGGTACATCTACTGCGTGCTCGCGTTCGTGCGCGGTCACCACTATAGTCCTGAAAGTGAGATGACCCATGGGTCAATCCCAGCAACTGTCATCTCCATGTGTTCGCCAGCACGTGTTAAACCGTCTCCCCCAGGCGAAAAACACATGGCACCCGTCCATGACACCATCACAGCTCGGCTTCTCAGCACACGCAATGGCCCCAAGCCTACCCTGAAGGGCGCTTTCCTCCTTAGGACTGCGCCAAATCATCAAACAGAGATGTGCTGCCTGCCAATAGGCGTGTACGGCTTTCATCTTAACCGGCCAGCCCCACGGCTTCCAGATAAACATTACACCGTGCCCCGTTGCACCTCCTCCCTCCCACTAATGCATAAGCAAAGCCTATCCCCGTGCGCTATTTGCCGTCTTTGCTCGCCTTCACCGCCTCACTTATAATAAGCACCCACACCCACAACATCGTCATACGGCGGCGGACAGGAAGGGTGTGGAGGGGTGAGCCATCAACGGCACCCCCGCGCCCCCACCCGCCATGCCCAACCCCAGCCCTAACCCGCGACTGCTGCCGCCACCACCGGAGCCCGTTGCGAGGCCTGCTAGGCAGGAGTCGAGCATCTGGCGCTTCTCCTCCTTGGTATGGTACGGAAGCAGCCATCGGAATTTACTGCAGAAGGCAGAAACACCGATGCAAAGGGGCGGGGCCCGAGGTGATGGAGGGTAGGAAGGAGGGGAGCAGGAAGGGTAGAGGAGGGAGGAAGCAAGAGTCAGAGGCATGACGGGAGGGCTGGAAGAGTGGACGTGGCTTTTGGATAGCTGTGTTAGCCATAAGGCGGTGCATACGACCCATGGACGGTGAATGCATGCACATGTAAACTTGTCGCCTGCTAGCCGCTCCCAACTACCGTACTCATCTCCACTGCATACCGTACCCCGTGTAGTACATGCCCCTCCCCTTCAGTTGCAGTACATACCGCTCTCGTACCTAGCACGCTCGCCCACACACTACTCTGCCGTACTGCTACCCAACTCACGTGCGTCCAAACACTTCCTCGAAGTTTCTTCGAAAGCCCTTGTTGTACGGCCAGGGATGCAGCCGGTCCTTCTCGTACATTTCTATTGTCGTACAGTTTGCTGCTAGCAGCTGCCCATGCATGATGAGGAAGCCAGCGAGGCTGATACTGAAGGCGAAGCAAAAGATGCTCACCACGAATATGAGCGGTGCGCTGAGGGGATGGAGGAAAAAAGGAGGTGGAGAAGAGAGGAGGGCCAAGGAGGGCAAACCGTTGGCGTTACGTTATAAGCAGAAAATAGATATTGCCAGCCAACACTGTTGCCCTCCTCCCTTACCCTATCCTAAAAGCCCCTTTCCGACCGTCTAGACCCCCTCCCTCACCCTCAAGGTACCTACCTTGCTACCCCGTCCACCCAAGTGCCTTACACCCTAGTGCCTTACAACCCCCCCTACCTGGGCCCCCGCAGCCGGTTGTTAAAGAAGTCTATCACGCTCCGCAGCAGCAGCAGCATGGCTAGCAGGCAGCCCAGCGCCGCGTAGAAGATGAAGAGCAGGAACGCCTGGCGGGAGGGGGCGGGAGGGGCCAGGCAGGAGGAGGGGAGATGCATGGAGAGTGAGAAACATGGCATGTCACATGCGGGAAGGTAATGGCTAAAAGGGGAGTTGTTGGTGTTTCCGATGGGCTGGCAACCCGGTCCAACGCACTGCTCTGCTGTGCTGCCTGCTGGCAGCTCAAGCCAGGCATTTGCAACCAGCGGCTGCAAGAACCGCTGCCCCTTGCTGCTGCCACTGCCCTTGGCAACAGCTGTCAGCCAGGACAGCGACCCCAGTCGGACCTACCGCCTCCCTACCGCCCCCAAGCCGCCACGTCATGGGCGCGTGTTGAGCCAACTTCGGTCAACCAAGCCGCGTTTTTTTAGAAACGAGTCAATCCGAGCCACCCTGCATGATCATGAGGATGTGTCGTACGTACCTTGTAGTTGAGAAGCCCCACACAGTTGACCACCCAGATGCACCAGTGGTCCTAAGGTGGGGGGGGGGGCAGGAAGGGGGTGAGTGAAACCCCGACTAGAACAGTTAGCGTCAGAAGATTAGGAGTCTTCTCCCCCTCAACATCCTTCTCCCCCCCCAGCCCCGCACCATCTTCAGCACGCAGCGCCCCATCACGGAGCAGTGGTGCGCCCGCTCCGGCTTCCAGCCCTGGCAGCGCTTGCAGTAGCGAGGGCGCCGCGGGTCGCGGCGGTCAAAGTAGATGCTGCTGTACGACAGCCGCTCCAATTCTGTGCGGGCTTGCTGTGTGGCCGTGGATGCGTGGATTGGGGGGTGGATTGGGGCAGGGGAAAGGAGGAAGAGAGGGAGGTGATGAAGGTAGCGGCAAGGGTGGTAAACGGGTCTGTTTTAAGGAGTCCTTAGGCCAGTCCGTAGCTCGGCTTCCCAAGCCCTGTGCCACCGCCAAACCCCAACACAGCCCTCATCTGTGCATGCATCCCGTCCCCTTTCCCGCATGCCCCTCCTCCTCCGCGCCCTCCCGCCCCCAGCCTCCTACATTTCCTACGGTTTGGTGTGTATTTTTGACCCCCAACCTCCTCCCAAAAGGGACGTGGTCGCCCCACCTGCTCGTCCTCGAAGGGGTGCCAGCCTACGGGCACCCTGCCCGGGTCGGTGGCCACTGCTGCTAGATAGCTCCACACGCACATGAAGGTCTGGGAGGAGGCAGCGGAGGAGCAGAGGAGAGGTTTGGGGTGAAAGGAGTAAAGGAATGCCATGCTGTTCACGGGTCCATGGGTTCCCAGGAAGGTGGCTGGGGATGTGTAGAGGCGGTATGGAGGGTGGAGAAGGAGGGCGGGGAGGACGAGGGGAACGCGGGGCAGCAGCAAGCAGAGGTAACCCGTCCTTGAGACCCAGCTGCTCCTTCATCGTGCAGCGATGCAAGGACTCACAACAAGCGTAAAGATAAGGATGACCACCACACTGCCTACGATGACCAGCGGATTCCTGCTGAGCAGCTTGGGTGCGTAGGTCATTGGAACAACTGCCGTGTAGATGAGGCCGACCAGACCCAACACCAAAAGGACCATTACGTGGCCCAATATCCGCAGGAACCGACAGTATTGAAAGATGTTGAGCCATTTGCTGCTGGTGGACAGCGTGGAACCGCACGGTTGTGACAAGCTGACACGCTCGCCGCGATCAGGCAGTGAGCGGATGCTCCAAGCTGGTGTGCTTAATAGCTGGCCCGTGGACCGTCCGACGCTACCTAGGCTTTGGCTGGGATGCTGCATGTTGTCGATTCCAGCTCCGTGCAGCCCCAGCAGCTATCAGGTGAATACCTAGTTACATAGACTCAAAGTGCATCTGTTAGCATCACAGAGGTAGGCAGTATAGGAAAGATAGACAAATAGAAGTTCAGGGGAGCAAGCTGGGAAGCCCTTTCGAGGTAAACAGCTGTGGTGCAACGTTGACAAAACTGTTTATCCATGAAAGTATGCTCGTAGTGCACATATGCACCAGATGACAAACGAGCGCTGCCGTGGATACCATTTTGGACGAGCAATGAGGCAACACCCATACCTTGAACATGACCAACAGTCCAACGCCCTAGCTCATGACATAGGAGGGCTATCTTTGCAAGCACGGTATAGCTTGCTTTTGACACGATTGTTACTGCATAAGCTTTACTGCACCGTTTCCGTCTGCTTCGTGCCTAATTGTAATAAGTAGGCGAACGCGTGTTTAGTTGTGTCCCTCGCAAGTGTTCCTCCTTTTTTTCGGATCTAGAAGCTCACAGTACTTGGATAGCCACTGCGAAGGCTCCTTACGCTAGCCAGCCGCACAGGAGCGTGTTATAGAAGGAGCTCTGGGCCGAGAGGCCCTTGCTTGGGTGTAACCATGGTAAGGGGGCACCGTTTGTTTGCAAACGACAGCTAGACGTTAGTCCCAACTTGCCTTGCTGCTGCAGATACATTTTGTAATCCTTATGAGTCGCCAAGGCAAGGTGCGCCTGGCGAAATGGTACTCGACGTATAACATGAAGGAACGCGCTCGCGTCGTGAAGGAGATCACGCCCATGATTCTCGCCCGGCCCCTTAAGCTGTGCAACTTCCTTGACTGGAAGAACATTAAGCTGGTGTACAAGCGCTATGCGAGCTTGTATTTCGTGTGCGGCGTGGATGTGGGCGACAACGAGCTCATAACCCTGGAAATCATCCACGAGTGAGCTTCTTGTAGCTATGGCCATTGCTGTCCTTCCTTGCTATATACATTGCGGTGTGGCCATGTGTACGGGAGGGGCGAAGTTGTCCGATCGGGCTTCTGCGGTGGCGGGGTGTTTTCCTTGATGGACCCGAGGAACATCCATGTCCATCCCATTCCAACTCGCGGTGCTATTGGCATGCGACTCCTTACTATCACGCGCATCACGTCTCTCGTCCAGATTCAAGCATGCCCTCCGGCCATCGATTAGCGGCCTCCCTACCCCACGTTGCCATGGAAGCCAGAACATGCCCCCTCGTCCGCTCTGCCATGCACAGGTTCGTGGAGGTCCTGGATCGCTACTTTCAAAACGTGTGCGAGCTGGATCTCATTTTCAATTTCCATAAGGCCTACTACATCCTGGACGAGCTGCTGGTGGCGGGTGAGTGGTATGACAAGTGCTGGCTGGGAGCACTGCCACCCACTCCACTTCTCACACACCCCCAAGTCGTACAGCATAGCAAGGGGTCTGGGATCCTCGCGCCTTGGCTTGCAACCCTCTGCTCGCTCGCAAAGCTAGCCACATGATTTGGGTCGGTCCCTACTCGACCTAGGCCTCACCCAGTCATTGGACCGGGCTTGGTACCAATCAATCTCCTCGCACCCCTATACACACTACCCGCCCTCCTCCTCTTGGGGCCTCCAGGCGAGCCGCCTCCTATCCCCTTGGCCTTGCCCTCACGTGTGGTTTGGTATAACGTTTGCCCACCCCCCGCCCAGGCCTCCCTCCCTTTGCCTTGTAGATCCCGGCCGCCTCATTGACCCATTGTTTTGCCCTCATTCGTGGTTTCCCTTGGTTTGGCCTACTTTGACCCCCTCCTTCCCCAGGCGAGCTCCAGGAGCCGAGCAAGAAGGCCATCCACAAGCACATCCAGGACCAAGACCAGCTGGTGGAGAACGCCAAGAACGGGATTGGGGAGGAGGGGCAGCCGCGGTAGGCGAGACGGGGAGGAGGGGCAGTCGCGGTAGGCGAGACGGGGAGGAGGGGCAGCCGCGGGGGGAAGAGAACAAGGAAGTTGACCATACTGCGGTAGAGGAGAGGAGGGAGATAAGAGCCGGGAAGGGCATATTGGTAATAGCAGTAGAGGAGGCCATGTGCGGGAGGAAGAGGAAGAGGGGTACAGCTGAGGTTGGGGCGGGGATGAAAGGAAGGTAGTAAGGGGCAACACCTGCGCGCATGGAGTCCCTAGGAACTGGTTGCTAGCTTGCCATTATTTGGGTTGGAGAAGACGAAGACGATGAACAACCAGGGCCCTCGGATGAGGACAGTACCCTAGCTGGGAGGTAGGTTAGGGAGCTGGTGCACGGTTCGCGGGTTGCATGTGAGAGGGTACCGGTATGGCAGCTTGTGTTCACACCAGGAAGGGGCAGGGATCACGCAGCGACGAGTGGATTCTAGTTACAGTAGCAGGAATGTACGACTTGTGTTAACATTGCGGAGGATAGCCGTGCGTAACCCGGCGGCCAAAAGCTGTGCAACGACACGTGCTGTAACGGTTGCTGCTCTGCCGGTGACCCATGGGCTGCAAAGGGGGGGGTAATAATAACTAGACTGGCCGCAAGTGGGGTGGGGAAGGCAGAATCCGCGTTTGAATGCCAGCCAGGGAGGGCGGTCGTGAAGGAGGAGCTGCATGCGTGTAACAACTTGTCACTCATCACGCCAGGGGTTAACTGCATGGTTAGCTGGGAGCGTGCCCCTTTCTTGTTTCTTGTTTGTCCTTCGGGGTTGGCCTACATGGCTTAACCTAAAGGCTTAAGGACTATAATGGACCCGCCAGCTGTCATCGTCTTCCTTGCGGGGGGGGCTGATGTAGACCCTGCGTCGAACACGTTGACCTGGAGCCACCGTCACCTTACTAGCCTCTTTTTTTGTCAGACAGATATTTGTCAGGTTACGCAGGTTATTATTGGTTCATGGCTGGTTGGGTGGACGCTTACGAGTCGCTGACTTCTCGTACAGTCCTCGCGTAAATCAACCTTGGGCATTGAATTACATAACCAATTCGTTACCAGAAAGGATAACTGCATAGCATTATCCTATAGCTCACTGTAAACCGAGTATCTTTGGCATACGCTTCACTATCTACCCTTTCCTGCTGATTACCCAACTGATGGCATTGTCCACGCTGTCTCGCAGCCTTCCCGGCCTGTGCTTACCTTTAGGCGCTATAGCTAGCACCTCACGCCTACTTGGAGCAGGTGTGGCAGCAGCTACCGTTTCCAGTGTCGGTGGAAGCGCGGCTTCGTCGCCATGGCCGACGGCGTCGCGATGGCCACGAGCTTACGCTACTATTGCGCCGGCAAGTCCGAAACATTGATACTAGAACATAGATTTACATGATAAGGACTGTAAATTATTCATGTTGCGTACACTACTGAGTTTTTGGGCGTGTGCAACGTCATGTCCTCATAACCATCCATCCGCTGCAACGGAGAGGACAGCCCGTCCTGTTGCGAACTTGTCTTGGCTGATTCGTATTATTTTAATTATTATTCTCATATTCCATGGCTTATCACCGCTGCTGCTTTGTTTGTCGATTGCTCTTCCGCCGACTTACTTGCCCGGTATTATTCTTCCCTTTCTCCAGGGCAACACGCGTCCAGTTCACGACACCGAAAACCATGTCAAGGAGACCTCCGATCAGCACCACTCTGCGCCGACTACCCTAAAGCCTGGAGGCTCTTTCGCGGCCGGCGAAGTCGTCCCGCATCCGGGGCTCAAGGCCAGCCTTGCGGATTCCTGCTTGGCCGAGAGCTACATGCCACACCCTGCCTATGACACCAAGTATCTAGAGTCAGTTCGTCCGACGCATTTGGAGCCGGATAAGGTGCGTGGCGTTGCTGGGCATGTAGCCTATCTAGGCCCCACTTGCCGAGCGAATCCTGCTGCAGTACTCGCACATGCTTTTGTGTTTCTGCTTCTGTAGCATCCCACGACGGTACCGATAGTGCTTATTACCATGCGCACTTGCCGTTTTACTTTCCTCGAAATCACTCCGCACCCTTGCTTATCTCGGCATCCTATCCACTACATGCTCTTTTGCAACACACTACCAACCTCCTTCCCTCCTCCACCCACAACGACTTACAACGTCGCACTTAAATTTCCTTACCCCTTCTTCCTAAATTTTCCGTGTGCCGTACGCAGCTCCACCAGCACCTGGGTTTCCGTACGGTACGACTCATCCGGTGGCTGTTCGACGCTGTCACGGGCTACGGCCCCGTCATGAGCGAGGCCCAGTGGCTGCGACGGTTGGTATTCCTGGAGACCATTGCGGGGGTTCCCGGCATGGTGGCGGGTATGGCACGACACCTCAAGTCGCTGAGATCCATGAAGCGGGACTACGGTGGGTTGGTTGTTTGGGGGGTGGAGGTGAGGTGGGGTGAAGTCAACGCGGGGGCGAATGGAGAGTGTTGACGGTGTCTTCTGTTGGGATGCTGGGACGCTTATTTGCTCCTTCCGGCTGCAAGCACTACCTGCTTCAACCCGCCAAAGCCCTAAACCGATGCCGCTTAGCACTCCGCTCCTCCTCCTTCTCCTTCTGCGTCTCCTTCCCCGCCTCCTACCGTACCCTTCCTCGCCCCTGCCCCCTGCCGCTGTTCCTTCGCTCAATCCGCTCCACTAATCCGCACCTAGGAACCAGCTCCCCGCCTCCCGCCTACCAACCCGCCCCCCCCCGCCTCCTGCTCCCCCACTTTCCCAGGCTGGATCCACACGCTCCTCGAGGAGGCCGAGAACGAGCGCATGCACCTCATCACCTTCCTGCAGATCCGCGCCCCGGGGCCGCTCTTCCGCGCCGCCGTCATTGTCGCGCAGGGCGTCTTCTTCAACGCCTACTTCCTGGCCTACCTGCTGTCTCCCCGCACCTGCCACGCCTTTGTGGGGTTCCTGGAGGAGGAGGCGGTGCGCACTTACACGCATGCGCTGGCGGAGATCGATGCGGGCCGGCTGTGGCGGGGTGTGGCGGCGCCGGAGGTGGCGGTGCAGTACTGGGGGCTGCAGCCGGGAGCCAGCATGCGGGGTAGGTGGGGGGCGGTATGAGGGTGTGTAATTAAGGGTAGGTGGGAGTTGGCATGAGCGAACAAGGATAAGAAGTTCCCGCCCGCTTGCATGCGCTCCTGCCCGCCTGTAACCTCCATCCATGTATGCGCTCCTGCTGCCCGTGCAGACCTGGTTCTGGTGTTGCGCGCGGACGAGGCCTGCCACGCGCACGTCAACCACACCCTCAGCCAGCTGGCTCCCAACCAGGTCAACCCCTTCGCCTCCGGGGCCTCGCAGCTGCCGTAGGCAGGTGAATGAAGTGAACATTGCTGCTGCTACAGCTGCTGCAGCAGCTGCCTTGTATGAAGCAAACACTGCCGCTGAGCCGCCGTTAGGTCACAACGGCCATCATGCATGGGGGGCCTTGTTCGGGAGGATTTCCCCTGGCTCCCCAACCGAGCCACTGTGTTGAAATATGGAAGCTTAGGAGAAGGACGCTTGCCTCACTAGCGTTAGTTAGTGCTGCTGCCTCGGCGTGTAGAAGAGGTTTCTGGTGCGTGGGGGGTACCCGGTCTTGCATCAGGCTGGATGATGACGCACCCTTTGCATGTGTACGTCTCATTTCAACGGGGTTTGCGCATGCAGGTGGCTGATTGCTGGATGGATGGCTTGCTGGATGGATGCGTGCGCTGCAAAGCAAGGAACGTAGTGCGTCCTGTGTGTAGTACCGGTAGTGTTTGCGTACATGCATGTATCTGGAGGCAGTGACCAGCTACCGGTATGCTTTGCAGCGGTACAAGCAATGGGAACGATTTAGTACGCAACGAGGACAATGCATGCAAGAACCTTCCGGGGCTCTTCGCTGGTCCTTAGATGTGCGGCATTTAAACTGTGCGTACGGCATCATACGTGTATGGCATAGGTCTGATACTGTGTATGGCATAGGTCTGATTGTATCCGAGAGAGTATGCGGGCAACTGAGCTACGCTAGTGATGTTGGTTTGACTGTCGTAACTGACACCACGTGAATCTTTATTTGTAGTACGGGGAGTTATGCCGATCCCAGGGCCATGCAATTAGCTGTTAATATTGTAGATGCGTCCGCTGTAACAAACAGTTTGTTACCGTTTAGAACTTCAGATGGTGGCGTGTCATATGCGGGTATGCCAAGTCGTACCTGTGACACATAGCCGGGTTGTACCTTGTATGGTTTCCTGGGAATGGTGTGTTCTGCGGGCCCTGCGGGCCTTTTAATTACGTGTTCGTCGACGAGACGTGGTGGTGGGTTGTCGTGAAATGACGTTCCAAGTAAGTCCTTTGGAATGCTCAGTTGCTGTTTGTAATGCTAGGACGTCACGTATCTCTCATGAGCTCATCCTGCCATCAACGCTGCGCACGAGTTAAGGATTAAAGTTAGGCCACGAAGCTCGACGTATACTGGCGCCTTTGGCCGCGCTAGCAGGGCAACGGCCCGCGGGTCAGCATACCCCCACCATTAGTTGAAGAGAGACAACATTTTTAACAATTTCGAAATAGCATGTTTGGCGAAGAAACGACTGGCGCGTCGCCAAACGCGGCAGACCGATGCCGAATACCGGTAGTTTCCGTGCAACATTGTAATTTCTGTGAGCATGCGGAATGATTATATTTAATTCTATTGCCGTAAGGCAGTACTGGTGAGGTCCCCGGCATCCATTTTGAGTCCGGCCTGAGTGGTCAGGATAGAAGCGTCGCGTACGGCAAGGCCGCGGGAACTCCGCAAAGACACATCTTATATTTGTTCGATCCCATGTGTATGCAAACTCCCACGCAAAACGGATTTGGAAACCTAAACAACATTAATAATAACGCAGATGCAAAAATAGTCATTCGGTTGGCGAGATATGCAGGCATCTTGCTTACAGTTACATGTCCTTCGAGTATCTGCAATTCAGTTAACTTACACTCGGGTAATAACTGTTTAGCTTTCATCTAGTCAACGGGTTGAGTCCTTCGATCTGTGTGCAGCAGCCCCTATGAGCGGTGCGAAGAAGTCAGTAGACGAGATTTGGAAGGAGCTAAATGCTGCTAAACCAAAGCCACGGCAAGGTGTTGCTGGGCTCGCCGTGGGCCTAGGTGGCGTGCCCGGCATCACATCCCTCATCCGCACCAAGCCGGCACAGTCTGCAGCGACCGCGTCTCCTGCTCCCGGTACCGAAAAGAGCAAGCCGCAGCCAGACCTTCAGAGCAGCCCATATGTGGCCAGCACCGTGGGCGACGACGCGGCGGCATACCTGGCCACCATCCAGCGCACCATCAACTGCTTGGCGGACCCTGATCGCGCTCTGCGCCGCAGCGCAGCCACCACGTTGCAAACCAAACTGTTCACGGGCGACGCATCAACGCCGCGAGCAAACCCAGCCCAACTTCAGGCCCTGCTGTGCGGCCCACTGCTCCGCCCACTGGTTACAATGCTGTCTGACTCAGTCGAGCGCTGCCGTACCATCGGCCTAGCCATCTTGCTAGATGGTATACGACACCTCACCGACGTGAGCCCCATGCTTCCAGAACTCCTTCCCGAGCTGGCGCGGCGCTTCGGAGCCCTGCCGGTGCAGGAACCAGCAGAGGAAGTGCGGCTGCAGATCGCGCTGCTCACCGCAACATTACTCTCAGCCGCTCCTCCGACCCAGATGGATCGCTTCGCTCCAGACCTCGCCTCCATACTCTGCCGTGGCCTGGAAGACGGCTTCCCAGACATCAAGAAAACCGCATGCGGTGCCATCGAGACCGCTGCTGCTCGGCTGGCTCGCACCGCACTCGAGCCGGAGGCCGAGCGGCTCCTAACCTCCCTGGCACCCAACCTGCAGCACCAACACAGCAGGGTTCGGCTAGCAGCCATCCAAGCTCTTGACGCGCTCGTGGGCTCCGGCGTGGCGCCCATGGCGCTGGTGGAAGGCACCGTTGTGAATGCGTTGCGACCCGTGGGTCACGACCGGGCGCAGCCGGTCCGTGAAGCGGCCTTTGCAGCGCTCGCGCGTTGGATGGGGTACCGCCAAGCGGCTGAGAAGGCTGCTGCAGGGGTTGCTGCTACTGATGGCCAGTCTGCGGCTGCTGATGGCGGCGCCATTGCAGTGGCGAAGGGTTTGGATTCCAATCCATCCGTTGTAGCTCGTGCTTACGCGCCTGCGCTGCTGCCACTGCTGCTGATCGGTGTGACGGACCCGCAGCCGGCTACTGCGGAGCTGGCGCTGAGGCTCATGGAGGGAGTGGGCGAGGCGTGGGTCGGCAGCGGCGGCGGCATTGGTGGGAGTGGGGGTGCTGACGGCAGTGCTGAGCAGCACGAAGCGCCGTCTGAGGCGGTATCTGAAGCACCGGAGGCGCCAGCCGATGTGGGTCGGCCGCAGCCTCAGCGGGATGCTCCAGAGCAGGCGACTGATCCCGCCACCGCCTCCACTGCAATTGCAGCCGCAAGTGAGAGCTGCGGTGACGCCGTTGCAGCATTAACAGCAACTGCCAACGGGATCCCCCCACAAGACTGCGCTGCGTCGGCGGCGGCGACTGAGGACGCCATGGCAGCTCGAGTGGCGGCTTGCGGTTTGGGTCCGCCGTACTGCGGCCGTCCTGGGCACGGCTGCCGTACAATGGTACGGGATTTGCTGCGTCAGCACTTGCCGCCGCTTGTACGGCAGCTGGGTGAATGGACTTCGAGTTTGCGAGTGGCGGCGGCGCGGGGGCTGCACACGACGCTGGTGATGGCGGAGGAGGGCGCGTCAGTGCACCTGAGGCTGCTGCTGCCGGCGCTGTGCAGGTGGGGCCGGGCGGCCGTCATCACGCCATCTTGCAGTACCTTGCAAATATTTGCTTCCGGGAATGTGCAACAAGTTGTCGCAGTAAAAACGGTTGAATTACGGTAACCCCCCCTTTACGTGTGCTTGTGTACCCCTATTGACCCCCCTTCCTTCCCTTCCCCCTCAGCGCCATTGCGGATGAGGAGCTGGAGGTAGCCACCTATGTCATGTCCTGCGTGCATGTGCTGGGGGCACACGTGGACCCCCGGGATTGGATGCCGCGACTGTTGGACTCCCTCGCATCTCCTCCTTCAGCGGTGCCGCCTCCTGCCGTGTCAGGCACCTCAACTGCCGCTGGAAACGGGAACAGCAGCAACAACAGCAGTGGCAGCGGTGGAGATCGCGGTACGGCAGGAGCACCTAGCGGTGGCATGAGCACGTCCCAACGGACACATACCCTGGTGGTGTTGTCCGGTTTGCTGCATGCGGCGGGGCGCGCGCAGCGGGAGCTGCCGCCGGCGCTGCTGCAGCGCCTGGCGGCGGCGCTAGCGGAGGAGTCCATGCTGACGGCGGCGGCGGAGCACTCTGCCGTACGATCTCAGTTGCTGGCGGCGACGATGAACGCGCTGGCGTGGGCCAATGGCGGCGGCGGCAGCACGGCATGCGCCGCTGTGGCGCTGCCGCTGCATGTCGTACTGCTACATTTGTACGGCAGTGAGCTGGCGGCGGCGGCTTCGCAAGCTGCAGCGCCGTCACCGGGTACGGCAGCGGCGGCGTCCCAGGCTTCTGCTGGCGCCGCCGTGAGTCCCGTCGGTACGGCGGCTCTAGAAGCCATGGCTACCCTGGCTAGTTGCTGCTGCTGCGACGCCGCCGACGCCGACGCCACTAAAGCCGCTGACGGCAACCTCACCCCCGCCGAGGGCGCGGCGGCGCTAGCCGCCCGCCATGCCGACTGGCTCATGGCAGCCCTCTTCGGCTGCCCTCCGGAACCACCCCCTTCATCAGAAACCCCGCCGACGCCGCCTGCCGTACAGTCCTTATCCTGGCGTCCGCGTCCCGGCGACGCCTCCTGGCAGTGCGTCCTTCGCGGCACGCTGCTGACGGCAGCACCCGATACACTGCGGCGGCTGGCTCCGGCGCTGGTTTCGGCGCTGGGTCCGGTGGTTTCGGAGCGGGAGCGCGAGGCGGGGCTGCGGCTGGCGCTGCTGCAGCTGCTGGATGGGGTGCTGGAGGAGCCGGAGCGGGGGCCGGCGCTAGTGGAGGGGTCGGGACAGGTGAGGGGAAATGGAGAAAGGGAGTGCAAAACCTGTTGGTGGAAGGGGTTACTACCGTACGTAGGACATGGTATACGGCACCCACCAGTCATTCAATCCCAACCCTCTCCTCCGCCTCCCGTGTCCCTCTCCTCTTGCACTCCTCCTCTTCCTCCGCAGGCGCTGCTGACGCAGGTCCTCATGCCGCCGCTGGTGTGGCAGGCCGGCAAGACCGCGGCAGCCGTACGGTACGCCGCCATGACCGCACTCGCCACGTTGCTGGGTCGGCGCCTGCCGCCACCCGAACACCTCTTGGCTGCTCTGGAGGGACCCGGACCTGGGGTGGGAGGAGCAGGAGCGGGGACGGGGGCCGCAGCAGCCCCAGCAGCAGCAGGTGCAGCAGGTGGCGGTCAGCAGGGCGGAGGTGGAGTGGTGGGGGGAGCGGGAGGTGAAGGCGGGGGTGGGCTGCTGCCGCTGCTGAGCAGTGCGCTGGATGAGGAGTGGTACATGGACATGCGGCTGGTGGGGTGCTACGTGGTGGAGAAGATGCTGGAGGTGGGTCAGGGTCAGGGGGAAAGTTATTAATAAGTGCAACAACACAGTCCCAATCAGGGACAGGGGGGGAGAAGAAGGATACGGTACCCAAAGTGTTGAGTCGGGGGAGGGGGGAGGGAGGTAAAAGATACCGTACAAGCGAAGGAAAATGATGGAGGTGTCACACAAAGACCACAACCAAGCTTACCACGTTCCATCACCGGCTGCCGTTATCTGTACCAACTTGGGCCTAATTCCTCTCGCTCCTCTTCCCGCTTCCCCCGTCCCAACACATCGGGTATTCCTCTCCACCCCCCTTCCCCACCCCCAGCTGGTGGGCTCCCGGCTCTCCGACGCCTCCCGCCGCGCCCTCTACCCCGAGCTGCACAAGCGGCTGGACGACGCACACAACTCGGTGCGGGTGGCTGCATGCGGCGCGCTGCGGGCCTTCGTGGCAGGTGCGGGCGGGGGCTACTGCGACACCAACAGCGGCTACCTGGTGGCAGGGGTGGTGATACACATGGATGACGGAGACCCCGCGGTGCAGGTGGGTAACGGTATGTGCATGAAGGTGGTAACAGAAGGGGGAAAGGAAGGAAAGGAGGTGAAGCAGGTGCAGGTGGGTACGGCGGTAGTGTCGCACATGTCGTAGTATTTGGGTCGGGGCTCGGTGGATACGGCGGCTTGGTCTCATGAGTCATTTTACCCTTGGTCCGGTGTTTTTTATACCTCCCCCCTTCCTCCACCTTCCTCCACCTTCCTCCACCTTCCTCCTCCTTTCCACCCCCAGGAGGCGGCGTGCAGTGTGCTGCTGGCGGCTGCCGCTGCCAAGCCCGCCGTCACAGCTGCGGAGGTGCGCAAGGTGCGGGAGCGCTTCCGAGCCAAGCACTACTGCGACAGGGTGCTGGCAGCGTGTGCGGAGGCGCAGGCGGCGGAGGGGCAGGAGGCGGCGTAAAAGGGACATGTGCCGCTTGTGTTACGAAAACGTGCCGCGGGTGGGAACGTGCCGCGTGTGTATGGGGGTAATTTGGAAACAGAATCCGAATTAGGCTGGATATTTGGGTTACCCGTGTGTATGGGGGTGGGGGAAAAGCGGGGAGGGCTGCAAATGGCGGATGCTGAAAGTGGTTTGTATGCTGGGGCGCTGAGAGGGCTGGGTGAGGGAAGGAGGGCCCTCCCTGGGTGGGGTGGGGTGGGAGGTTCGGTTGGGAGGGTGCAATGGAGAAGGGAGCATCAGAGGAGCGTGAAGGGGTGATGCCTGATGCGGCGAAGAGGTGGGAGGGGGAGCAGGATTGGCTTGGGGAGCAGCTATAAGCTGTTTAGATAGCCGTGCGGCGTGCAAGGTGAATGGTGCGTGCGTGTGTTTTGCTGTGCGAGGGTATCTCAATACTCGACAAGGCAGAGGACGAGACCGATGCGATGCTGGTCTCTCGGAGGGCTTGTGGATCTGTAAGGTGCCTTCCAGTTGGCACGAATGTTAGCTGGCTTTGCCGTACAAGTTCTTGGTGATTTCGTACATACGCCGTACAAGTTGCGCCACCACGCCCGGTTGGTGGTGATAAGACGGTATGGCTTACCGGTACTTGCCAGAAGCACTTCTCTGTACGCCGGAGCTTGTAAGACGTGCAGGGTTCCCCTACCTAACAAGGCTCACAGCTTTATGGGGTCAAATGCTCGCGGCAACGCCCGCGCCAGCACGCACAAACTGCACGTCGAAAGGCGAAACGACGCCGGGGGTCCGGCCGGGAGAGATGGCTGCCTACCCCAGGCGGGAGCCGCACAGGGACACAGGCGGGAGCCGCAGGACACGGGCGGTTGCACGAGCATGACGATGCATGGATAAGAACTCCCGTGTAAGGGACACAGCCTGCAGGGCTTGCATGTTGCTAAAAGGACAAAGGCGCAGCTGCTCGGTTTCATTTGGAGGATTCATGTGGAGCTCGTACTCCACGTGTTGTAACATGTCTAGCTTGCCTAGCTTTTAAGAGCGCTAAGTAAAGCAGTAACATGAGCTTTCTCGTCTTCTTTTAACATTACAGTCATGTTGTTATGAAAACAGTGGGCGGAGCCTGAGGGTGTTACCCGAATCAGCCCATCGGCATCCCTGGCTCGTTCTCGCCGACTGTGACCGCTCACAACTTTATCATATGTGGTATTTATAGGTGTATCCCTTTGTGGCGACCTCGAGCATGTTGGTCGGTCGGCTTCGCTCCTCGGTTGGGTCACGTTGTCGTTCTCAGGACGGCCAACTACAAGTCAGGCCTGGCACCCGTAAACTTGTTACTCTCAAAGCCACAACTGTACGCCGCTCAGATAATATTATGAGCAACAACATGGCAGCCCAGACGCTTGCACACGCGCTCAGCACGGGCGAGGACTTCCGCATTTGCGCCAACATTGAGGCGACGCAGATTCCAGCGGCGCTTCGTAAGGACTGCGTGCTCTTTTTTACGCCGGATACTGAGGAGCTTGCCAAAAAGGTTGCGCTGCAAGCCGGCGGAGCAATTACGCTGGGCCACATCAAGTGGAAGTGAGTGCCCAGTCGTGGCGGCTCCCTTTTCGCTCTTCGCTGAGCCGCGTGCCCTGCCGTTGCAGGAAGTTTGCAGACGGCTTTCCTGACTTGTTCGTGGAGAATGCGACAGACATTCGCAACCGGCACGTCGCCTTCCTCGCCTCCTTCACCAATCCCACCGTCATTTTTGAGCAGATGTCAGTTATCTACGCGCTGCCACGTCTGTTCGTCAGCTCTTTCACCCTTGTGCTGCCATTCTTCCCGACCGGCACAATGGAACGCGTAGAAACGGAGGGCGACATCGCCACCGCCAACACATTGGCCCGGCTCCTGTCCAACGTCCCACCTTCGCGCGGCGGCCCAACGAGCTTGGTGATCTTTGACATCCACGCTCTTCAAGTGCGTCGCTGCAGGAAGGGGATATCGATAGAATTGAACTGTAGGGCGGCGGTCACATCCGACGGACTCAGCCGACAGCTGGGACTGAAATGCGTTCAGTATGATGTTTGACAAGAAAGAGACTCGTTACTGATATGCTTCATTTCAACTTTTGTAGGAGCGGTTCTACTTTGGCGACGCTGTGCTGCCGCTCTTTGAATCCGGCGTGCCGCTGCTGCTGGAGCGGCTGCGGCAATTGCCTGACCGGGACTTGGTGACCATAGCTTACCCCGATGAGGGCGCCTGGAAGCGCTTTCACTACCAGTTCAAGGGCGAGGGTTACCAGGAGGTGAGCAATCCATCCTCTTTGACATTAACATAAAGCCGCATCCCTGATGAGACATGCCACATGCGTCTTCTTAAACCCTGCAACAACAACTCCTCGGCATGCGCGTCATCCTCGCAATTCCGTCCCGGCCACAGGTCATCTGCACCAAGGTGCGCGACGGCTCGAAGCGCATCGTGCGGTTGAAGGAAGGCGAGCCCCGCGGGCGCCACGTGGTGATAGTTGACGACCTGGTTCAGTCGGGAGGCACCCTGATCGAGTGCCACGCGCTGCTGGCCTCGCTGGGAGCCAAGCACGGTAGGGCCACCGGCGGGGATCGGAACTGAGGGAGCAGGAGGGTAATGGGGTCATAATGTGATACCTGAAACGCCTGGGGAACAGGATCAAGAAGAAGGGAATTGGGATGGGAAGCCGTCGAAGGAGCTGCGGTGAATCATCTACTTTCATGTTTTCAACAGGACCAGCACCGTGCTTCCGATACCATTCGGTCAGTCAGGCCTCCGTAGGCATTCCCATGCCCCTAGGCTGTTACACCAGTGGTAAAGCAAGGCGGGGGACGCGAGGCGGGGGAACGGCGTTATGCCGTCTCCTGCACCGCACTGTGTGCGTACGAATATCGTTCGTACACATCCCTCGTGATGTCGTAACGGGTGCCGTACATGCCCCGCCTGCTGCCTGACCCGGGGGTTACCCCCTCGGATTGAAGGCGCCTTTCGGATGGCGGCGGGGCGGCGTCCGTTACTGCACAACAATTTAACAGACCACGCTTCTAAAAACCATGTCTCACACACTTGACATCTGCCTTCGTTGCAATATACCTTTACCAATTCACACAACATCGCGGCCAGTTTTCTTAACACAACATTCGTCTGCAGCCGCTGTCACACCCTAGAATGCCCGAGCCCGAGTGCATCAACCACCTAACAAACCTCAACCACCTAACCACCCAACCGCCCAACCAACCCCCTCCCGCAGTGAGCGCCTTTGTCACCCACGGCGTCTTCCCCAACATGTCTTGGATGAAGTTCCGGGCTGATATGGGTTCCGGAGCCAACGACGGCTTCCGCTACTTTTGGCTAACGGATTCCTGCCCGCAAACTGTGCGGGAAGTACGGGATAAGGCGCCGTTCGAGGTGCTCTCGCTCGCGGGCCCTATCGCTGCAGCGCTGCAGATCTAGATGTGGGGGTCGGTGTAACGGCTACGCGGGGTCGCTTGTCCATGGTGATGTAGTCTAGCATTTAGTTATTTAGGTCTTGGCTGGCCTGAGGCCCGAGGAACACGTTGTAGAGGGTAGAGATGTAGATGCAGGTGGTGAAGATGAGCCTCCGGGGAGGGCAGATCGGCCAAGGGGCGAGGACGTAGTCGCCTGCAACAACCGACTGCTTGTTGCTTGACGAAGCGGCGGCGTTTGCCGCTCGGGGTTCAGTCGGGTTACTACAGGGGGGTTAGAGGGTGTAGGCGTTTTATACGGTCTCTCAACGGGCATGCACGGGTTTGCAGGCGGTATAAGTATCAGTATAGACGCTTGTGGGTTTACTTACGAGGTAGACAGAACTGAACGAATGAGGGCCTCTCATGCGAGAGCGCTTAAGTAGCGTGTGTGTGACGTGGTGTTGTTGACAGGACAGAACTGAAAAGATAACAGGCAAGCGACGACTGGAGGAATTTGGAAGGTGGTTGGCCGCCACGCCGTACCCGCCGTACCGCTGAACAGCGCTGCGGTCTTGAACAACAAGACGGGCTCTTGGGATTCCCTTGCCTCTGGTCGCTCAAAGCCGACAACACTGTTTTAACATCAGCTGAGATGCAGTGAGTGCGGGTGCGTGCATCCGTTGTTTGTGTTTATGGTTTGGCTGGTTTGGTGGTTCTATTTTGTTAGTGCTGCGGTGACTGCAACGTTTAATCGTACATAGGTATAGACTTCCTGACTGTCCTTGGAACTTGGCTGACAGAAGTCACAACGGAAGCCCACAACGAAGCGCGGTGTGGGCGCGACGGTGCAAACTGGCTATATGACAGTATCCTTCTGTCCTGAAATGATGCGGTAGCGCTTTCTAGTGACGCGGCCGGCATGCTTTTATACGCTTTTATAGACGGAGGCTGGTGAATGAATATTTCGCCAAGGAATAAACAGCCCGCTGCGGCTGGTTATGTAACCTCACATGGCAGTGAACCGGCCACAAAATCGTGAAGCTAGGTTCCGCAATGCCAACAGGATAGTATATTATCTTATGACTCTTGCAGGCACGAGTCGCATCGCATCGCAGCAAAGCCAGGCTGGATTAAAACCGGATTTGCGACACTTGAGGATGTGTGTCCCCCTTAACCCTGCGCGGGTACGCGTACCAGCCACGTCTTATCCAGGTCACAAGCCCTACAGGGCCCTCCTCCTGCCCTTCGGTGCACGCAGCTGCATGGACTTCCGATACATTCATGGCTCTCCCTACACTCCTGTTACACGCGTGCAGGTGAGGCGTAAGGACTCATGAGGGAGCCGTCCGCAAACCTTTTCACCCTCAAAAGACCGAAGGCCCGCATACCCGGGGACTACCCAGGGCATACGCCCTGAGCCAAACAGCACATGCTGCCATACTGCAACACCCCACACAAGCGCTACCTTGGGACAAAGAGGGAACATACCCTTTCATCCAAGTAAATTAGCACAGGGTGAAAGGAGGGCGTGTGCCTGTTGCCCCGTAGCGTTTAATGCCACAAAACCTGCTCTGTGCTACAGCACCGCTCCGCAGCTTCCTACTTGAAGCTTCCTACAACGACATTTCATGCGCACGATGAAACATGTCTCGTTCCGCTACCCCTTCCCCATCCTCTCCAAACCCCATCCGCGCGCAGTCTGCATCCTATCCTGACCCTGTAGAAGCCTTAGGGGCCCCATCGCTCGGTCCCCAACCCTGAGCACGTCACCTGCATGCCTGCCATCCGCCCGGAACCCAACAACCTCTGTTCTATCGCCACATCCACACACACGCCGACAAACACTTCTACACAACACTACTATCCTCCTCCTCCTGCTCGCTTCATTCACTCTCAACCTGAGCACCCCCATCCGCTTTTCCCCACCATCTAAGCTCCAGCGCAAAACTCAGCCACTCAGCTAATCCATGTCGCCTGCCTAAGCCCTCCCCTTTACTCATCCTTGGTGGTCGCCTTCTCCGCCACCTCCGCCGCCAACTCCTCCGCCACCTTGGCCTCGCTGGGCTGCTGCGCCTCCGCCCCCTCAGCGCCCGCCTCGCCCTCCTCCTCGCCTCCCGCCAGCTCCTTCAGCAGCGGAGCGTTGATGTCCATGGCCTCCTCAAATTTGGTCTTGAACTCCTGCGCCTCTGCGGGGTAAAGAGGTGGAGGGCAGGATAGGGGGGGAAGGTAAGATCGCATGGGGAGGCTGTAGCGGTGCACGTCTAGGTGTCGTACGACACGACCGTGGCGTAGCGGCTTCTGATGGCGCTAGGACGAAGGAACAAACTGGGAATCCCTGATGTGGGTCATGTTGTAAGTTCCAGGCGTTTTTCTTTTCATCACATGGATACGATAGAAGCTCGGGCGTTCAAGCCATGGATGACGATGCGGTGGTGCGCGAACGGAATCTCTGCAAACAGACCAAACCCAAATCCGGTACTGGGTACTGGGCCCTCTGTGATCCCCAGTGTCTTGGGCCCAATCATGTGATGTGCGCTGCTGACCCAATTTCCAGCTCGTACATCCCGTGGCTCAAACAATATCCGACAGACTTCTGGGTTCATTCCGTAACCTAACCCGGTTGCCTAAATTAAGAGCATGCACCAAACACAAGCTCGGCTCCCCGCAAGGGCCCCTCTTCCCCATGACACCGCCTTGCTATGTTAGCCAGGATTTCCTTTTAAACCTTTCACTCCCGCCAACCTCGCCACCCATGTACCCCGTCACAGCCTTTCCATCGCCTTCTAAGTATTTCCGTACAACCGTTGCCACAAGAACCCAAACCTGACTTACTCTCAACGCTGCCAAAGCGCACGGCGAAGAGCTCCACCTTTTGCGACTCATCGGCGAAGTCCACCGCGCTCCAGACCCAGGCCTTGTCATTGCCCGCGTGCTCTTGCAGCTTCGTGCCGGGCATGACTAACAGAGACAGGGGGAAGGGCACAAGGGAAAAGGGCGAAAAAGAAGACGTGATGAAAGCGAACGCCGTAAAGTGAGCGCGCTATGGTGCGAAGGCCAGAAAAAGTGTTGGATGGACAGGGTGGGTGTTGCTAAATAGCACACCGATAGCCAACCGCTGCTGCAGCCAGTTTCAGTTGAAGCTATCCAGAAGCTACCGAAGCGCGGTCGTTGTGCCCTTTTCCCCCTGGGTTCTACCGCGGTGCAGAACCGCTGCCCATGGCGCCCTACAACAAAGTGCCTAATTTCATGATGGTTGTTTTGGGGCCACCACACCTTACTAGCAGCCTAAAAACAAACAACATGCAAAGGTCTTGCAGTCATATGTCTGCGTAAGAAGAATGGCTGGGTGTTGCCCCAGATCCGCCGCCGCGTTCCCTTTCCCGCCACCCTGCGCACCAATGTGGTTAGCGCGGATCTTGAGCGTCTTCTCCTGACGCATCAGAAGGCGGACCTTCTTGTTCGCCTTGTGCTGTAGGAGCTTAATAAGCCCAAGGCCGCGCTCCTTCCATTCGTTGTTGTCGTTGTCAAAGCGATACAACTTGCATTTACTGCGCAAACAAACATGGATTTAAGGGAGCAACACAATTATAAGAAGTCAGAGGCAACAGAGTACTTGCTTCCAACCCTATCGCGAAATGGCGCGGAAGGAACGTGAACCCCGACTCACAGCTCCAAGAGAGCGTCCTCGTCCTCCTCTCCCGACTTTGTCTCCACCTCCTCCAGCTGCACTACTGGCTTGAACTCTGCCTGGCACTCCTCCTCAGCGCCGCCCTCATCCCCCTCATCCCCGCCGTCCTCAGCTTCAGCTGGCTTAGCTGGAGCTCCGAATGCCGCTGTCGGCACACCGAAGCTGAATGCTCCGGTACCAGCGCCTCCGAATGCCGCTCCTGAGCTCCCAAGCGCCGCAAACGGATTGGCAGGGGCCTGCGAACACCAGGCGCATTTAACCAGATCTATCCTAACAAACACAGTTTGGCCAGGAAAAGCGCCTCATATGGTATACGAGCATGGATCAACTATTAAATGTATAACACGCGAAAGGCTCTACCTGAGGAGCCTCCTCCGTCATGGTAAGAGATGTTGCTTTGCCTAAGTCTTTAAAGAGAGGTGCGATGCGTTCCCAAACGATGAAAACGCTACGACGTCTATGCCAGAAGTTTGCTTTGGGAGAGGCGTATAATCGCAAATGCATCAAGTAACCCGTACACAGGGAGTACAGCACAGAACACACCAGCCTAGCCAGGTCCACAGCATGTAGACGCTGTGAAAAAGACTCTACTTCGTATTTCATTGAATTTGTGACATAGAAGGAAGAGCTTCAAAATGTATTTTTTTCGCCTTGTCAATGGTGCAAGTGTTGCTGTATGTCACAGTCATCTTGCTTACATCTTAGCTAAAGGTCTACTTTCCTAAACGAATAACTGGCTATGCGCTTTCTTCTTAGATGCTTGGGCGCTGAGGGGCCCAAGCATGAACCTCCTAATTGCTCTTCTCTGTCGCCGGCCGTTGCCGAAAAAGACGCGATCATCTTAGCGCCGGACACTTGTGCGCGTCCCACGCGCTTTGTTTCAGAAGCAGCCAAGGTGCATGTCAGCAATCCAGCTGAAGCCGGACAGGATGCGCATCACAGCAGCGCTTGCGTGGGGCAATTCGCGATTGAAGACCCTGATAGCGGCAGAGGAGCAACAGCGCTCCGCCCGTCCGTCGACGCCCCTCGCACCAGCCTCAGCAACCCGCAGCTGTTGTTTGCTACTCCCTCGAACCCGCATTGCAGTATTACGCTTAAACTACAAGGCGCGTCAAGGGCCGGCTCGTCACACCCAGTTGACAACTGGGTTGCCGTCGGCCCGTTGGCGCGCAACACCGATTCCTACGACCGCGCCAGCTCTGGCTTCGAGCAGGCACCTGCGGAATCAATACCAGCAATTCTTGCGAGTTGTGTTACGCTGGGCTCGCCCACAAGCATCGGCACCTTGCGCCAGTGCGCGCAAGTAGCACATTCTCCAAAGCATTGTACATTGCAGCCTTTTTCGGCCGTGGATGCGGACCAACCAGCCCCAGGCTCTCGGCTAGGTGATGCTAGCAATAGTAGCGCAGCGGCGTCTGTTATCATCGCTGCTGCTCCTGCCTCGACTGTACCGCCTTCAAAAGGTTTCGGAGCCGCTTCTTTTGGATTGCCGTACAAAGGATCCTTGGAAGCCCGCGCCTCATGCTGCAGCGCCAACGGACCCGTCAGCTCTACCTCCTCCGCAGCTGCGCTTGCAGGAGGATCCGCTTCCAACCACCTCGGAAACCATAACAACCACTTTTCCAACCACCTCAACCAACACCAACATAATATTTTCAACAACCCCAATCCCCATTCTAACATCTATCCGGTGGGGGCCTCGAAGCGGCACGGAGGTGCTGCTGCTGGTGGAGGTGGCAGCAGCGATCTTCGAAGCAGCAATGGCGGCGGCGGTTGTGGCGCCGCTAGCAATGGTTGCAGCGGGCTGGCATTTGGGTCGGCAGCGGTGCAGCGATCGCAATCTGTGGAGGAGGTGGGAAGGAGGGCCATAGGGGGACTGCCTTGACTCACACTTGCACCCATGTGTCATCAGGGGCTTTCTTCACGGGTTGCCACTAACCCCACCAACATGATGGTCTCCTTTTCCCCGCCCTCCTCTCCTTCATCTCCTTCCTCTCCTCTTCTCCCCACACCTCCTCATGCTCCCTCTCTTCTCCCTCTCACTCCTCCCCCCCTGGACCCAGGTCGCCAGCCTGGTCACGCGGCTGACGGGGGTGCGCGGGCACTGGCTGGAGGCGCTGGGGGAGACGGTGGCGCGGGCGGCGGAGCTGCTGGGGGCGGACAGTCTGAGGTGGGGGGGCCGGTGGGAGGATGGGGCGGGGAGTGTTGTGAATGGGGTTACTGTCTGGGAGCTGGGAACCCTCAGGTCCCCCCGTCGCACTCCTGGTGGTGGTGCTCTCAGCCACCCGATGTTTCCGCCCACCCTTCCCCTCCCCCTCTGCTATTGATTGATGCTACTAACTATACAACAACTATACAATTAAATGCTAGCCCAACTATCCAGCCTAATGCGGATTCTGTTTCCATATTAGTCCCCCTCTGCTCCACCCCCCCTCCCCACTCCCCAGTGTACACCTGCTGTCCGAGTCCGGGTCCACCCACGTGCCGCTGGCGGTGACCGGCGACGCGGGGGGTGCCGTACGACTGGGCCTACCGCAGCCGGTGGTGCCGCCGCCGGGGCAGCCGCCCACCGCACTGCAGCGGCTGTACGGCAGCGGGGTGAGGTTCTAGGGGGGGACATGGGGAGTGGGGGGTGGGGTGGAGTGGGTTGGGGTGGGCGTTGGGGTTTTAGGGTTTTTGAGCCCGTCGTCTCTCACTCCTCCTCCTGCTCCCCCCCATAAGCATGCCCCCCTCCGCGGCCGCCGCCCCCTCCTCTGCCCCCATCCAGGAGCCCCAACGCGGCAGCGTGTGGGGGTCCCATTACCCCCACCCCAGCAACCCCCATCGCCACCACAGCTACCAGCACCCGTCGTCCTGTTCCGCGCCCATCCAGCCATCGAGCACCGCCACCCCTGCGCCCTCCTCCCACACCCTCCTGCTGTCCGCAACACATTCGCACCTCCACCACCACCTCCACCAGCAGCAGCAGCACCACCAGCAGCAGCAGGACCGCTCCAGCTGCCACCACCATGCCGACCGGAGCAGCCATCACCACCACGTCCACAATAACAGCAACTCGAGAAGCCATGCGATGGCTGATTCGTCAGGAGCAGCAGGAGCAGGGGCAGCAGGTGGAGCAGCAGCACCCGCCTCCTCCTCCTGCTCCTCCTCCCTCTTCCTCCTCCCCACTCCTCTGCAACCCCAGCTGCAGCCCTTGTCTCCTCCCTCTTCCTCTCCCCCTCCACCTCCTCCTCCCCCTACACTCCCCCCTCCTCCCCCTCCACCTTCCCCGCTCCCCCCCGACTGGCATGCCATGCGCATCCTGGGAGGCATGACGGACTTCGTGGCGGTGCCGCTCAGGCGCGGGGAGGCGGTGATTGGGGCACTGCAGGTGCGCTCCATCGGGGGTGCTGGCGGGGGGCCGGTGGAAGATTGGGGTGGCGGGGGGGGGGGCCGGTGGAAGATTGGGGTGGGGGGGCTGGTGGCGGGGGGCTAGGGTAACTGACCTAGCACTGACCGTCCCACCATAGGAAGCCTGGAACAGGATGCCATACGGTGAAAGTGGGTCCTTCACAGTGGCACAACCCTCCTAACCTGAACTCACCCATTGCCCTCATGGCCCCTCCCTTGTATCCGCCGTTCCTGGTGTTCCCTCACATGCGCTGGGGTGGTTCAGGTGGTTGACCGTTGCACCCCTCCCGAGGATATCGCGGGTGCCGTACCGTCCTCCCGCACCTGCCGTGGTACGGCGGAGCTGGCGGTGGTGGCGGCCTTCATCGGGGCTCTGCTGGTGGTGGGTTTGGGGGACTGTTGGGGGCAGAGCTGTTTCCGATTGATTGGTTACTGGTGAAGAGGCACTGCAACCGGCTTGATGTCCTTGTTCCAAGGATGATAATGTCCTTGTTCCAAGGATGATAATGTCCTTGTTCCAAGGATGATAATTGAAGGAGACACTTCCTGGGGGGGGGCTTGGGGATTTAGAAGGGGATGGACCGGGGGGTTCGGGCCGGGAACTGGGGTATGGTTACGGTCCTTGGAGCACCGCAACCTTTCGTCTGTACCGGTATGTTGTCTGTTTCCATCTGCTTGTTTCCTATCTGCAGTTTTCCATCTGTTTACCGCCCGTCCCTGACCATGCTGTCTGTCGTACAGGATCATGAGGCGCTGTGTCTGGTGGGGGCGTTGGAGGCGGTGGCGGAGGCGCACGATGTGGACGGCTTGGTACGGGCGCTGGCTCGTCACGTGGGGTTGTTCTGCCGCATGCGCAAACACATCACGCCGGGTGAGCAGGGGCTCGGAGGTATAGAGCTGATTCCTCGCATGATAGGGCTGGAACGTGTTCTCGCTGGCGGTTGTTGACCCATGGGTCGTTCGTCGCTGGCTGCAGAGGTCCGAGTGGCCCTCATCCGCGAGGATGCCTCCGCCATGGCACTCTTCCTGGATGAAGGCGCCGCCGCCGCTGCCGCCGCCGCGGCGGAGGCAGCTGATGCCGTCGCCAGCACCCTTGGCGGCGTCGGCGGCGCCACAACCCCCTCTGGTGCCCTCTCAGCGGCCATATCCCGGTACAGTACGGCATACAGCCTGCAAGCCATGTCCTCCACGTTGGGTTTCGCTGGCGGTAGTACGACAGCCGCCGCCGCCGCTTCGGGGCTTATGTCGACGGGCGGGTTCACAGGTGCGGCCGCCGCCGCCGCCGCCGGAAGCATGCCGAGTTGCAGCGGCGGCGTCGCCAATGCACGGCTGCTAAGCTCTGCTCCCGGCGTGGGCCGATGTGGCGGTCCTCGTCGCTCAATTTCGGGGCTGGGGTTAACAGTTCTGGAACGAGGATCCGGGCAGGAAGCAGCCGTGGCGGGTAGGTACGGCAACGGCGGTGGCGGCGGCGGCGCCGCCGCCGCCACCGGCGGCTCCCATCGCTTCACGACTTCCGTAGCCACTTCCTCCGCCAGTAGTGTACGATTACTGGGAGGGGTGCTGGACGTGGATCAGCTGAACGCCGCCGCCGCCGCTGCAGCGGCGAGGCAGCTGAGCCAGGTTGCCGTCGACGTCAGCGGAGTTGGCGGCGGCGCCGGCCGCTGCGTGTTTGAGCCGGCGGCGGCGGCGGTGGCGATCGACGTATCGCCTAACGGCACCGACTTGTGGCCTTGGATCACGAGTACGGCAGGCGGCGGCGGCGGTGGTTGCAATGGCAGCGGCGGCTGCCTAACAAGCACGGGTATGTTTGGTGGCGGCGGCGGCAGCACCGCCGCCGCCGTCGCCGCCGCTTGCCAAAGCAGCCTAGCCCTGACGCAAACAGCGTCCGGCGTGAGCGAGGAGAGCCTTCTGGCCATGGGCGCGAGGAGCATGGGGACCATGGCGGATGATATGCGGCTTACCGCGGTTGGGAACGCAACAGCAGCGGCGGCGGCGCCGCCGCCGCCGGCGCTGCACGGAATGGTTATTCCTCGGAACGTCCTCGCCGCTACGGTCGCCGCGACGGCGCTGCAACCGCCGTCGTTGCATCCCGCCGCCGCCGCCGCCGCTGGTACGGCTGCTGATGCTGCTGGTAGCACTGACGGCGGCGGCGGCGGCGCGTCGACGATGGCGGCGGCGTTCAGGAGCCATCACAGCAGTGTGGGATTGTACGGCAGCGCCCTGGCGACGGCGGGGGATTCGACCAGTGCCGCAGCGTTGCAGGTACGGCATGTACGGCACAGTACGGCGACGCCACGCCTGTATGTTCCTGTTTGCGTTTCCATGTTTACCTGTACCTGTTTCCGTGTTTTCAGTATACGCGGTTTAGCTGCATCCAGTGCGCAGTACGACACTAACGGCTCTGTTGCATGCCTTGCTGTTTCTGTTTCTCTGCGCGCAGGGCGGCAGCGGTGGCGCCGTCGGCGGCAGCAGCGGCCGTCCTCCCGGCCAGGTGCAGGGCCACGCCATGCTGACCCGTGGGACGGTGCTGGCGGAGGCGCTGTCGGCGGGTACGGGTATGTACATCGCGGACGTGGCGATCTACATGCAGGTGGGTGACCCACGGGTCGGTGGCTGGCCCGGATACCTCCCAACTCTCCTCTGTTTCCTGATGACACACATTCCCTCTGAAGTCAGCCACAAGCCCTTTATCTTACATGCCATATCCACTATCCAGCCTGGCCCCTGCCTTTCCCCTACTTTTGCGGCCTTACGTTTTACGTGTTACGGTTTTCCAATCAACGTTTTCCTGTTCCTGCCCTCTTTACCTGGCCCCCCCTCAGGATGGCCGCAACGTGAGTCGCGACGTATTCCTGGCTCCCAACGGCCGCAGCAGCCCCGCCCAGCCCACCAGCAGCCTGGCCGTCACCGTTGTCAGCCATGCGGGGGCACCACTGGTAGGGCTCTACATCACCTTTGGCTCGCCTCTGCCGGCCAGCCTGCTGAATGCGCTGATCTCCAAGGTAAGGGGGAACAGAAGGGCTGGGACCCAAGGGTGGGGGTGGGCGCATGAAGGGGCCGCCACTGGTGGGAGGGCTTGGCTTGGCAAGCCTGCTGAATGCGCTGGTCTCCAAGGTAAAGTTGGAGGGAGGCAAGGAGGACGGCAGGGGGAAGAAGGGTCCGGAGGGGTGCTTAGGCACCCTACCTTCCCACCTGGTACGGCCTTCTGTGCCGTACCAGACGTTCCTCCGTACCCTCTCCACTGACTTCCCCCGCTCCCCCAGGTTCACCTGTTTGGCGGCATGCTGGGTCCGCTGTTGCACGAGCGGTTGCATGGGGAGGAGGGAGAGCTGGCGGACGAGTGGCGCTACTTGCTGGGGGAGGTGCTGGAGCCGAGAGTGAGGGGAACGTGGCGGGTTTGGGTTTTGTACGACACGCGTGGGGGCGGTGGTTGAGATGTCCGGTTGCATGCATCGGTCTTAGTTCCTGGCCGCTTGCCTCTTTGTGTATGTTTGAATGCTGGTGATGTTCTGAATGGAGTATCCGCAAATGGCCGTTTTACGAGTGCCTTCGCTGCCCGCCCCCCCCCCCCGCGCCACATGCATGCTCATATGCGTGTACGACAGGCCATTCAATCTGCCGCGGAAGAGCAGCGCAGTCGTCGCTCCTCCGCAGCTGCCTACAACCAACAACAACAGCAAATTCAAATGCAGCAACTCCAACAGCTACACAACAACCAACCGACTCCACAACCGCAACCGCAGGCTTTCCAACAACCGAAGGACCCGCAAAACCAGCAGTCGCAGCAACCCCCTGTGCAACCGCGGCCGCTCTCATCCCAACATCGGGCCCCGATCACCCTGTCACCTGATGCCCCTGATGCTCCTGCTGCTGCTCCTGCTGCTGTGGGTGCCATCGGCGGCGGCGCCGCCGCCGCCGTCACGGCTCCCAAGGACACCCGTTGCAGCCCAGCGGACGTCCCAGCTGATGTCATCAACGGTGGCGGCGGTAGCTGCTGTCGTATCCTCGTCCAAGGCAACAATGCCGTACAATCTCGACGCCAGGAGCAGCCACAGCAGCAGCAACCGTACGACAATACTGGCGCCGCTGACGGCGGCGCCGCTTTGTACGGCGATGCCTGCGTCACCGGCGGCGTCGAAAGCAACTCGGGCTTTGTTTCCTCTGCTGCTGCTGTCCGTGTCGACGATTCGCCGTTTACGTTGGTTACAAGCCCTGTCGCGAGATCGCTGGGCGGCCGGAAGACTCCAGCAGCGTCAGGCGGTAGGCCGCCGCCACTGCTGCCTACTCATTCGCTATCCCCTTCCAAAGCCCAGTCGCCGCCGCCGCTGCTGATGTTACCGTCTGCGCCCTCCTCTTCTTCATCCTTGCCGTGCACCAACCCCAACCCCGGCCTTAATCAAATGCAAGACACCCATCATAACCTTCCCCCTCACCATCATCTCCAACACCAACACCAACACCCCCGCAGCCACCACCATCCTCACAACCACCATCTCCATCGTCCCAACCACCATAACCACCACCAACCGCCCTCATCCCGGGGGCCCTCCTCCTCCGGTAGTAGCCACCTGCCGCTACTGCGCCGTCAGCTGGTGTCCTCGGGCATGTGGGGCCCGTCGGCGGCGCCACGATTGAACCGGGCAGCGACCGACAGCGCAGCGCATGCGACGGCCGCCGCGGTGGCGGCTGCAATGTCAAAACTTGCTGGCGGAGGCGAACCAGCAGCAACAACAACACGGCCTCCGGTCCTACACAGGGCTGCGACAGAGGGCTCGGCGTCGGGCCTGACGACGACGGCGGCGGCGGCGGTGGCGGCCGCTGACGGCGGTAACAGCAGCAGCGGCGGCGGTTACATGTGTCAGGGTGTGTTTGCCGCAGCGGGAGCTGCTGCTGATATGAGCTCGTCCGCGGGTGCGATAAGTGACACGAGCAGTCCTGCCTGGAGCTCCGCTGCACTACAACCACCTAACAACCACCTCAACCACCATCTTAACAACAGCCCCAACCGACAACCGCTTGGGAGCTCGGACTCTCCAGCCGTTCTTTCGGTTACCTCTAGCGGTGCATTGGGACTGCCTGCACCGCCGGCGTCGCAATCGCTGCTGCCGTCACCGTTGTCGTGCAACGCCGGCGCCGCCGCCGCTGCTGCTACCTGGGCAGATGCCCTCACAAGGCGAGACGCTCTACGCAGGAAAACGGCGGCGGCTGGCGCCAGCGTCGTCTTCGACGGCGACAGAGGTTGTGGTGGGGAGGATCGGGAAGTAGATGCACGTACCAAAGCAGATGTCAAGACGACGACGCCGGAAGGTGCAGGTCGTACGGAATTATTGCCGTCGCCGCCGCCGCCGCCATCGTCGATAGGCCCGCAGCAGCCTCCTGCATCACCGCCGCTGCCGCCGCCCTCGCCGTCGCCTCCGCAACCGCAGCAGCCGCCGCGGCAGCTTGCCGGGACACCCTCACCCTCCAACGTACACGCTCCCGCCGCCGCCGCATCAACCTCCGCCGCTAGCGCCGCCGGCACCGCCGCTGCCGCCGCTGCTGCGGCTCTTGTCGACGCCTCCACCATTATCCTCAAGGCATGCGAAGACACCAACGATTGCGTTTCCACAGAAGCCGCGATCAGTGGCGAAGTCCAAACGCCGCCGCCGCCGCCGGCTCTTCATCCCCGGCAACGCATCCCGCCATCGCTGGCCACTCACTGGCTGCTACGAAGCGCCTCTATCGCCGGAAACCCTGCCGTACGAAGTCTGCGCGGCAGCGGTGCCGTACAATCTGCATCTCAAGTTGACTTCCCGGGATTGGGTCCGCTGATGCGATTGTTGCCTGGGTACGGCAGTGCTGGCGGCGCCGCCGCCGCCGGCGCTAGCGGAGGCGGCGCTGGCGGCGGCGGACTTTTGGGCTTGGGGGGTTCCATTGGCAGCGGCAGCAGTCATGTGATGGATTTGGAGCTGTCGATGCAGGTGGCTGCAGGGGGTTCAAAGACAATACCGAAACATAGGAAACCACAGGTTGGGGCAAGACAATGGGGAAAGGAGCGGTAGGGTGCATTGGGGGTGGTGGAGTACGGTGAAACAGGGGGAAAGGCGGAGTGGGGAAAAAGGTGTGAGAAAGAAGAAGTGGGAAAGAAGAAGGATGATGTACAAGGGCATAGTATACAGCGTACGGTACAAGGGTGAAGCGTCCATATAGATTTAATCCACCATCACCCACCTCCACTCATAACTTCCCCCTCCCAACAGGCTTGGCACTTGACACACGACCCCTTCCGGTCTTCATCTGCTGCTACGGCCAGAGGTACGACATTCATATCCCTGTGCGACAAAAGCGGCTGTACAGGGGTACGACAACAGTTGTTATACTGCAGAAGTAATGTCGTACGGCCTGGTATGATTAACGGCAGTTAGGGTACCGTACCGTTTGAGGGCGCACCCCTGCTCTTTTGACCCTATTGGAACACGCTACCTTGTTCTTTTGCTTGTGCAGGCTCGTCTTCTCAACACCCCGGGTCGCGCAACGGCTCTGCTGGAATGCACACGTTTTCACTGATCAACTCGGCTTTCGAACTGCTAACCTCAGCACGTTCCGTTCAACCTGTCAACGCCAACAGTATTAACACCAACGGTAATTCCAACGGTAACGCCAACGGTAACCTCAACGGTAATCTCAACGGTAATCTCAACGGCCATTCCAACGCCGCGAGCATCCAGCAACAGCAACAACAACAACAACAACAACCACAACAACAACAGCAACAGCAGCATCAATATCCGTATCCTTCCGTTCCATCACCCCTGGCCTCGCCCGGCTACGGCGGCACTGGCGCTGCTGGCGGCGGCGCGGGCTGCAACTTGCCGTACACTCGGCGCTGCAGCGTCAACGGCGGCGGCGCTGGTTTGGTGGCGACGCCGCCGCGACCGTACGGCGGCATGTCCCGCTTGACAACCGTTGTAAGCGCGGGTAGCGCGTACGTTGCTAGGACGGGTGCTGCTGCTGGGGGCGGCGGCGGCGCAGCCGGAGGCGGCGGCGGGATGCGTCCGCCCATGGCTGGCGGTGGCCGTGGCGGCGCCGGCGGCGGCGGCATGGGTAGCGAACGAGTATCGCCTGTTTTGCGGAGTAGCGCGGGGGCCTTCGCAGCCGCCGCCGCCGCCGCCGCTGCAGCCGCGGCAGCCGCCGCGGGTGTTGCCAGTCCCAGTCCGGGGTTGTCCCCCGTGCTGCCGCCGCCTGTCGTACGGCGGTTGCGGGGTGGAATACGGCGGAACACGTCGTTCAACATCACGGCTGACCCGGGGGTGCAGGACACGGGCAAGGTAGCGCCTCTGATGGCCAACCTGCAGGTAGGAGGAGGACTAACTTGATTCCCCTCACCACGAGGAGCTTGTCGTCTTGTTTGCGATTCTCTTTCAACACGCTGGGTATCCTTCTTTTGCCCCCCCCCCCCACACAATGAATTGGGTCTCTGAATGCGCTCACTGCATGAGTCGGGATTCGGGATTGGGACTCCGTTGCTGCACTTATCCATATTGTTCCCCCCCCTCTCCCCCCTCCACCAGGACAAGCTCCGCAGCCTGCAGGCGGGGCAGCTGCTGGCCCGGCTGCATGACAGGGGGGAGAGCGGGTGCGCTAAATGGGGTGGCGGGGGGAGGGGTGTGTGCGGGGGAGGGGTGTGTGCGGGGGAGGGGGGCAGTCAAGGGGGGGACGTGCAGATGAGGCCGGAGCCGCAGGGGGACGGGGGCAGCGTGCGGCAGAGTGCCAGCTAGGGAACCGCAGGGGACTACGTGATGGCCCGTGGGATAAGGGAAGATATGGAAGAACGTTACGCACTGTGTGCCAGGACGTGTTTGACATCGCCTACTGTCCCATACATCATCGCTTACTAATGACAGTACGTTGTACATTGCGCCTGGCTGTCACCCTGTCATGCATGCCATGTCCCATGTGCCTATGTGTGACCTCAGGGCGGACGAGTTGTCGGGTCTGACCATTCTGGAGCCGCTGGGGTCGGGGGGCTTCGGCACTGTGTTTCGGGGCATCTTCAACGGCATTGAGGTGGCGGTCAAGGTACGTGTACGACAGGGGGCCAGAGCAGGGGGTACGGCATTGGGGTGGCGGTCAAGGTACGTGTTACCGGGATTGGAACTCCAGTTGCTCCACTCCTCATGTATCTTACTACCTTTTCTTGTATGTTTCCCTCTCTCTGCTGTGCAGGTGTTGTGTGAGCGCGGTTCCGGCGGTCGCAGCGAGGCCGCCACCATGCGTGAGGCCTTCGAGCTGGCCGTCATGACGACACTCAGCCACCCACACATCGTGCAGGTAGCGTAGCGTGGGGGTGGTAAAGAGGAACCAACTAACTGACGGTGTGATACGGCGTCATCACACAGGGAAGGGGGGGTGTTACTAACTTACTATTTCATGATGACATGGAGGCGGGAGTAGAGGTGTGGGGGGCACATGACAACAGTACGACACTGTGGTCCACCCAGTACGGTATCATATCCGCTCCCCACACCCCTCCTACTCCCTCTCTTACTCCCCTGTCGTACAACCCCCCCAAACCCCTCCCCCCCTGCAGGTCCTCAGCGCCTTCACCGACGTCATCCTGGCCTGCCAGCCCGACCCGCAGGGGGGGCCGCACCGCACGCAGCTGCTGCCCAGGAGCCCGGCCACGGAGGAACGTGAGCAGCGGGCAGTGGGAGGGAGGGGAGGGGCACGGAGGTTTTGGTACATCCCTGCTGACCCCACCCCATACACACTCCAGTACGTTCCGCCTCGCGGCCAGTTTTCTTTACACACACTCCGCCTTTCCTTCCCCCCGCCCCCCTCTCCTCAGTGGGTGAGCCCACGGTCGCCATCGCCATGGAGTACTGCGACGCGGGCAGTCTGGCGGATGCGGTGGCGGAGGGGCGGCTGCGGGAGCGGGTGCCGGGAGGGTACGGCGCGCTGCAGCCATGCATGCCGGTGAGAGGGGGGGTGCCAAGGGGGTACGGCGCACTGCAGCCATGCATGCCGGTGAGAGGGGGGGTGCCGGGGGTGTACGGCGCGCTGCAGCCATGCATGCCGGTGAGAGGGGGGGTGCCGGGGGGGTACGGCGCGCTGCAGCCATGCTTGCCGGTGAGAGGGGGGGTGCCGGGGGGGTACGGCGCGCTGCAGCCATGCTTGCCGGTGAGAGGGGGGGTGCCGGGGGGGTACGGCGCGCTGCAGCCATGCATGCCGGTGAGAGGGGGGGTGCCGGGGGGGTGAGGGGTCAAGAGGAAACAACTAACTGACTGAGGGATAAGGCGTCAACATGGGGGGGTGAGGGGGAGGCTGGATGGGGTGGTGAGGGGGGGTGGTGGGTTGTATTGGAGGGCGGTGCACGTCTGATGGTGCAGAGGTGCTTCAGTCGGTTCTTCAGTCGGTGGTATCCGCTCTTCACGTGCCCTTATATCAGCCTGGTACCGTACGCATTCGCACACTCCCTCATTCTTTCCTTACCCCGCTTCTGCATGCCTTCCACGCATGCCTTCCACGCATGCCTTCCACGCCCCCCCCACACACCCACCCCCTGCGCGCAGGCCATCTACGCCACGCTGTTGGAGATCGCGTTGGCGTTACGCCACATGCATTCCATGCTGCTGGTGCACTGCGGTGAGGGGGGGGAGGGCAGGTAATGAGGGCGGAAGGGGATTAATAGGGATACCGGTACATATTCCGCATACTCGAAGGGGAGGGCAGGAGTTGCTGGGGTTCCGTTCTTGCCGTTCTGCATGTCCAACTCCTGGCTCCTGTCCCCCACCCCGCCCCTGACCACAGACCTCAAGCCCGCCAACATCCTGCTGAAGAGCAACATGCGCGACCCACGGGGCTTTAGCGCCAAGGTAGGTCTTTGCGTACCAGTAAAACTGCGTGCCGTGTTCGCTGCCTTGCAACCCTATACCGGTGAACATCGGATATGATTTAAGTAAAGCTTAGAGCGCTCTATGTTGATAAGCTCTATCGCACCTCATCCTGCTCCTCCTCCTCCTCCTTTCCAACCTTACCCCTTTCCTCTCCCCTTCCTCTTGCCTCTTCCCACCGCCACCTCCCCGCTTAAACACAGCCTGCTGTGGCCAACTCCATACCATACAGCAGTATCCCTCCTGGCCCGCATGTTTACCCCCGTCCCCATTTCCATGGAGCTTGTCGTCTGGTTTGCATTCTCATTAAACACTTTGGGCGAATTCTTCTTTTTTTTACCTCATACATACCTCCTCCTCCCCCCAGCTCTCCGACTTCGTGCTCTGTCCTTGCAGCCCTAAACCACGTACTTTATTAATAAGAAGTATTAAAGAGAAGAAAACACCGTACCCCTCCTCGCCCGCATGCCCCACCCCCTTCCCCATTCCTCCTCCTCCTCCCCAGCTCTCCGACTTCGGGCTGGTCAAGATGGTCGTGGAGGACGGCAGTGGAGGCGGAGGCGGTGTGGTGGGACGTGACGCGCGCACCGGCACCGTGACCCACATGGCTCCCGAGCTCATCCGAGCCACGGAGGCGAGCAAGCTGGATGCGTCCGTGGGTGGGTGCCGGGGGACGGAAGGGGGGGTGCATGTGGGTGGTGTAAAGGGGGTGATGATGCCCCTCCCCCCCTGCATGCATGCATGCATCCACGTATCCGTTGCGATAGATGCATGTCCAATATGTGGGTGGTGCTGGTCAGCAGTGGTAGTGTAACGCTCCCACGCATGAAACCTAACGCCTTCCATGCCTCCCCCTCCTTCCCCCCTGCTTTCCCCCACTGCTTGCATGCATACATGCAGACGTCTACGCGCGCTCGGCGTGCTGAAGTGGGGGCTGTGTTTTACACCTTACTCGGCTGACCCCCCTCCTTGTCATGTCTCCGTATGCGCTCACTGCATGTGTGGAGATATAGGATTGGGACTCCAGTTGCTGCACTTCTCATTAATCTTTCCCCCATTGTCACATGCCCCCCCCACACATACTGTCCCCTCCCCCCTCCCCATGCACCATTAATTAATTGGCAAATGCCAAGAACCTCCTCTTCCCCCTCCCCTATGGTTCGATATGATCTTTGACCCCCCTCCCCATGCAGACGTCTACGCATTCGGCGTGCTGATGTGGGAGCTCCAGAGCAGCGCGCCCGTGTACCTGGGGCTGAACAGCGAGCAGATCCGGCAGGGGGTGGCGGAGGGGGGTCTGCGGCCGGAGTTCCCGCCGTGGGCGGATGACAAGTACCGGTGAGCGATGCAGTAGCAGGGGTGGTCGGGCTGGGGCTCGGGGGCTGGGGCTGAGGTCTGGATGGCTGGCTAGGGCTAGCTGTGTAAGTTTGCGGGCTCAACATTAGCCCCTTGCTGCACTGCTAGGAATGCCTCCCACGTGGCGTACCTCACTATCCGGTTTGCCTGTTTGTCTAACAACGTCGGTATTGAGAGCCTGAAATAACGGCATCATTGTCTTCCGGGCTGGTTGGCTACGCCTGGCCTGGCCTACGCACCGCGTGGTGGCGGGGTGTCCGGAGATTCGCCCCCTCCCCCCTGTTCCCTCTGCGCCAACTCCGCACCTGCCCCTGCACCCGCACTCATCTGCGCCCTTCAACCCACCCGCACCCCGTAACCCCCAGGGCGCTGGCTGAGTCGTGTCTCTCCTCCGACCCACGGGTCCGTCCCACCTCCGCGGCACTCGTGGCCCAGCTGCGGAGCCTGCTGGCGGAGAGCGGGGCGCTGCAGGTGGGGGAGATGGGGCTCGGATGTGCGGATTGCAAGGTCTGGTTTGGTAGAGGTGGAGGCGGGGGTTAGGGATACGTTTTTCCTTCATCTTGCCGGTGCTCGAATCTTTTTCCGGTATTATGAATCGTCCTGCCACTCTTACCCTGCCGTACTCTCTTCCACTTACCCTGCCGTACTCTCTTCCTCTTAACCTGCCGTACTCTCTTCCTCTTACTCTGCCGTACCTTCTTCCACTTAACCTGCTTTACCTTCTTCCCCACAGGACACCATAGCCCGACGCCCCGCCGCCCGCTCCCCCTTCCCCAACAACCCCCGCGCCCGCAACCCACCTGCGGGTGCTGCTGCGGGTGGTGGTGGTGGTGGTTTGTACGGCGGCGACGGATGCAATAACGGAGGTTACTTCCCCGGCTCCGAAACCGCTGCAGCAGCAGGCGCCATGCTGGGCATAGGGCCCTCGGAATTCTGCCGCCCTAGCCACCTTCTTGCCTCCCCCATGCCGCCACCTAGCTACCCCCTGGCTGGGTCTCAGTACACACACCAACAACTGCAGGGGTGCTACTACGGACGTGACGGGCAGGATGGAGGACCCGGAGGAGGAGGAGGAGGGGGACAGCAGTACGAGCAGCAGCAACAGCATGGGTCCCGTAGGACTAGATCAAGGTCGTACAGTGGTCCCGATAATTCCTCGTTTCCGCTGCACATCCTTTAGGAGGAGGTTACGGTCGAGGTAGGATGCGGAACGAAGCGGGCAGGCAGGCGTGCGTGTCGCAAGGCGTGTTTGGATCCCTTGAAGTGCGTGTTTGTGCACAACACATCCGCTAGTAGGATCGGCGCTGATCATAGCCGTTGACCAGCCGAGGTGTATGTAGTAGTGCGTTTAGCAGGAAGAGTGAGGAGAGGATGGGAGGGTGAACACCAGCACATGAGTGGAGGGCTGCAGGCGAGCAAGAAGCAGGCGTTACGGTGGGTTGCGGGTGATCGGGACCGGTTAGGGTACCTTTGTGTTGCATTGGTTTCGGAGGAAAGCGACCGGGGATTGTTGAATGAATTGCCTCAACCGGTACTTACGGTTGGATGTGACCGCACGTCCGTGCCTTAACTGGGGGATCTTACATTTTGGGCGGGCGGCCCCTCAGGCTGGTGAATGCATGCGTTTTCAATTCATGTTTATGTTTTTGGTGAGGGGTGCGGGATTAATTCGCGCGATCTGGGAGCAGAAAATAGCCTGTAGCAAGTGTGTGCGGGGTCCGTGTCACATCGATATTTGATTGATTGAGGGGCATGGAGTTCGATGTGAAGAAGACTGTGTTGGTGCTCTGCTGTTACTGTTGCTGCTACTGGTGCGGTTGGTGCTGCAAGGCATGTGTGTCTGCCCACCCCGCATGAATGCAATCCATAACAATTAACAGGAGAAACGAGCGGTTGCATCTCCACAATCCGCAATCTATCCTGCTGCAATCGTGAATCTCCCTTACATGTCATGTCTAATGGCAGGCTATTGATTGTGAATTGCGTTTCGCACGAGCGAGGTAGGGTGGGGGGTGCACGGTTACATATCCGCTGCGTTTTGAACGTGAATGTGTCTTAAATTACAATCAAGAGCAGTATAATTGAAAATGATTACCTCATGGGACTGTTGTGGTCTGTTCGCCTGAGTGGACGGTTGGTTGCTCATGGTGGTGGCGGGGCTGGTTGGTTAGTTCGTTATTTGGTTCGTTGGCAGGCTTCCGAGTGGATGATGTGTCGTACTGCTAACGTACTGCAGTGGCACTCGTTGTGCACTGCAGTACATAGCAGTACGAGAAGGTTTGGATGAGTCTTAACAACGCTTACTTGCCGCTTTTCAAACACGTTCTTATATGGTGCTGGATTGGGTTTGTAAATTGCATGATGGTGAGAATGGCGTCCTTCATTGATGAAGGACTAATAATATGGACAAACGTAATACCTGCTGAATGGGTAATGGCGACGACGAGAGATTGCATGCTAGTTGCAACAGTCTGCTGCTTTCTTTCATGTGTTAACAAGTCAGCTTCATGTTCGATGGATTACTAGGAGGTCTGGACACGTATGGAGCACACGTACTGTCCCTGTCCTGCCATGTACGGCAGCAGGAAGGAAACAGATGTGCGAAGAGTACTGGTTGCTGGATGGGTTGCATGATGATTGCTAGGAGACGACACATGCAGGGCACCGTAAATGGATGGCCGTACACCGGCACATCCACCCGAAGGCATTTTCCTAGAACTTTTCAAGCAAGTGTAAAGCGTTTTCGTTCGTTTTTTCTACTACTACAACACTGCTGTTGGTGGGAAGAAGGTACTTTGGGGGCTGCTTCTCAATCGCTGCTGAGGGGTAGATAGGCTGAGCGCTACGTGCACGCTAGTGGCGGAGAACCCCTGCGACGTACGGCGTGAATGGACAACTGACCCAGATCCTAACTGCCGGTGTGTTGGGGCGGTTGTGATGCGGTGGTCAGGAATACGATGTGATGGCGGTGGCCGACGGTCCCTATATCTACTGTGCACGGTACGGGATGCGCATGCCTAGTTAGCTTGATTGGATGGATGGAAGAATGGATGTTCATTGGATGGATGGATCGATACGGTTAGGTCAGTTATCGTATAACCTCAGTGCGACATGCTGTTCCAGGGTATGTACCGATACCGCTGCGCTGCTGTTATTGCCGGCTGCTGCTGCTGTGCCGGTATTCGGGCGCCGAACTCAGCACCCGTCACTTGACGGCTGCACCGACCCGTGGGTCGTTCGGGTGGTTTTTATGGCAGGGGAAGAGGCGTAGGCTGGACTGCTTATCGGTCCCAGCTTCATACTTATACTTTGGCATTGCTTAGCAGGCTGCTGGGGGGTGGGGGTGGGTTGGGTCGCCTACCATCTTTACCACGAGCGCAACCTAGCTTTACTCCTTCTTAGGATAGACAACCTGTCTTCAATTCGCTCTTTTTTGGAATGCAGCCCGAATGGAGCCTCAACACTTTCCAGCAAAAATTAAATAATAACGACTTTAGCTGACCGGCTATGTCTGTTTGCCGCTTGACAAGTTATTAATATTAGTTAGGTACTTGTACGACAAGCAAGCAATTCACGGTACTGGTCGTTGATGGGGTGAAGAAGATGGCTGGCTGAGATGCACATGTGCAATGGAGCTCGGGTTACATGATGATGAGGACATGCGTCAAACAGGCATGCGTACGGCTGCTGTACATGTTGCAAGCTCTGTGGCTGCCACAAGATTATTTGACGGCTGTGCAAGCTCTGTGCGCGGCTGCTGCTACCGGAATTGATAAGATTGTAGGGATGACAACAGAATAATACCGGTAATGAAGCGACGCAATGATAGCTAGCAAACGTTATCGAAAATACAGGGGCAACCTTTAGGTGACTACCTGTGCTTAGCTAGGCAGTACGGATGCCGTTCGTGTACGGCACGTGGGGGTAAAAGGACGTATGCTGTCTTACTAGCAAACATTCCTATGATGCCAGACGCTAGGCAGGCAAGCGGCAGCAGGGCTAGGCAAGCGGCAGGGCTAGGCGAGGGGCAGGGCTAGGCATACCGGTACGCAACCCTCCCGTACAGCTTATAACCTTCCCGTACGAAGGTTACCGCATATCGTACAGACACCGTTTGTAAGTTGGCAGAACAGAAGAGTCCTGAGTGCAGATACAGGGTCAGCATACACACTCACGTGCGGCACCCGGCTGCCCATCAACAACACCTCACCCACCTACCCGCCCACCCACCCGCCCATTTCGCCTCGCCTGTACCCAAACACCCACATACCCACCCACTTACCCGCCGCCCACGCACGCGCCTGGACACATCGCCTGGCATCGCAGCCTCTACCGCGATACTGCCTGCGAGGCTGCGAGGCTGCTCCTAAAGATATGTTTTACTAGTCACCCAAACGAATGTCCTGGTACCCGTCATACCACCCCCCTGCTGAAGCTTAGTGTCGTACAGCTTAACAGTTTCCTCTTTACCCCCACAGCAGGGGTACCCCCCAACTAGACGTACTCATAATGCCGCACGACTCGCGCGCTTCATCCCGTCGTTCCACTGTCCCACCAATCGAAACCGAGTCTCAGCTCCAAAAGCACGCCCATCATCAGTCCTCCCTGCGGCTACGTACGTCGTCATCGCAACACCCGCATAACGCAATCCGCTTACAATCCGAATGTGTACTTCATTCACGCCCAAGGCCTGACGCCTGCACTGCCTCCCGAATGCGGTACGCGTGAAGAAACCTTCTTAACGTCCTAGTGACTACCCTAAAAGACGCCGTGCAAGTGCACACTTGCCACAGCGCCTCCTACCGACACCCCCCCATCCCTACTTAACAGCATCCAACCGTTTTTCACAATCCCCTACTGAACAGCATGCAGGTTTCTCCCAGCCAAGCCTACGATGCCTGGAAGAACTTGGGCGCGATCTATACCTTCTTCTACTGTCATCTTCTTCCGCTTCATCCTTGTCATTAACCTTCCAATCTTCCGACGGTCAAGGTTACTATCATGGTCACTGTCACTGTCACGGTCAGTAGCGTCACTGTCCTCGGTTGAACCCCAGCCCGACCCTGATCCTCCACAGCAGCCCCGTCAGAGACCCAACACCTATCTTCTTGGATTCCGGCAGATGGAACCACACTCCTGGGTACCGCAGGTGTCCATTAAGCATTCACAGCCGTACAATCCTCATTCGCAGCCGTACAGTCCTCATTCACAGCCGTACAGTCCTCATTCACAGCCGTACAATCCTCATTCACAGCCGTACAGTCCTCATTCACAGCCGTACAATCCTCATTCACAGCCGTACGAACTGAACCCGCTCGGAGGTACTCAGCATGAAGGGCTTGAGCTTCCAACCAGCCTGCATGCGTATGCACGTGTGCAAAGCAGTGGAGTAAAGCATTAAGAACGAACGGACGAACGAATGGTGGGCGCAAAGTTAATACGGGTGCTGTCACCAAGAGTGCATTTGACCACCATGTGTTAGAATATTCTGAGTTGGGCCCCTCTTATGGCACACGCGCTCGGTGGCGCAAGAAGTACCGGTGCAACCCCCGACACCGCAATCCTAAATCCCGCATCACACCCAACCCCTAGTACAAGTCTTGGTCCAATCAACACTCCATGATAAGATAAACCCGATATCCCTAACCTCCCACGTACCTTGTGAGCCTGCTCCAGCAGCAGCGGTAGCTGCGTCGCCGCCTCATGCCGACTCCTTGCGATCAGCTCGCTCCACGTTTGCTCGTCCAACCGCTCCCAACGAACTTCGTTGGGTAACGGAATCGGCAACTGCAGTGGTTGCATTGCCGCCCCCGTCCCCGTCCCCTCCGTCGTCGTCGCCTCGCCTCCTCCTGTCCCCAACCTTTTGTCTCTACTGCTAGAGCTCTTGCCTCTGCTGCTTTTGCTTTTACTGCTGCTGTTGCTGTTGCTACATGCGCTACGGCCGCTGCTGCCGCTACCCGTTCCTCTACTGAGGGAGAGGTCGGCTGATGATGAAGGTACGCTGCTGGCTGCTGCGAGACGCGCGTCCGGGTCAGCTTGAGCAGGGGCACAGCAGCCCGCAGCTTGTCGGTGCTGCTGCTCTTGATGCTGCTGTCCCTGCTGCTGGTGGTGGTCGTGTTGGTGCTGGTGATGTAGCTCTACAACGGCCTGAAGGGGAGGCAATTCCAAGCGCATGAAAGGGAGGCAATTCCAAGCGTGCGGATGCAAGCATCTCATCATCAAGCACACATGCAGGTACACCGTTATTGCGCGCCGCACATACACTGCACACAGGGCCGGCAGACACACTGCGATGTGTCTTGACAGTTGAGACGCACATCTTGCCGTACACTGGTGCCGTACACTGGTGCCGTCTACTGGTGCCGTCTACTGGTGCCGTACCTTCCGCAGGTATGCTGCATGCAGCAGCGCCTTCGTGATGTCAGCGGGGGTGGCCTTGTCGCTGTTGGGGGGGGAGGGGAGTGGGGTTGGGGGCCGAGTGGGGAGGGTTGGGGGAGCGGGAGGGCCAGAGGCTAGGGCTCGCAACCAAAACGTATTTGCAAGCGGCATTGGTTGTTTGTTTGTTTCTGGCTCAGTCGTCCCACATGCGCTCCTCTCATCCCCCTCTCCAGTGTTCTGCCCTAATTCGTGGTTTCCTGCGTTTTGGCTTAATTTGAAACCCCCTCCCCCGCCCGCCCAGTATATCCCGCGACTCCGTTTACCGTATCTGCCCCCACCCCACCCCACCAGCATCCCCAACACTAGCCCACCTGAAGGACACCAGCACCCGAGGCCCGGCCCCTGCTCCTCCTCCGCAGCCCCCTCCTCCAGCCCAGCTCGGTAGCAGCCGCCGCAGCAGCCCACAACTGCTGGGACCTCCTGCTCCTCCCCCTGCTCCCCCTACTCCTCCTCCTCTTGCACCTCCTCCTCCTCTTGCTCCTCCTGCACCTCCCTGCCCGGCTGCCGCTGCGCCCCCTGCCGCCTCCGCCCCCGCCACCCGCATCACATACTGCTCCCCCTCGAACTCCCGCAGCAGCCGCAACAGCGCGACAACCGCTGGGCCCTGTGCGTCTTCTGTTGGGGGGAGGCCGCTGCTGGGGGCGGCTGTAGCAACAGCAACACCAGTAGACGACGAGGGCGAGGACGATGATGACGACTGCTGTTGCCGCTGTGGCTGTTGCCGTTGCTGCCCTAGGCTTGATGAGGCGGTTGGTGGTTGGGGCACAGTTGCCGTTACCATTGCGGTTGCGGTTGCACTGGGTGCTGTTGCTGTTGCAGCAGGAGGGAGCTGCGAGGGGGTTGTCGGGAGCAGGTCGGCTAGTCCGGTGATGGCGAGCGGCAGAAGGCCGCGCCACACGTTGGAGGGGAACAGCAGGCTTTCCGCTGAGCTGATCTGAAGGGGAGGGGGGAGGAAGGGAGGAGGGGGAGGGAGATGGGTTTTTTTTACCGTACATACATGTGCCCGTACCGGTATACATGCGTGTGAGAGCTGATCCGATGACCCACCGACCCACGGGTCACATCCCAACGCCCCCCCCTAACCCCTCCCTCACCTCTGCTGCCGAGGGCACCCGGCCGCCCGACCTCATCCACCTCTCCATCAGCATCTCGCCGCGCTCCCGATTGAGAGATCGCAGCTGTACGGCCTTGAGCTCGTGCCAGATGCAGGTGAGGTCGCCTGCAGAGGGAGGGGGAAAGGGAAGGGGTTGGGGGAGGGGTAAATACACACACACGCTCCCGATTGAGAGATCGCAGCTGTACGGCCTTGAGCTCGTGCCAGATGCAGGTGAGGTCGCCTGCAGGTTGGGGGTGGTGAGGTAAAGAAGAGCAAGAAACTGAGGAGAATGGTGTTGTGTGGATTGCATGATGTGTTGTGTTTGCGGAGAAGAAGTGGGGGTGGGAGTCTAAGACTGAGGGAGGAAGAAAAAGCCACAGCGGAAAGAGGGTTCACAGCCGCAGCAAACCGCCCAACCGGAAGGGGGTACAGGTACGGAAGGGAAGGGAAGGGGAAACACGAACACAGCGCCTTCGGAGGAGGAGGGAGGCGGCGTTGTGTGGCTCCCTGACTCCCTCCCTCCCTCCCCCACCTGCTGCGCATATAGGGTACATGACGGCCGGCAGCAGCAGTCCCCCCCGCGGCATGTGCCGGAAGAGCCAGGTGAGGCCGGTGGACACCACCAGGGCACACATGTCCATAACCTGGGGGGGGAGGGGGGGTAAAGGGGGGAGGGAAGGGGGTTGGGGCATCACGGTAGTAGAGTTTGGATGTTCCATGCTAGGCTGGGTTATAGGATTGCGTATACGGAAGGGGGGTTGCGAAGGGGAGGACACAACGTCCTGGATGGGAGTACCGCCGGTATAGTACCAATCGATATGGGAACGAGGAAGGGAGGTGTGGTGGTGACAACGCGCCCCAACGGGTGACATAAGTGGACTGTGTTGGTTACCATGTGCCGCCTACCCCAACCGCCCGCCCCCCACTCTCACCCCACCCCCAACTCCTCCCCCCCCTGTTCTTTCGGTTAAATTGTATCGGGTAAGGTGGGATGGACCGGCTACCATGTTTGCACCCCATGGTGAAGCCTTGTCATACAGCTCGTCAGTTGCTTCGTCAGTGTCTCATATATATTTTTTACCCCCCACCCCACCATGTGCTGCGCCTGGTTCTTGGAGGTGAGGTCCGCCAGATTTCCCCCGGTGGCCAGGGCGGCCTGGAAGGCGGGCTGTACGGCAACGAAGGCGGAGAGGCCTGGGGGGAGGGGGGGAGGCGTCCGGTGTGGGTACGAAAAAGAAAGCAGAAGAGCATACTCAATTACCTACTTACCTACTTGACCGTAGTAACTACAGAACTGCGAATGGCTCATTAACTTAGTTATAGCTTACATGAGTGACCGACGGGAGCCATGTTCATTTGCGTTCATTAATGGCGATATGTTCGTGAACGGGTCACGACAGTCAATGACGCCGGACGCCTGGAACCCGATCTCGCATAGGTACTACAGAACTGCGAATGGCTCATTCACATGGTGGTGCGTCGCCCCTCCCCCTCTTGGGCATCCTTCTTCCCCCCTCCCCCTCCACTCACCCACCGCCCGCCCCACGCTGCTGATGCTGGCTAGCGCCACGAAGTGCTGCGGCCAGAAGGGGGTGGCAAACTCCCCCGCCATGCAGGCGGTGAGGATGAGGGAGGTGATGAAGCGCATGCGCTGGGAGGGGGGGAAGATGGGGTAAGGGAGGGGGGAGCGTGTGTGTATGTGTGTGTATTGACTGGGCCATGCAGGAGGTGAGGATGAGGGAGGTGATGAAGCGCATGCGCTGGGAGGGGGGGAAGATAGGGTAAGGGAAGGGAGAGCGTGTGTGGATGTGTGTGTATTGACTGGGCCATGCAGGAGGTGAGGATGAGGGAGGTGATGAAGCGCATGCGCTGGGAGGGGGGGAAGATAGGGTAAGGGAAGGGAGAGCGTGTGTGGATGTGTGTGTCTTGACTGGGCCATGCAGGAGGTGAGGATGAGGGAGGTGATGAAGCGCATGCGCTGGGAGGGGGGGAAGATAGGGTAAGGGAGGGGAGAGCGTGTGTGGATGTGTGTGTATTGACTGGGCCATGCAGGAGGTGAGGATGAGGGAGGTGATGAAGCGCATGCGCTGGGAGGGGGGGAAGATAGGGTAAGGGAGGGGAGAGCGTGTGTGGATGTGTGTGTATTGACTGGGCCATGCAGGAGGTGAGGATGAGGGAGGTGATGAAGCGCATGCGCTGGGAGGGGGGGAAGATAGGGTAAGGGAGGGGAGAGCGTGTGTGGATGTGTGTGTATTGACTGGGCCATGCAGGAGGTGAGGATGCGCGAGGTGATGAAGCGCATGCGCTGGGAGGGGGGGAAGATAGGGTAAGGGAGGGGAGAGCGTGTGTGGATGTGTGTGTATTGACTGGGCCATGCAGGAGGTGAGGATGAGGGAGGTGATGAAGCGCATGCGCTGGGAGGGGGGGAAGATAGGGTAAGGGAGGGGAGAGCGTGTGTGGATGTGTGTGTATTGACTGGGCCATGCAGGAGGTGAGGATGCGCGAGGTGATGAAGCGCATGCGCTGGGAGGGGGGGAAGATAGGGTAAGGGAGGGGAGAGCGTGTGTGGATGTGTGTGTATTGACTGGGCCATGCAGGAGGTGAGGATGAGGGAGGTGATGAAGCGCATGCGCTGGGAGGGGGGGAAGATAGGGTAAGGGAGGGGAGAGCGTGTGTGGATGTGTGTGTATTGACTGGGCCATGCAGGAGGTGAGGATGCGCGAGGTGATGAAGCGCATGCGCTGGGAGGGGGGGAAGATAGGGTAAGGGAGGGGAGAGCGTGTGTGGATGTGTGTGTATTGACTGGGCCATGCAGGAGGTGAGGATGCGCGAGGTGATGAAGCGCATGCGCTGGGAGGGGGGGAAGATAGGGTAAGGGAGGGGAGAGCGTGTGTGGATGTGTGTGTATTGACTGGGCCATGCAGGAGGTGAGGATGAGGGAGGTGATGAAGCGCATGCGCTGGGAGGGGGGGAAGATAGGGTAAAGGAAGGGAGAGCGTGTGTGGATGTGTGTGTATTGACTGGGCCATGCAGGAGGTGAGGATGAGGGAGGTGATGAAGCGCATGCGCTGGGAGGGGGGGAAGATAGGGTAAGGGAGGGGAGAGCGTGTGTGGATGTGTGTGTATTGACTGGGCCATGCAGGCGGTGAGGATGAGGGAGGTGATGAAGCGCATGCGCTGGGAGGGGGGGAAGATAGGGTAAGGGAGGGGAGAGCGTGTGTGGATGTGTGTGTATTGACTGGGCCATGCAGGAGGTGAGGATGAGGGAGGTGATGAAGCGCATGCGCTGGGAGGGGGGGAAGATAGGGTAAGGGAGGGGAGAGCGTGTGTGGATGTGTGTGTATTGACTGGGCCATGCAGGAGGTGAGGATGCGCGAGGTGATGAAGCGCATGCGCTAGTGTTGTACCTTGTAGGACTAGGAAGATCACGAAAGGGTAGGGACAGGAGTCCGGATTTTCGGGTGTTTCGTGTTGTGTATAAGGTACGTAGAGGGTGAGAGAGAGGACGAGAGAGGGCGAGAGCGAGGACGAGAGAGGGCGAGAGAGAGGGCGAGAGAGAGCTGGAGAGAGGGTGTGATACCCGGCCGCCTGCATACCTTTAGGTCCGCGTCGAATGTCTGTCCGAAGGATGTGGCCACGCTCATGCGCACGATGCGACTCACTCCGTCCTTGAGCAGCCAGTTGATGGCGGCGGAGGCGGCGAAGGCCTGGAGCAGGGGGGGTGCAAGGGGGGAGGAGGGTGCAGGGAAGAGGTAGGGAGGAAGAGACGGACCGTGTGACATGTAGGCTGCACCATGGGGGGGGTGTAGGTGGGGTAGCGGGCAGGGGGAGAGGGGAGGCAAGGAGGAGGGACCAGGGGTGTGGCAAAGTCCCCGTACTCCCCCCTTACCTTGTTTGGCCCCATCCAACCCCCACCCACCCCCATCCCCCCCCCATCCCCCCACCCAACCCACCTTCTTGGCCCCCAGCCCGGTTGCCTGCAGCAGCGCTGAGAAGGAGAAGTTCTGCATGGTGGAGCTGAAGAAGCGCTGCAGGGGGGGGGGGCGGGGAGGGGAAGGGGCGGGAGGATGGAGGGAAGGAGGGGTCTCATGGAAAGGGGTGGGGCAGCGGATGTTGCTTTGCTGCATGCAGAGGTTATAATGGACGTGAGGCGAACATGTTGCATGCGCGTTAACCCACCAACCTGCCCCCGTGTTTCCCCCTCCCCCCCTTCCTGCCCCGTGTTCCCACGACGTGTTCCCTCCCACCCCCCGCCCGCCCCTACCTGCGACAGCCGCCACCTCAGCCACTCCCAGTAGTCGGCGGTGACGTCCCGTGGGTCGGGGAAGAAGGCCTCACGCAGCCGCCGCTGCAGGGAGGCACACAGCGCGCGGAGCCGGCCTGGGGCGGGAGGGAGGGAAGGAGGGGGAGGGAGGGCCGTGCATGGGGGTAGAAGAGGACCCAGCCCGTCCTAATGGACACCACACGGGACAGGGGACCCACATGGGGGCCGTAGGCGGGGTGAGGCCGCATATCAAAGAGTGGAGGTCATGAACCCTCAGTTGTTGGCTTCAAAGAGGGATGTGGTCCTCCTCATTTGGGCCATCAGCACAGACCCACGGGTCAAGCGGAACCCCAACCGTCACAACTAACCACCCAACCCACCCACCCGTCGCCTCGTCGTCACCCTGCAGGGCCGCCTCCTCCACGGCTTGAATCTGTTTGCCATCCCAGACGTACGGCAAGAGGTGGGCACCTGGAGGGGTGCCGTACGAGTACACAAGTCAAGCTACACTGGTGGCGTACGGGGTGCAGGGTGACCTGAACGATGAGGCATTGCAGTCGCATATGCAGATAGGATTGCAGGAATGTCTTGACAAGCCTTAGCAGGCCGGTACGGTATGCTGTGAGTACGGTATGCTGAGAGTGGTAACAACCACAGGTCAGGTGAGCCGATCAGGTGAGGACGAGGCAAGTTGGACGACCCGGGGACGGCATCCAGTGCTTGATGTGAGTCCGAGCAGCAAACTCCGGATCCAATGCCATAGTATTGTATACACTAGAAACTCACCCCTCTTCACAGCCACCGGCAATCGTTCCAGCGAATTGCGGTGGCCATGCTGTTCCCCATTGGCGTCATTGCCCGCTGTGCCAGTTGAGCCCCTGCTCGATGCTCGCAGCTTGTCGCTAAGAGGTGCCAATGGTGAGGTTGAGCTTGTCGTTACGGAACAAAATGCCGCGTGTGACAGGTGTTGTCGGCGGCATGTTGCAATGTCACTGCCGAGAGGCCTCACGAGAAGGCGTGTGTTGCGATTCGCTGTGAACTGAAGCTCGTCAGGGACTGAATTTGACTCCAAAGTCGTGTCTAAGCGCTGAAGCTGTAAACGGCCAAGCGCTACTTTCCGGGTATCGAATTGACACGGTTGCATTTGCTCCAGCACTCAAGTAAAGCCGTTCCTAGCGAGATATGATACCGATCGCTGAATGAAGTAAGATCGTCATAAGATCAGCCGCATTCCTACCATAGAAGAGCTAGAGTTCTTTTCAACGACATTAGGAGCGAAGATAGATATTCGTTACAAGCTAAGAGCAATGAGCTCTTATAGTTAATGTGTTAACAATTCAATCTAAGTCACTAAGCGTTCTATAATGCCACATGGACAGTGACTCACGTCACGGCACCTTCTGCACTATTGGGCTTATCATGCACCTAGCTTACTTAATTAAGTAACCACCTGCTAATTGCACTAGTATCGTTCCTCGACGCTGGCATCCTGGCAACCCGACCGCAGCACGCACGCCATGCTATGCTGGACTTAACTCCGCCCAGCCGTCTTATCACAACTACTCATATTCTAGGTATCGCTATCGACCATTCGCCAATTTATATCATCACAAACAAAGGCTCCAGGCCGGAGTTGGTCAACTTGTTGTCCATCGCTTACGCCGACAGGGGCACCGTGTAAACGGGGCAGCACTTTGCGCTGCTGGCGCCAGTGCTGTAGAGGCCAATGGTGCAGCGACCTGCGAGGATGGAGATTAAAAGTTAAAAGTTAGACAACCCGCGTTAACCACAATCACGAACCATTACACCCCGCTTATCCCACCCACAACCCGAGCAGACCCAAGGGTCCCAACTCCGAAACATACCCGCAGGGCCCAGGCACAGCGTGTCCAGAGGCAGGTCGGCGTGCAGGGTGAGGCAAATGCGCGGAGAGGCCGTCGCAATGTAGCCAGCAGTCCAGCCCAGGTTGGCAATCACGAGCTCATCGTTGTAGGTGTTGCCGCTCTTGATCCAAGCACCTTGATCCGGATTTTGGATTTGGGGGCCAGGATTGCGAGATCAAAGTCAGCGGTTTGGGTCTGGCGGTTGGGTATGCGAGTTGCAGGGCAGGAAGAGAAAGCAGAACAGAAAGATACAGTTTACGGTATAGACCCAGACTTGAGGTAACGGTGCCTTGGTGAGAGGATGCGGATCCAGCCATAATGCCTTCATGCATGGTGTACGGCATACGCTGTACGGCACCTAGGAGGACAAGTACGGTACTCCTAAATTTCTGCTTTCTAAATTTCGGCGTTCTTACCCGACACGGTTTTTTGCGCTCCCTTGGTGTCCCGCACGGTAATGGTGGTGATGCCGGTACGGTTCGCGTAGGCCGCCCAGAACTGGACACGCTCCAGCTTGGTGGCCTTGCCGCAAGACGTCTGAAGGTTTTCGGGGCGCAGGGGAACGTGGAGAAAGGTTAGAGGACAGGTGATACTAAGTACTTAGTTACAAAGATGACTGGGCTTCACAACAGCACATATGGTGTTGAAACAAAGGTACGGGCAAGCGGAGGTGGCCTTTGCGGGTTGTAAACTTGTGACGGTGGTACCATATGAGAGGTCGGTCACTTACCGCAGTGTTGTTGGGAGTCGCGGTGGTGATGTTAAAGCAGAAGGTTTGCGCCGGGATGGCCTTGGTGACGGTCATGCTGACGCGAAATGGCGTTGAGTCGGCCTTTTGTTGGCAGTTCGTCAGAGCGGGGAAGGGCAAGCTTGGAGGTGGACTGGACTTGCCCATAAGGGACCGAGCTTGGACGGTCCTGAAAAAGGGGCAAGGATACAGATGCGCCGGCATGATGTGGGCACAAAGCTCGCGAAGTACTCGGAAGCAGAAAACAATTATAAACCCAAAGAAAGTGTGGTAAGTACTGCATCATACAGCTTTGTGTCACTAAGCGTCCCAGTATCCCAGTATCCCAGACAAGTATCCCAGCGCTGCTGCAGCCCATATGCATACAGCGGGGCGCGCGAAACCTATGTGACCCACAGTTTAGGAGTTTTAGCGACTTACCCAAAGCAGAGAACCGCCACCAGAGCGATTGTGAGGCGAATGCGATCCATGTTTCCTGGGTCGGTCGTCTCGAAGAAAGCTCAGTGATGTTACTGCAAGCCTAAATTCGTACGCTGGTCTGAAGAGCGAAGAGGGATATAGAAAATTAGTCGCCTTTCGTGCCCTTTATACCGCTGTCGCGCTGTGTCGTGCCTTCACCATCCCTTCGTACGCATATCGCTACAGCGGCAAACCGTACTCCCAACTCAGCGCGCGCCTACCTAGATTTCCCTTTTTTTAGGGAATATCTGAAACCGGTCCTATTATCATGCGGCGATGGTCTTGTAGTATGTTGACTGCTATCGAACTTTATGGAATGCCTTGGCGAATGTCTTAAATACACCCTTCCTGGCAATTAAATATCATTCACTTTGTAGTGTTATTTGAGCATTCCAGATCACCCGCTTGTGCAGCCTTTTAGGACGTCGATGCGTACCATTTTTCCATACTTTACTACCTACTTAGAAGCACAGCTACGTAGGTAGCTCAGCATGGATCATTCCGTAGTTTAGTAGAAGTAAACGCTGCATAACCATGCGGCTCCTGCTTTTGTTGGCGATAGCTGCTGTCTTGCAGGTACGCAGGGCTTGGAGTCTAAATTGTAAATTGCGTACAGAGTTCCCTAGTAGAATTGTCAGATCCTTGTGTAACTAACCACAGCGAAGGGGTTCTTGCCATGGGCTTTGCATGATCGGAAACACCTGCCCTTCTGCTTCTTGGTAGGGAGTACCAACTCCCCTTGGGTTGCACACCCGTAGCGTCGAAACACCGTCCCCGACAGGAACCAGAACCCCATGTATACCACGTTGCAGTCAGCCATTCATAAGCTATGTAGGAAGATAGGGACATAGCACAGGCAGGTAGCCTGCAGGCTAATCCCTGCTGACGTGTAAGCATCGGGCGTGTTCTTACTTCATCACCATATTTCTTCCGTGCTTTTCAAGCCCTCACGCCCGCATGGACGCTCCCTTTACCCCGTAAACATATATTGGTCATAGCTGTACTGATGAGGCAGGCCAGCCAGTTTGCACAAACATGTTGCATTGCTAACCCCTCTGGCTTGAACCACACCCACCGATCCACCACACCAGACACAACCTATACTCTCAAATGGACAGACACTCACAATGCTACCGGCGCCAAGGCACCTGAAAACTAACTGAGCCCGGATTACGCTGCAATCTCCCACAGCCCCACGCCCTTGCTGCGGAGTCGCTCCAAGGCGCAGCAGCAGCAGCAGGGGGAGATGCGACTGGAGGCAGCAGCAGCAGCATTAGGATCGGGGGTAGGCAACTGCATGAAGGCGGTGGAGATGACCCACGAGTGGCTGCGGGCGTCAAACGGCTGCTGCAGGCAGCCAAGCTCTACCGCAGTCGGCTGCCTGGGGGGCAGACCATGCTGCGCCCACGTCAGATTCACCGGGCGTTGTACGGCGGGGACTTGGAACGACTCCGAAACTTCGTACGGAGAATGGCTCTAGGTGAGTAGTGGAGTGCCCTGAGCTGGTCGCCCTTTGCCCTCTTTTGCACCCCGAGGGTGCTGCGGGTGCCTCTGCTCCCTTTGGCATGATGGCAATTCATGATGGAAGGGCACTGCGGGTATCTGACCCCTGTCCTTGCACTTAGTCCGTGCATATGCCCATGCATATGCCCCCTGCGCTCATGTGGCCATGCACTCCCTGTATCTAGCCAGACTGCCAGTCCTGTACCCTATAGCCCTGATGTGTGACAAGGTGTCCCGGGGGGGCGTTGATTGCCCCTGGCCCGCTCGGCCCCTCTTTCGCACCTCTATCCCTCCCCTTCTGCAACCACGGCTCCTTACCCATCAACCATATCCCCGCCTTCTTCGCTTTACCACCTTCATTATTTCCTTTTCCCCAACCTCTCGCCCCCCAGGCGAGTCCCTGACCCTAGCCCTCATGGGTGGCAGCGTGTCCAAGGGCATGGGTGCGGTAGCCGGGGAGCCCTCCCTGGAGGCTTGGCTGGGGGGCTGGCTGGCGCAGGTGGCTCCCCTGGCGGGGACAGCAGTAGGGGGAGCGGGAGGAGATGTTGGAGGAGCGGGGGGAGCAGCAGGAGGGGGGGAGGGGGGAGTTGGGGCGGTGGTGGCGGCACCGGCAGGGAGCCAGAGGTCAACTGTGCGGCTGGTGAATGCGGCGTGTCCGGCTACTTCGTCAGCGTATATGAACATGTGCCTGAGGGTGAGGGAAGGGAGGGGTGTTGGGCGGTGGGGCGGGCAGGGGGGTGCCGTGGGGTTTTCGAACAGTGGATTTTATAGGCTTCGGGTATAGTGGGCACCGGCCGTCTCCCTCTCCCTCTTCTCCGACCTCTCCTTTCCACAGGACCGGAGGTAACTCATGCACCACCCCTCTCTCCCTCTTTCCACCCCTCCCCTCTTTTCCCTCCCTCATCCACCACCTCTTTCCCCCCATCCCTCCCGTCTCCATCCCCCCTCCCCCCCACCAACACAGGAGTACCTGCGGGAGCCCGAGCGGGTGGACCTCATCCTGCTGGAATATGCAATTAACGATGAAGCCTTCCCCGATCCGCCCTGGGAGAACGAACACAGGAAGAGGTAAGCGCGGCAGTTTGGGAGGGCGGGAATAAGCGAGAAGTGAAGCAACTAGAGGCCCAGTCGCGTATCCCGTATCCCTGGGGGAAGGAGGGTGATGCGCTTGGTGCTGTGTGGCTGTGTACATAGACTGCGGTGATGTATGTCCCTAAGTGCACCCTCCTACCTTCTACCAGCCTTCCCTTGCCCTTTCCTGGTTTTCTTCCGAACGGTTAGATTTCTCCCTTTCGTCTCTACGCGTGACCTCTCCATCCTCATGCCCCCTCATATCCCGCCTCCCTCAAACCATGATGAAGCCTACTAAATGCAGGTTATTTAGTTGTTTCCATCTTTACCCTTCCTCTCACGCCCGCCCCCCTCCCACGCCCTCCATCAGTTTCGAGCTGCTGGTCCGCAAGCTGCTGCGGCTGCCCCGCCGCCCGCCCGTGGTGCTACTGAACACCTACCGCTGGCACTCGGAAGGGGCGCTGCGGGGGCCGACCGGAACCAAGAGGCCCTCCGGCGGAATGTGAGCACGGGGGCGCGGGGGGTCAGGAAAGACCCCCCATAGGAAACCACGAAGCGCGTGGGGGTGGCGGGGGTGGTGATAGTGGTGGGTCAAAGAGAAAGTAGCCCGTACTAATGGGAACCACAAGCGAGTGGCAGTGCTGGGGGGGGGGGGGAATTATATAAGAAATGCAAACAACTAAAGTCCGGGTGGGGGAGGTAAAAGTGATGTCCTCTGCAACGGTATTCTCTGCATCACGCATGCACAGGAGTCTCCCGCTGACTGACCGGCTGGCTGGCCTTTTCACTTCTCTCGTTGCTTCCGTCTTGGCTTTCGTGTTCATGTGCAAGCTTGTAAGCCATAACGCCTGCGCCTGCGCTTCTCCCTCCGCCTGGCCACATGGTGCACCTAATGCTCTCCGGTATGTGTGTGCTCTCGCTTCCCTCGCCTCCCTTGCCTCCTCCCATTCGGACGAATACCCCACCTGCCGCTGTGCTGCTACCGTGGCTGCGACTGCTGCTGCTGCTGCTGCTGATGCTGATGCTGCGACTACTGCTTTCACTGCCACCTGGACGCTTCCGTTGGTCGGACGGCTGGCCTCCTCCGTCCCTCCTCCCTCCCTGCAGCTACTATACAAACACAGGTGAGACACGCCCTAGCCTTTCCGTCGGTAATCCTCTTTGTTTTGCTCCTTTGGCTGTGTCCCACTAAGGACGCGTCACATTCCGGTCTTCCCACCTTGCCCCCTCCTTCTCCTTCCCTCCCCATTCCTTCCTTCCTCCTTAACAAACGCCTTGCCTGCCGCCACCCTCCCCCGCAGAAGCCCACTACTTTGAGTTTGCAACGTACTACGGCCTTCCAATGATATCACTCAAGGTACGTAGGCTAGTTGCCTTACCAGGTGTTGTTGCCGTACCAGGGGTTGTCGTACGGGCGCTTGTCGTACCAGAGGGTGTCCTTGTGCCTATCCTCCTTACCACCCGTAGCTGAGAGTCGCAAACAGGAGGTGCTGCCGACGTGTTAAGTCAGCTGAGTCACAAAACTATCAAACAAAACTAGCAAATAATCCGTGCATCTGGTGACGCTCTAACTGCGTGTATTGGTACATGTGTGTTTTGCCCCTTTGTCTTGGCCCTCCCCCCCCAGGCGGCGGTGTATCACCAGATGATGGCCGGCGTCAGGGGCTTCCAGGCGAGGTTTGGGTGGGGAGGGAAGGAATTAGCAAAAGCAGGAGACCATAAAGCAAGAGGGGATCCGATGGAAATCAAGCTAAACGAGATGGGAAGAGAAGGGGGGAAAGCCTTGTGAGATTGCCGTACCGTTCCGGGGGATAGATATGGCCATCCAGGCATTCCGCTACCGACATACACCTCCTCCTGAAACTTCTTCTTTGTACCGAATATCTTTCCCATTCCCCTCTCTCCCTTCCCCCACACACATGCACATGCCAGGTCCACTCACTGCGATACCAGACGCGCGAAAACAGCTCCAGCGACCCGGTGAGTTGGTTGGCTGGTTGGTTGGAGAAGGTTGGTTGAGTGTCGGTTGGTTGGATGTCGGTTAGTGGCCTGGGCGGGTCACAAGTGTCAGCCCCGCTCTCGTTCGTACGTGAGTTGGTCATCCCTCGTACCGGTAATATACAATGTCTTTGGTCATATCCCTTTGCCTCCGACTCGAACCCTAAACCCTGACCTCATCCAGCCTCCGGGTCCTGGCTTTGTGCAGGCAGCTCCTTTCCCTGCTTTCCCTGCTTCCCCCATCCCCAGCATTACCTTTCCCTCCCCCCACCCGCTAATCGGTACTAACAGCCCGTTCCAAGTACCCCATTAATGTTACCCCCACCCTACCCCAACCGCCCCAACAACAGGCCGCCCTGTTTTACGAGGACGGCATGCACCCCTCGGGGCTCACAGGGCACAGGTGCGTGAGCGCAGGCGTGCATACGCGTGGTGGTAGCAGTACGGCAGTAGGCATACCTCCCCCCGTGGCAGAAAACTGGAAACGTACATACGTGACAGATGCATCTTCTTGCCCTTGTCTTCTTGTCCCAGGATAGGACGGATTATCCGATGTTGAGTCACACCCTGCCGCCACCCGTTTTTAAGGTGCTGACAGAGCTACCTCGACCCACTTCCCCAATACCGAGCCATTGTGTTACCGGTATAGGCTTATAGTCATGTCACCCTTCAAGCCCTTAATAAACCCCCGTTAAAGCGGTTATCCTCCGCACACACACGCCCACCTGCTTGCTCCCAATTGCTTGCTCTTGTTCTACTCAACTACACGCACGCCCACCTGCCCGCCTGCATGCAGGGTGCTGAGTGAGTTGGTGATTGCAATGTTGCTGCATGCGGCTCGGTCGCTGGAGGCGCGGCCGTGGAGGCAGGTGGGTGCTGGCTAAACTGGTCCGGTATGTGTGCGTGTGTGCGTTAAGAACCCTGGCTGCGAGGAAGAACGTACGGGACTGTCGGAAATGATGTCCCCACCAGAACGCCACGGGAGACGCGCTTGTTGCTTACCGTGGGGTCTGAATGGACATGTGTTTTGTATGTACATATCTATATGTTTGCGGTATCTGTGGCGACCCAGCTTCATGGTTCTCACGTTGCTAGATATGCAGCGCCTGTAGCTGGTGCGGCAACTGCGACTAACCCCAAAAACACTGCTTCTCTCACCCTTCCCTCCCTATGTTAGTCTGAGGAGGAGCACATTCGTGCACCGCTGCCTCGTCCCATGATCCCACGTATCGGCGCCAACTACAGCGTCAGCGAGGGCTGGCAGCGGGGCGCTAGTCAGCAGCAGCAGGAGGACGGGGAGGGAGACGAGGGGGGCGGGTACGGGCAGTTGGATCGCTGCCTGCTCGGCGACAACTTGAGGGCAGCGGCGGTGGAGGCACAGGTGGGTGTGGGTGCGGATGTGGGTGCGTCACCGTACTTAGAAAGCTAGCTGCGAGTAGGAACGTATAGAATGTTTTGGAAGTTAAAGTGTGGGTGTGTCGCCGTCTCCCCGTCGCCTCTCCTCACGCCCCTCCCTCCCTCGCCCCCCACACCTCCCTCATCAGGGTTTCGAGTGGCTCAACGAGGGTCGCAACCCGCAGGCTCCCAAGTGGGGCTTCACAGCCACCGCCCCGGGTTCCCACATCACCTTCCAACCGCTGGGACTAGACACCCCTGCTTCCTCCGCACTAAACGGCACTGCTGTCGCTGCTGCTTCCACGACTGGCGCCTCAGCCCCTCCTGTTTCCGTTTTGGTCATCCTGGCCTATCTCCGCAGCTATGAGAACATGGGGGTGGCGGAGGTGAGCTGTCTGGGAGGAGCTGGCTGCATGTGCGGAGGCAGTGCAGACGGAGCTGTGGTGTTGCGGCTAGACGGGCACTGGGCGCAACGCACCTCTCAGCTGCAGCTGGGCTGCTTCCCGGCGCTGCTGGCGCCAGGCTGTCGGGTGCGGGTGCGGGTAGCAGCGGAGAGCAGTAGCGGGAAACACAAGGTGAGGCGGGAGGTGGAGGGATTAGGTTAAGTGTGGTAGAGGAGGAGGGGGGAGAGGAGGGGGCAGGATGTATGGGCAGAGAGGAATGGAGGCAGGAAACGTCGAGGGCTATCTTACTACTGGTTCTAGTCCTAGTCGATGTAATGGCCCCGCATCTGCCTCACACCCTCTGCCGTGCACCCTTCTAAACGCCCTACAAGCGCCGTCACGTTTTCTGTTGCCTTTCCCCCACCCCTCTACTCTGCCGCTTGCTTGGCTGACCTGGCATGCTTACTAATTACTTTTCCTTTCTGAACACCCCACCCAACCCAACCCCATCCCTCCGCATGCCTGCCTACAGGTGAAGCTGGGCGGGCTGATCGTGAGTCACAGCGCCCCCGGCCTGGCTCAGGACATGTGTCGCGACAACCTGGAAGCCACGCAGCGGGCGGCGGGGTACCGGGAGATGTGATGATGAAAGGTCAAAGATAAACCACGGGGATTTCGAGGGAGGGGAGGTTGCGGGATGGCGCATACAGCGGTGCTGGGACTTTTGATGACGAGGGGTCAGCAACTCAGCACGGTAGGAACGCCGGCCCCTGTTTAAACAGCAATTGAGCAGCAAGCCCATAGTGCAATATGATAGCACCTGTGGTATGTGAGGATGGTGTTGAGAGCGTTGCCAAGCCGTTGGGGGTGCCTCTTGCGAATCGATGCCGGCTACTAGCTATTCCGGACTTAACAGTAGGCCTAATGCAGACCGGACTTCTCAATAGGGCAGTGGATGGGGGTTTGTGTGAAGGGGGCAGGGGTGCGCAGCTGGGTAGCCAGAGGGTCTCATGGGGTGGGTTGTGTAGGCAGGTTATGTCGCAGCTGCAGCATATTCTACAGGCACGTCAGACGCTGTGATGCAGTGGAAAGAAACTTTGGAGGGGACCTAGGTGGAGGTTGTGAACAGCGTGCATGTGGGCTTGTGCTGGAAAAGGGTGCCTACCACCCTGGCTGCCACTTGCCAATATGGCTTTCTGTACCTGGCTTGCATGCTGTACAGCAGACGGAAACATGGCTCTCAGGACCGGCTATTAACCAACCATTTTTTGATAGGCAATTACCTGCACATGGTACAAGGAAGGAGAGGCAGGCAGTTGGCGCGTGTGGATGAGGGACATGAGGTGTCAACATTTTACGGATGCCGGTACGAAGATGAAGAGGCATGAAAAGCTTGGCTGTCTTAACTGGCTCAAAACCCGTCATAGGGACCGCAACAACGCATGGATAGCGCGATAACAGCAGCTGCTTCGCCAACGCTACCAACGGCAACCGCTGGCATGCTGGTGGACTAGGAGTTCCATCCTGTTTGACAATTTCGGCAACACTCTCACAACGGGGGAATATTGCACGTGCGTTTCTTGGCTAGGAGTGGCTGGGCGCACCTGTTATCCGTTGGGCCAGGAGCGACGAAAACCACACATCAGCCCAGCAGGACAGGAGAAACTCTCAACTGTGTGGCGAAAGGTCCCGGGACTGCAAAAGAAGGGAGAAATATGGTTATCCCGTAAGAGCAGCAGTGCACGTAATAGGTTGCGGCGAATAGAGCATCTGTACGGCAATCGTTCTCGGTGTGTACGAAGCCTATGTCCCGGATTAAACCAATAAACCAAGGTGATACCTGGTTTGCTCACTTGCAGTTTTCCGGCCGTCTTATCGTCACTTACAATCATGCCTTAATAGAGCGCGCCTTTGGAAACAATTTCTGCGGCAAGCAGCTGGCTTTAGTAAGGGTTTTCCTAGCTGGAGAATGCACAATTGGCGATTGAGACCACTTCTTTTGACTTTGTCTCACAGAGCTGAAACAGGTCACTGTGCAACAACTCTAAATGCCCACGCTGCCTGACTTCCTTGACGATAACCATAATACATGCTTCTTGGTTACGCCTACGACGGCATTCAATCCAGACGACTACCTAGTGCTTTAGCATTTAGAGCTCATGTGCAGCCCGTCCGGCGCCAGGAGCACGTGCAACTATGGGCAGCAGGAGCGGTCGGCAAGCCTCAGCTGGATTGCTCTGGGCTTTGGCAACAGCTATCCTGGCTATAGCATATGCGTCGCCGGAGGGGCCACACCCGCTTAATATCGCGGAGGTGCATGGAGTTAAAGCAAGGAGCGATGGACGACACCTGCAGCAGACTTTTGGTGCGAATGGCCTTGGAAAGATGCATTTGCGCTATGCCCTAAGGCTTGTTTCGTTGCCAATGGTTTTAGGACTATTTGCCAGCCCTCGACAGTGCTTGACCTTTTCTTTGTGTGGCATGGACAGCCATGATGGCCATGGCCACACTGTCCCTGGGCATAGTTCAGATGTTGCAGGCATTGTGCGAGGGTTGATAAACAAAACTTTGCCTCATACGTGCTAGCACGTAGAGAACCGGAGATCACGCTCTGCCGCTCCGATGCCACCTACGTGACTTGCTCTGCAGGCACTTCAAGCATCGTCCCATTGGTAATTGATGATGCCCCATGTCTGTCGTTCAATGCGGATGACTCAGCTCTTGTGCTAGCGCCTGGGGGCGGCTTTGCTGGGTACGCGACCGTTCATTCAAACGGATATGACTCCAACGGACTTAGCATCTTACGAGTAAATGTCACCACGATGGGCTTTGAAGGACAGTTATACTTTGGCTCGACCAACAGCTCGTTGGATGCATCCAACTTTAGGGCAATGTTGAGCACTGATCTACCCGATGGTTGCCCAGCAACAACGCGGCCCTCAAGCATGTATAAGCAAGGCGTTGCGGTTGATTGCTCCAGACACAAGGCAACACTCGACATCTCAATGCCAACTGCGCTGTTCAATTGCACCACGGGGACCACCGAAGACTTCAACATTGTCTTCTTCTTACAGCTTGAGATGGACTTATCCGCCGAGGTAAGGGGTCGAAGCAGGGGGCTCTAAGGGAAGATTGGCTCTGCTGTATGAACGCGCCCTGCCGGGAGCGCCCTGCCGGTATCTTGCGGCTTCGACCGTTGGTGTTAGGACACGGTTGAAGCCCGACACCAGTGGAAAGGCGCTTTAACGAAATAATCCGCATGCTTGAGCATAGCAAAGCTTTTCCCGCTTGTTGGAAGAAACTGCCCTGCTGTACTGCTTAACATGACGCGCCAACTCTCGTCAACTAACCGGCCATTCTTTCCTTTCCCCTGTCGCCCACAGCAATGCACCCCAAGCACGCAGACCTACTATGCCGGGGGCATCTACAACGCCATTCCTCCCAACTCTGGCTGCACATACATCATGGTCACAGCAGCATGCAAGCCCTCGACTTGCGCCATCGACACGCGAGCGGTTGACAACGCGACCCTCCTAACCTCCGCACTCGGATTCACCGGTCGTATCAGCAACCGCACCGTACAGTACGGCAACGCAACCTACTCCGGAACGGCCGTACAGGGCTTTAACATCGCCGTGGTGGGAGGTGTCATGGGCGGGTTGCTGCTGACGTCAGCCGTTGTTGTCGTCTACCTCCTCATTCGCCGCGGCAGTAGCAACGGCAAGGGCAATCGTGCCGGCAGACCCACGGATCGTCGGATCCGTCGTAGCCACAGCATTGCGTCAAATTACATGGACGCCGACAACTACGACGATAGTTTCATCATTGACCCACCGGGCAGTGACGACGTCGGCGCTGCGCTTCGCCGCTTCCTTCGTCGCGGCGCCGACGGAAAGAATGTTCGTACGGCAATCACTGGCGGATTACGGTTGTCCTCCTCTTTATCCGGACGCTTGCCGAGTCGGCTTTCAGATCTCAAGGCGGTGGGGGCTCAACGCTGGCGTGATAAGTTTGGTGAGGAAACGGTGGCGCCAGCCTCCGCGTCTCCTGGTGACCATGCTGAGTTGCAACCAGTCGCCTGGTCACCCTCACCTGTCCTACGACAGACCAGGCATGCTGGCACAGCAGCAGCAGCAGCGTCCAAGGGGAATCACTCGCGTCTGGCGACAAAGACGACGCACTTTAGTCCCCCTCGTGTATCCCATGCCTTCGGCCGTTCTCCCTCCTCATCCTCGCCGCAACTCTCCTTCTCCGTCTCGACACCCACAGCAACCGCAGCCGCCTCTCCAGCCGACGTCTTTTCGCTGCTGTCTCCTGCCTCGAAGGCCCGTCGTACTTCGTCGTCGCACATGTCGGTTTCGTCACCCGGTATCGTACGAACCGCCTCAACCGCCACCTCAACCACCTTCACAACAGCCGCGGTTCCCATGGTTCTCGGTCGTGAGACCATTGGCTATAGCAAGGGTGGCAGCACTGGCGGCGGTAGTAGCAGCACCAGCGGCGGCGACAGTCATCACCTCCTGATACACCCGGAGCTGGCGCCGCCGCCAAATGCTTCCAAGGTGTTCCTGAACCCGCTGGCGCTGCTTGGCGGTGGTAGGAGAGGCAGGGGAGGCAGAGGGAGCTGGGGCGCGTTTTCAGACCAGGACTCCCAATCGTCTTCTGAATACGGCGGGTCGCCGATGAGAATGATGTCACCGTCTCCTCTGGGCATTGCTAACAGGCTCGGGGTTTCGGCGCCAGGTATGGCAACTGCTATAGCCCCTGCGGTGCCAGGTGAAGCTCCAGCAGCAGCGGCGGTTACGACAGCCCCTGGGGAAGGTGGTGGCGAGCTGGGTGGCAGGCGGGTCAGCGCACCAGGCCCTGCGGCCAACTTTGTCATTAGGCGGGAACCAGCAATGGCGGCCGATGAGGACGTGCCGACTGATGTTGCTCCTCAGCAGCAGCCAGCACCGTTCGTCATTAGGAAGCCCAGAATGACCTGGAATGGGGCCCTAGCGACCCGTGGGTCTAACCGTGACGCCGCTGTTCCTTCAACGGCAGCTGCTGCATCAGTGCCAACAGCAGCGCCCCTCCGGCAGGACCAGGCGGTAACCGTAGTAACCGCATTACGTACGGCGCCGCTTGCCATGTCTACGGCGCCGCTTGCAAGATCGGACGCACTTCCGCTACCACAGCCGACACAAGGGGGCAGCCTTCGCAGCGTGTTGCCTCGGCCTCCGCCATTGATTGTGCCCGCAACCGCACGTAATGCTGATCCCGCAACTCCACGCAATCCACAGCTATTGCCGAACGCAACAGCCTCACGTGTCGCAGCTGCGAATGCCAGCGACACTATTGGGTCAACTTCTGCGTCTGTTTCGGCTTGTACGGCAAGCGCTACCTCCGCCTCCTCAGCTTCCTCTTCAGCCGTGGCGTCAGCGGCGGTAACCGTGTTCCCTCGCTTGCCTCGGACGGCGGCGGAGGCTCGTGCGAGGCTGGCGACGCCGTTTCCGACCCATGGGTCAATGAGGCAGTCGCTACCGTCAGCAGAAACTCCCTCGCCGGCGCCATCTAGTGCAGCCGTACCGCCGTCGCCGTCACACTAGGGACTTTGCCGGTTGCGGTATAGGCTGATATAGCTTGCGAGGGATATTGATTATTTGGTAGAGGTTTCCTAATGTAGAGCTGCTTATTGTAAGGTTGGGTAGACACATGGTGGCATTTGGTACTGTTGGGGAAGCTCCTAGTGGGTTAGAACTTGAAGGACAGGCGCATGATAGCGGGTGGTGTGGGTAGGAAGGCAGCGGCACGTCTGGAATTGGGAGAGCGAGACAAACCCTTTATAATGAACTTCCTTGGCCTTGCAAACTTACAAATGCCCTCCCTGGATATCCCGTTGTGGCGCTGCAGTGCGGATAAGGGAAATGGTGTTTTGTTGTCCTTTGAGGCCTCTGATACCTCTGCCCCATCTGGGCCGCTGCTCCGGTCCGGAGATCCACCAACAGCTTGTTTGGGCGGACAGGTCGGAAATGCACCAACGATTGCATAAAGCGTAAAGCATGGCAGGTGGTTCGTAAGACGGCAAGTAGTCTTATGCATGTTATTCAGGGACCCATCGGGTGGTGTGTTGGGTGGCACTGGCGGGTCGGCATGATGGCTGGGCTGGGTAGTTATGTCACGAAGCGTTTGTTAAGAAAACTGGCCGCGAGTAGGAACGAAGCGTATGTGTGTTGGAGGCAAGATGCATTGGATGCAAGTTGCATTGCAGGAAGCATAGGGAAAGCAGACAGGCAGGAGGATCGCTACTTTACTTTTACGGCCGCTTTGATCATGGTATTGCTCTAACCGTGCCTGAATTGTACGGCATATGCGCGCCTCCTCTCCTGTGAATATGCATCCCCTTCCTAGACACAGCTACAGGATTCCAAGAAACGCTTGCTTTTGAGAACCCAAAAGGAGGGCATTGGGTTACAAGTCACATGCCAATCAGACTTCTCTTAACACGCATGCAGGCTAAGGATTTGCGATGGCTTGTTATGTATTGCTTGCGCTGTTTTTGGACGTATGGCCTTTCAAGGTAGCTACCTCTATAGACGGTCTGTGCATTTCATTTACGGGAGAGTTTGGTAGCTGTCAACGCTTGTGCGGCTGTCGTGCTACGATATGGGTCCCCTGCATGGTATGTTTGTGGTGTTGCAGAGTTGGGACCCATGGGTCATTGCTGTGCTTTGGGGACAGCGTACCGTCAATTGGGTGGCGTTTACTGCATGTGTCTTCCTTCAACCTTGCATGCTCAGGGGTGTATTGCTAGATTGACATGATGTCGAGCTAAAGGCAGCGCGCTAGTAGCTGCAGTCGAATGCAAGTCGCTGTGTCCAGTCCTTTGCCATTTGGTTGTTTGTTTTTCGTCTCCTTATCCTCTTTCTAATGTTTCTTAGAATTGTTGCAGTGCTCTTTTCCTTGCGCATGGACTTGAGGTATCGTGTATTTCCTGGCATTACTTTGGTTTGCAAGGAATAGGAACTGTGTGTGCTTTGTCTGAACACAGCGAATTCAAGCGACATTGATGTGGAACAATTTTGGTGTGGTGTAAAGCATGTGCTGTGTTTGCCCCTCCGCAGCGAACCAGCTTGACAAGCAAGCAGTATGCGGACGACCCTTCGGAAATTGTGCAAGTTGGTATGTGCATCCCAGCGCTAGGAGCAATGGGAGTTTTGTCGGGGTGGTGTTTTATAGCGTTCAGGGAACGAGGGTGGGCATTCCAGCAATGTAATCGGCATATGGGCTATATGGGTATCTCTCGTACCGCATCACAGCCTAGCCAGTCATACCAGAGGATGGACGCCGGAAAGGGCAACGGAAAGGAGGTTCAGACCTCAGCAGGGTGTTGAGTAAAAGTCAGCTGGTTCCCCTTACAGCAGTTCTTTCACGCACTTTATTAATACACCGCCCCCCACGCGATGTGGAGTGAGCGGGAACGAATTGACGGAATAGCCGTACTTGGTGTCCTTACAGGTCCTAGCCGTCCTACCCACACAAAACGCAAGGAGAGCTAGAAGTAGAAATTATGATGGAAGCCTGGGCCGTAGCAGTGTCGTCATTCTGGGGCCATCTTAACGCCTAGGTGTCCACTTGTTGGGCAGTGTGAGGCTGTCATGGGCATTATAACAGATTGCGTACAATTCTGGGGGATGCTTAGGTACGCGGTTTCCGCGATCTACACTTTGCTACTCAACAAAATGCAAAAGGAATGCCCACCTACCCTCATCTCCTAGTCCGTTTGAACCCCGCACGCCGCACCTACCATTAGCCTAAACGCAGTTCGGGCGGATGACGTACCGCGCCGCCGTACAGTAGTCGGTTAGGAGTTTGGTGGATGCTCGGGCTATGGACATGCCGATCCGACTGTCTAAACTTGCGTGGAGCCATTACGCATGAAATGGCTCCGCTGCGGTTA